GAAAGCGGGAAGCACGGGGAAAGCGGGAAGCACGGGGAAAGCGGGAAGCACGGGGAAGACGGGGGGGCGCGAAGCACGGGGCAAGGGGGAGCCGGGAAGCATCGGCCCACGGGGAAAGCCACGCCGTGGAACCAGGCCCACAGGCGAGCAGCTTCCCACCACCCTCCCCCGGCGCCCTCCCTCTGTTCGCGAGAAGACTGGAAGAGGGCGCCACCGTCCGCCGTCTCTGTCTTGGAGGCTCGCTCGTTGCGCGCGAGGGGTGACGGGGGCGGAACAGATTGCGCGCGAGCTAACGCGCGGGGCGCCATTGTTGTCCGGGGGTGCGGGGGGAGGGTGGTGGGCCCCTGCGCCTGGAAAGCAATGAATGCCCCGCCCCGGCGCCCATCCTCTACCCAAGCGCGTGGCAGGGGCCCCAGCAAGCCCCTGCCCTGCAGGGCTGCGCGCGGGAGAAGGGCGGGGGGGGGGCACGAAGGCGCGCAGGAGCAGGGCGCACCGGCAGGCGCCTCAGACGGGCCACACAGCAGACGCGCGGGCGGGGCGTCGCGCGCCAGCGCCGCGCATGGCGCGGGCTGTTCTCCTGGTTCCTACCTAACCTTCCCCAGTCCAGCCACTGGCGCCCGCCCGCTGCCGCGCTTTGCGTTCGTTGTAGGGCCTAAGGCTTGCCGCCTCGGGCGCGCGCCCAATGGATGCGGGCGGGGTCCTCGCGCTCGCACAACGACGGGAGCCGCGGGCTCTATGGCGCTCCACATTGGTTCGCTCAACAAGAAGCGGCGCAGATGCTTGGCCCCCCCCTGCGTCAGAAATCTTTCCCCTTGCCCATCCTCTGGCGTTCTTCTTTCCCCCCTGTCCACTCGTTCACCCTCCCACTGCGCGACATAAGCTGCGGCCTTGTAACTAGTCATGGTAGAGATTACCAACAACAAACCAGAAGCGACTACGACAGAAACCCGATCACGACGCGCTCTTTCTTTTTTGAATTGAAAAATGAGACCGAGGGATCACTTGCTTCGCAAGAACGGTAGGTCAGCAAAGAACTGTCCTCAACTCACCCATTTCCACACCAGTCTGGTCAAGACTGTCATGACTGAATGAGGTACTTGCGGCTGCTGGTAAGAAAGATCACTGCTGGAGTAGGAGCAACTACCAGCATGGTTGTTCAAGGCAGCGGCAGACGTTCATTCTTTGCTTCCGTTTTCCTTCTACTTACTTTTACTTCCAATATTCGGTTGGACCTCGACCTGGAACCCGAATAGAAAGTACAGGTCGCACTGCTGTATCTATGTGTGCGCAACAAGTGTAAGTAAAAGAAACTATCGTGCTTCAGATTCCGCGTTCATGTCGTTGTTGCTCTTGCAAAACGGTAGATATCATCGTCGTTCTTTGTTCTCGTCGGGCCGGAGCACCGGTCGAGCTTTCGCGGACTGCAAGTGCAAGTGTAGCAGAAGCGTACCAAAATAAAGTCGGGCCAGCACCAGCACCGCTTGCATGAGCAGTCCGGACCTGCTTCGCTGCACGCGGACTGGGTCCAGCAGTTGCGAGAGCAGTGTCCCGTCGTCTCGCCGGGGGCAGGAGCGCAGATCGCCTCCAGGATCATCTTCGTACAGAAGAAACGGAGCCGTCGGTAGACCTCGACAGGCCTCGCGTTCCAACGCCGCGGCCACGAGGGCCGCAGGACCGCCTTCCTCGAATTTGTTTAGCCGCCGGAGCAATTATGAGATGAGCAACACGCTGACACACGACCAAGACCGGTCCCGGTCGTACCTTTCCGACGAGGATACTTCCTCTTCTTCCAGCGAAAACTCTAGCAGCGAAGACAGCGATGCCGTCGAGGAATGGAAGTGCGCCAGTGAATCCAGTTGGATTACAACCGACTATTCGTCCAAGGAGTCATCCTCCGGAAAGTACAAACGCGTTCCGGACAAGACGCACAAAAGACACTGGCTCTTGGCGGCGGTCACCTTGGTTTTTTTTTGTGGTGCTGCCAGTTTTGGCTACTGCTACGCCTACCACAGAGAAACGCTTGTAAAGTGGCTGCCCTTCGTCCGAAGCCTACCGTTCTTCGTACCTGCGGGCGGAGCAAACGGCAGCAACGGTGCAGCGATCACGCCAAGGTCTTCCAATGGCAGCGGAGGTGGTGATGGGTCCGACCACCGAGGTACAACTTCTAAGGATATAGTGCTAGCAACATCAGTCTTGCAGCCGGGGAAAGATAACGATCAGGCAAGCGAGGCCGCAGCACCAGAGCACGAACAAGGCGGTAGTGCTGGTGAGCGATCTTTATTACCGCCGGGGCGTGGGCGGCCCACGAACCCGCCGAATGTTCCACATTCGGACTCGCACTCTTCCTTCGCTGCGACCGATGCGTCTTTCAATCCTGCTACTGGTCTGCAAACGGAAATAAATGCCAGTACCGAGGAAAACGAAACTGAAGCTCCTGTTCTGGCAACCTCGACGTCGTCATTGGCCTCTGGCACGTCGCTCGGTGCCGGTAGCGTGACGGGGAGCCCGGGCACTGCAGGGCTACTCGCTGCGGGCGAGAGTAGCCCTAGTGCTGGGCGAATATCATCCTCCGCACCTGTTCCGAACATCAGGACGAGTCTGAGTCCTGAGGAAGTCGACGCGAAAGATATCGCCTTGCTACGGTCGGCAGTGGGTGTTGAGAGTTCCGGCGGCGCAGCCGACAATGCATCATTTCCTAGCCAGCACACCGGCGGTGCTGCGAACGGTGCAGTGGGTGCCGGCGCAACGCGGGGCTTGCCACCAGACCACCCGGGTTCCTCACCGATCGGGAAAAAAGATCCCTCAACCTACACCTCTCCGGGGGCAGTGCAAAGCCAAAGGACCGACGTCAGGGGTGATGATGTACTAGACGAAGGAGCTTCATCGCGCAACAAGGGCGCGCAAAGCGCCCTTGCATTGGCGGTGGGTGAAGCTGCGACGACCGCTCTTCCCGAGCGGAAAACAAGCACCAACAGCTTGCTGCGCGCACTAATCGCGTCCCCAAAATCAGTAGCGGTTTCTATTCTCAAGAAGACACCGCTAGCAGGATCACTGCCGGCAAGCGATGACGCCGACGCAGCTCGCAACCAAGACGATGAGGAAGGTACTTGAGTCGTGTAAGTTACTTGTACTGATAAGGGAGCAGCTGCTCAGGGACAGCAACTACCAGCAGCTCCAGTAGTACCAGTTTTTTTTCTTTTGGAAATATGTGTTTTTCTGTTCCGATTGATTATATAGGGCACCGACACGAGAAGTCCATCACCAGTCCTTACTTTGCCCTTTCTACACTAAAAGCTCTGCATCACAATAAAATGAACATACTAGATTCCGAAGTGGAGGGACTCCAAAAGAGGATTGCGGAAGTAGAAGCAGAAATGCACGAGTTGCGCCGCGATCGAGAGCAGGCACGTCATCGGCTTCCGAAGGGTCGCGGATTGTACTACGTGAAGCCCGGCCCTGGAAGACCGCTCGGTATGCTACTTTGTCATATCCTGCATAGGCCTAAAGCACTGTCACGTGTACTTGGAGATACATATGCTAGACAATAATATCCCGCTCGGCGGACTGCATGTTTGGAAACAAAGCACACACACATACTATTTCACTTTTTCCTTTTCATTGCAGGCTCGCTCCACATCCAAGCCGATAAGGACTCTGTACTTTTGGCCGGCGACTGTGAAATTGAAGCCGCGGTTGAGAGACAGGAGAACTGGATCGCGAGCCAACGAAAGATGGACCAGTTGCCGATCGTGGGAACGCTGCGCAGCTACTACCCCCCTAACGTCATATGCAGGAAACGAAGTCCGACCGCTTCCTCGAGCGCCCTCTCGTCCTCGGCCGAGGACCTCGAACCGCTAGACGAGCGTGCTTTGGCTACCTCGACGAACATGGACGAGTTGACGATGCAGCGTCCCCGGCGCCTGGCGGAGAAAAAGAAGAGCAAAATTGCACGGGAGCAAAAAGAAATGGCAGTGCGGCAGTCTTCACAAAACGAGGATGGTAACGCTATAAAAACAATGGCGGACGACGACCACGTCGATGAGGATGCACCGCACCGGCCGCTTCACGACCCCGAAGTAGAACTAGGAGAAGGAACACCTACCGCGGGAAAGGCAGTAGATGATGGTGCCCAGGCGGCGGCGACTCCTCCGGGTCACGACGCAATAATCGATTCGCCACACCGAAGCGGAGATGGTTCAGCCAGCTCCTCGTCCAGGAGCCCAACTTCTTTCCCTGCAACCTCTCATCATGCTCAAACAGAGTCTGATCATCATGGAAAAAGTACTAGCACAACTGTGACTCTTTCTTCCATCGTGCCCCAGCGACCTCAGGCCAATGCTCTTGCGGCCTTGCCAATGTCGCGCGTTGACCAGTTGAAGCTTAAGCTGCAGGACCGAGAGCGTCGACTCGTTGAGATGAAGAATGCCAAGGAGCGCGGCTGGGATCGTCAGGGCCAAGCACCGCCAGGAATCGGCTTCTGGAAAACTGCGAACTGATTTGCAAGTGAGGCAAGCGGATATGTATAAAGGCAGATGTTGTTTTCGTTTTGCAACAAAAAGGAGCAAACTACGTCAGCTGTGCTTGTGAAGGTCGTGAGACACAGCCCGCCACTGCGTCTGCTACAAACTCATGTGGCCGGTATCTTGAGATTGAGATTGCCGTTGGCGGCCAAATCTCGTACGCAATTAATGTGTCACGACCTTGAAATTACTTCTGCATACTGTTGAAGCCCAGAGAATACAAGAAATGCCACAAAGACAAAGGCTACCCATGCCAATCCGCACAAAGACCGAGAGAACACAGAAAATTCTATTTTTTGAGGCTGCCCGTGCCCCGTTTCGCTTCTTTTGCACGACATGCTTGTTTCTTATCTACATTTCCCAATTTTGTCTGATATACTCCAAAGCAAATCCCTCCAATAGCGATTGAGAGTCCACCAATCGCAGATCTTGGCATGTTTCCCATTTACTCGATGGAAGAAACATGGATGCAAATTTTAGTTTTCTATGCAGGAAATGTTACATCTCTTAGCGCCGAGGAAAATAACTGCAGACCTTTAAAACTCCATTGCCTGACGAAAGAAAAACAAAATGTGTTGCTCGTGTCTGCAAACCGCTTTAAAAAAGACACAAATACAGCGAAATCTAATGGGCGAACAATGTGTGATTGTATTTGTTGATAAAGAAGCATGACTGACCACTGTCATTGAATACAGGACGAACGCAGATAAGTGTGTTTCTATCGATAGGTATATGTAAAATAGGCAAAGCTGTACCTACTGTCTTCAAAAATGAGATCACTACCGGTTGTCGCATTGAATTATGATTATCGGTGCTGGGATCCCATTATCGTTCCGGAAACGGACTTAGCAAAAGTTGATTTCGATCATGAAATAAGTCAAGATCAAGCTCGATCTCTAGGACCAAATTTGAGAAGTTATCAGTGATGGTGATGACCCATCCACCAGCACTTTTGTTGTGTACCGTGACTGCAAATGAAGATATGGCAACCAAAAAGAAAATGAAGATCTCTCACCGAGATGTCTCTCTGTATCTAGTTTTCTATTCGTAATTTGTTTCTTGATCCAAGAAAAAGACGCTTTCTGACTCGATTCGAAACGATCTTCAGTGATGTCTCAATTTCAGGACCTCAGCCAGCCCCATAAAGACAAAACACGAACAACAAGTGGCAGTATTATGCCCCCAGCGATAGGATTAAGACTATAGCGATAAGAATTTCGTTGTGCACCACCTTTGTAAGTATTGTGTATCTCCCCGGTGTCCGTCTTTCCGAATCGTGTACCCAGCTGCATTTCGCCGTAGAGTTCTCCCCCCCGGTGTGTGTCTTTCTACGTAAGTAGTTGGAAAATTGTTCAAAATCAATCACGAGCACGCAGAATTTAGATTTACCATACGCAAACACACATTTTTCTTGAAAAAACACCACGATGACGTCGGCTTCGTCCTCTACATCTGAAAATGGTTGTTCATCCCGGTTTCTACGGACGTTGGGCCTTTCCGTGGCAGTGTCTATGCCGGTCTTATGGTATTTGCGGTCTCGATATCATGCCTCCTCTTCCACAAGCACTTCCTCGAAGAAAAAAAGCCGGTCTCGCAGTCGCAGTAAAAATCCCAAGCAGGAGGAGACCGCAGCGAAGAGAAGAAACAAACTGAGGCAGAGCGAGAAGCCTAAGGAAAAACTTCCTTCGGATGGCCCGCTGCTCCGCGTGCACCTCTGGCATGGCTCACAGACAGGCACGGCTGAGGAGTACACGGAAACACTCGCCGCGGACTTGGCTTCTGCGTTGGTCAAGCAGGGATTTCCGGCTAGCAAGTTTTTTTCGATTCAGACGAAGTCACTGGAAGACTGCGAAGATTTCGAGCGAGAATTCGACTTCCAGGACGACGATGAGGAGGACGACAGTACTGCCACAGGATCCGATTACGAGCACCAGGGTTCTGGAGCAGGTGGAAGAGCTGGCCCTGTGGACGGAGTACCTCCAATGTCATCCAGTAACAAGAAGGAAGCAGAAATATGTGTTGATGGGGAACAAACTACATCACGAAGAACGAGAGAACACTTGCCGCTTCACATCTTCCTCGTTTCCACCTACGGCGAGGGGGACCCGGCGCAGTCGTTATCCTGAGTAAAAACGTACCCACACCAGAGTCAGGATGGGGATTTTGCAACACAAACCTGGGAGTTTTGTAAGTCACGCATGACAAGTTGCGCTCTGCAGTGTAGTGCAGGTTAGCAAGTGCAGCCGCATCACAGATTCATCAGCTCATCCTGTTCACAGCATCACAAATTCCAAAACACGATTAGAAATGGCTCTCATGCGGATGCGCATTACAAGTCTTCCTGTCTTTGCAAATCTGCATGACAACTCTGGTTTGGGTACGTTTTTACACAGGATAGTCGTCCGAGGATTTTTACGACAAGCTGACCGAGATGATCGACGGGAGGGCACAGAACGTGTTCAGAAAGCTCCAGGCGGCTGTCATCGGGTTTGGCAACAGCACGTACGTGCACTTCAACGGCGCGGCGAAGACGCTGATCGAGCGGTTGACGAAGCTGGAAGGGACTTTTTTCTGCTCCGAATCCTACCTGGACGACGCGACGGACCTTGACGAGCAGTGGGCCCCCGCCGCCGCAAACGTGATCAACGCGATAAAAAGGATGACCGTCGAGTTTCTGCAAACCCGCACGGACGTGCGAAAATGTTGGGTCTTGCCAAACGACAGCACATTCGGCGGAGCCACTGGTGCGATGACGGGCGAGACCAAGAAGGTGGAGTTCTTAACCGAGTCCGAGTGGGCGTCGATTCTGAAGGGCGTTGAGAAAAATGAAGCCAGCGCGTCCCCCGCGGAAATGCGGGCGCGCTTTTGTCCGCTAGCGGGGAAGTTGCAAAAGGACTCTCCTCCAGCTCCTGCGTCCAGCTCGTCGAAGGAAGTTCCCCGCGACATTGCGGCAACGGCTTTGTTCGGTAGAAAAACGGTCAAAGTAACGAGGCAGGACCGGCAATCGCAAGTTGTCGACTACGGAGCAGCAGCCCCTTTCGACAAAAAAGTTTCGCGCGGAAGTACGGAGGTACTGGTGGAGTGGCCAGAAGCTTACATGGCCGGGATAAACGGCGTTTTGGCGCACAATATAGACGTCTTGCCGGACAACGACAAAACAGACGTTGCGGCGTTCTTGGCGTATTTTCAGGTCACGCACTACGACAACATGCGATGGGTCTGGACAGGCGCGGCGGCAGGTGGTAATAGCACAGAGGAAAACAACAGCACGTCGTCCACCGCGCCTACGACTTTATCCGTCCCGTTTCCCAGCGGACTTTCCCTGGCCCAGATTTTTGGGCAGTACCTAGATTTACGACGCTTTCCTAAGCTCTCCGAGGTCCGAAAGTTCGTTTCCTTCGCGAAAGATTCGGATGCGGAAAAGCTGCTGCAAGCCGTCTGCACGGACGAGCATCTGGCGCAGTTTCGCGACGCGCGCTTGAGTTTCGCCGCGTTTTGGCAGGTGTTTTTGCAGGATTCGGTGCAAATAACGTTGGGGGAATTTTTTCAGATTTGCCCGCGGATGAAGCCCAGGATTTTCACCGGCAGCAGCAGTCGGGTCTGCGACAAACACCACCTCGCGATGCTCTTGTCCGCGGTGCACGAAACCAGTCACGCGAAGCTGGACCTGAAACTAGTGAAGAAGCTGGTGGCCACCAACGACAAGGAGAAGCGACTGGACGAGAAGCTGCTGAAATCGCTTGCGACAACTTATTCCGGGCAGTACTTCGGCCAGTGCTCGGATCACCTTTCCGTCGCGGAAGTTGGTTCGGTCCTGAGCTTGAAGGTGAATCCACCAACCCTGCACTTTCCGGAAAATCCGAAAATCCCGCTCGTCCTCATCTCCGCAGGCACCGGGCTCGCGCCCTTCAAGGGCTTTCTCGATCAGGAACAGGTGCTGAAATCGAAGCGGGATATTCTCCTCTTCTTCGGGTGTCGAAGTCGGGAGGAGGACTTTCTCTACCGTGACTACTTTATCAAGCTCGCGCCGGAGTACGGTGCGGAGAAGGGTGGGCCGCATCAGCAGCAGAACAAGAGAGGAGATCAACATCCTTCCGCGGCAATGAATGGGGAAGATGCAGCAGTAGCGGTGGCGGATAGAAGTGGGGACGCACAAAATCAAGGAACAAGAATTCCAAGAGCAGATCTACCGCTGAAGAACTTCAAGTTGGTGTGCGCGTTTTCGCGCATGAGCAAACGCAAGGTGTACGTGCAGGACAAGATGAAGCTCCACGCACAGGAGCTGAAGGACTTGCTGCTCTCCCAACGCGGGCAAGTGCTAGTCTGCGGCAGTACGCACATGGGGCAAGGCGCCCGTGAGGTGCTCACCATGGTTCTGGGCCGCGCGGAAATGCAAGCGCTGCAAGACCAAAAGCGGTACCAGGAAGAGGTCTGGGCCGTTTGAAGAGCATGCGTCCAGGTTGTGAAGACATTGATTTCGAGAAAATTCGGCGCATGTTGTAGTCTTGAAGAACGACATGAAAGTCACAGCGACATCACGACGACTAGAGTACAGACATGAAGGATCTGACCGCCACGAAGTAGCGCGATGAATTCAAAAACGCGATAGCATCTTAATCTTACCACTTCGAGAAGGCTGATGTTGATGACGGAGATTTTGTTTTGTTCAAGGTGTCGAGCCCCCTGTGATACAGCACGCACGACAGAAAATCTAGATTCGTTCACATCTTTGTCCTCGGTGCGTGTCGGTTCAACATCGCAATCTTATCATGATATCTGCTATCGTCCTTGTCGTTGTTAGCCTCAACCTCAACGTGGTCATCCTTATATCGTTTTGGTGCTCGTCTTGATGCTATGTTTTTGTCGTGGCTGGCCTTTATCTTCATCGTTTGTCATCCTGTACGTAGGCGATGGAATCGGAACCACAACTAGTAATGTCGCTTTCTCGATGGTAGTTTGCGAAAGGTTGTTCGCTTTTGGCATGAACGAGTCAAGCAACATGATCTACACATCGCATCGAAAAAAATCATCAAGAAAGGTTTAATACCGTCCAAGCTGCAAGATGGGTCTCCTTTCCACGTTGACCGTGAGCCACTCTTTGCAGAATTTTCTGTGGCGGAATGAGTCTTCCGTGGCGACCACGGAGGACCGCGCAGTGAATCCGGGGCATTTCGTGAGAGTGACCCCGACACCGCTCCCGGACCCCGTTTTGGTGTGTTACAGTGATGACTTTGCGCAAAATGTGCTTGGGTTTGACGTGGACGACGCGGCGACGAAGCGCGAGCTGGAAGCTGATTTACGCGCGGTGCTTTCCGGCAACGCGATCCCCGCCGCGTGGGGACCGTGGGCCACGGGGTACGGAGTCTCCATCCACGGGCAGTGGGTAACGGACAGTCCCCGGGGCGGCGTGCACGGATACGGTGACGGACGCGCGATGTCTGTGGTGGAAATCAGGGCGTCGACAAATTATGGCAGAGCCACACAGGATGAAGTAGAAGTTTCTTCTTCTTCAGGTGCAGTTCTGTCTAAGGGGGTTGTTCCGGAGAAAAGTTTCGCAAAGGTTGAGCGATCTTCCGAAATGCCATCTGCAGGTGCACCCCTTTATTCCTGGCAAACCCGTCGAACGATGATCAAGGATTTCCTCTACCCCGCCCCCGACCGCTGGGAGTTTCAGCTTAAGGGTTCCGGGCGCACACCCTTTTCCCGGAGCGGGGACGGACGGGCGGCGCTCCGTTCCAGCGTCCGGGAGTTCTTGGCGAAGGAAGGAATGCACTTCCTCGGCGTGCCAACCGCGCGCGCGCTCTCCCTGGTCGTGGACACAGAGTTGAAAATTCAGCGGCAGTGGTACCCGGAAGCGCAGAATAAAGACGTGCAGCTACGCGCCGATCAAGTGGGCAACCGGGAGGAAGTGGCAATGTCGAGGGGAGCTAGTAGTGCAGCTCTACTTGCGCTTACTCCAAGGCCGGGTAAAATTTTGTGGCCGAGCAATGGGGTTCCCGAGTCGCAGATGGCTGCGAATCAGGAGATTTTTCGGGAGGAGCAGGCCGCAATTCTGACGAGAGTGAGCCCGAGCTTTCTCCGCGTGGGCCAAGTGGAACTGTTTGCAAAGGAAAAGTCAGTCGGCGAGTTCCGGAAGCTGCTGGCCTACGTCCTGTGGCGCGACTTTCGACCGTATTTACAGATTGGAAATAGCACGGCGACTACCGGGTCGTGGCCTGCAGATGTGAGTGGGCAAAAACAAAAAGCGAAGGAGTCACAGCGAACCTTACCGCATGAGCAAGAAGCGCTTGATGACGCACAGGCGTCTAGCTTGCTTACGGTGAAAAATCTGAAAATCTTTCTTCTCATCTTTGCGCACAGACTGGCGTTTTTGCACGCGGAGTGGTTGCGGGTTGGGTACGTGCAGGGGAACATGAATTCCGATAACTGCCTGCTGAACGGGTACTCCCTTGACTATGGTCCTTTCGGCTTTCTCGAGCAATTTGATCCGCTATGGTGCCCTTGGATTGGCGGCGGTGAAAAGTTTAGCTATTCACAACAACCAAAGGCAGGCAAGGTCATTTTGTCCACTCTGATTCGCCGTATTTTCGCCTACCGCGAGCAGCTGGCATTTTTGCTTTTGGCGAATGAAGGGAAGGACACGACCGACTTAGAAGCAGGTACAACTACCTGCGAAATAATGTCCGAAGGTGGCGAAGCGAAGTGCAGGTCGTCGCAGTCAAAGTCCAGTGGGGCAGCAGCAGCAGCAGCTCGGATGGAAAGACAAGATGCAGGCCGGACAAAAGCCGCGCTTTTTGACGAGTTGCGCGACTTCGGCGACAACCTCGTGGAACTCTACATTGAGGACATTTTCCGTCCGTACCACGATGAAAACGCCCGCGCGAGACTCGGATTTTCCACTGCGTCGGATCAGCTCCATCATCTGCCGCTTTTCGATGTTCTTTCTCTGCAGCGAGAGCAGCAGGCTACTGAGGCAAGCAGCGCGTCGGCCGATGGAAGTGGAGGTACACCCACGGCACATGATTTCTCGCTTACTACTGCAAGAAGCGCAACCGCAAGCGCCCTTCTGCAGAGGCTAGAGGAGACTTTTAAGTCGGGCACATCAACAATGTCACGTCGGGCAGGTGGAGCTGGAAAGAAAAGGAAGCACGCCGATCCTCTTCGCCTGTATGAGGATTTGGAAGATATCATGCGGAGAGAAGAAATGGATTTCACTTTTACATTGCGAGCCCTCGGCGATATTGTTGACATTGCGACGGTGGGGGACCAAAGTGAAGAGTGCAAGAAGAAGAAAGAAGATGTGGAGATGTCCTGTGCGTTATTCAACCCGAAACCATTTCGCCGCGCTCGGGGTGATCAGCTTACTCCGCTGCCCCAGCATCTCCGGAAATGGCTGCTGCGATGGAGTGACAGTCTGCAGAAGCATTACAGTGGTGCAGCTTCGGACGAGGATGCGAGCCATACACATGCGAACTACATCTCTCCACCGGCCGTGGCAAGAGCAGACATGAAAGCCAGTTCCCCGCAGGTGATACCGCGCAACTGGATGCTAACTGAAGCGTATGAGGCCGCGGAGCGAGGGAATTTCACAAAGGTTGACGAATTAAAGACACTGCTGAAAACACCGTACGAAGATGTGCGAGAAGATACCCAGTGGGTCCGCGCAACGCCAGAGTGGGCACACGGAAAAGCTGGAATATCTTACATGAGCTGATCTTCGTATATGGAACCGAAATCTTGCGTCACAGTCACATCAGAGATGTTTTGTAAGGCAAAACGCCTTACAAAACGTATCGGATCTGACTGCGACGCGGAGTTTCGTTTTCATATCGTAGAACAACCTGCTGGATTTCTAGGTAGTAGGTTGTAGTACTCGTCCTCAACAACAAGCGGGAGTAGCTCAATTATGATTACCGTGGCCACAGGAGCTGTTCTCTCGGTACATGCAGTCATCACTGACACAGTCGTCGCTGTGCGCAAGAAAAGTGCAGATACTTCTGACCTGCCATGATCTGGTAACCAAATGCCTGCGCGCGCGCGCGCAGAGCGCGCGCCGGCCCACGAAGCCGGCGCGCGCGCTCTGCGCGCTTGCGATATTGCTTAGCAAACGCAGCGCGAAGGCAGTTGCCGTTACCATATAGGGCAACCGCCGGGAGGCGTGAAGGTCAGGGAAATGGCCAGAAATGAAGCGGGAGAAGGGAAAAAAAGCGGACCAGATGGGAAAATGGCCAGGAGGTCAAAAATGTCGCAAAAATGGCAGAAACCAAGCGGGAGAAGGTGTAAAAAGAGCATTTTTGCGGTTTGGCCCACTTTTTATCTGAAAAAGAGTTGGTCTATTTTTTGCTCCGCCCGCTGGTCAGCTGCGTTGGAGAAGCAGGCCCGCGACCTGTCCGGAAGCCTTGGGCCGCTTCGTAACTGGAAAAAGTTGGAAAAAAATGGCAAAAATTTGCTTCATAACGTGGGTGGAAGCAATCGTCGGATTTTGTCCAGATCACCCGGGCCGCTTGGAAAATGGGAAAAGAAGAAAAATCTTGCAAAAGCGCAATTCCTCCGCAGGCTTCGAAATTGCCAGTCAGCTGCGGTCGGTGAAAATGTGCAGATCGCCCGGGCCACTTGGAAAATGGAAAAAGACAAAAAAATGCGCAAAAGCGCAATTCCTCCGCAGGCTTCGAAATTGCCAGTCAGCTGCGGTCGGTGAAAATGTCCAGATCGCCCGGGCCACTTTAAAAATGGAAAAAGACAAAAAAATGCGCAAAAGCGAAATTCCTCCGCAGGCTTTGAAATTGCCAGTCAGCTGCGGTCGGTGAAAATGTGCAGGTCGCCCGGGCCACTTAGGAACCAAAAAAACAAGCAAAAATTAAAAAAAAACGAGAACCCTCGGCAGGCTTAGAAACTGGCCACCAAGGGTGGTCCGGCGGGCGCGCGCTTGCGCCGTACCATCGCGATTGGGAAAAAAAAACCGCACTAGAAGCGGGCGGGGGTATGTCACAAAATCCCTATTTGCCCTGGGTTGTGGGCAGAAATTCGGCATCTTCCCCGGGTCTGAAATGGCCGATTTTGGTGGCCCAGCCCGGGTTCTTTGGTTTGCGGTTTTCCACATACCTTCCTGGCCAGGTGGCCAGTTTGTCAATCATGCAGGGGGCTAGAAAGGATGCCCCGCTGCGAAGTTGGATCTTGCCCCCCCTCTGGCCACATACCTTCCTGGCCATGTGGCTAGTTTGTCATGCAGGGGGCTAGAAAGGATGCCCTGCTGCGAAATAGCAGACCGGATTTCGCCTTCAATGCTTATCGCAGGAGCCTGCGGGCCGCCGCGGGCGACAGTAGTTGTCCGCGGCCCTTTAGGGCCGCGGGGAAGTGGTGGAGCCCGCGGCGGCCCGCAGGCTCCTGCGATAAGCTTTGAATGCGAATCCGGAAGCCCCCGATGACCCGCGATAGATGGCAAGATTTACTTTAAGCTTAAGGGCCGCGGACAACACAGAAGAAGAAGTGGGATTCTAATTAAAAAGAAATGGTGGCGGCAGCCGCGCGGCGAAAGCGCGGCCCGCAGGGCCGCGCTTGCGCCGCGCGGCTGGTTTGGCTTTCGCGCTGGTTAGATTTTCGCGCACGCATTTGGTTACCAATATCGCCCTCCGGGCGCGATCTTCATACTTGTTTGCAACGAAGAAACTGAATACACAAACGTTTTTGGTGAAGCCAAGTCGTGACGATGGTCGTCGTGCCCTCTACACGCCTGCGGCTGATTTAGATATTTTCATTCTTGTCACCGGTCGACATTCATTTTTGATTGCATTTGTAGATCATCTGCACCACAGGAGATGTTGCTGTTGTCCTTTGTCAATATCTATGATTTGATTTCCATTTCCATCTCGTCCCGCCCTGTCTGCGGCTGAAAGTCTGTCTCTTTATAGTATTTCGCAATAGTGAGTCACTGTCACACTCAACACTCTCGCTGCGATTTTGATTTCTAGTGGTGAGCCACTGCAGCTGTTCCTAAAAACAGCGCCCAAGAACGGAACGAAATGATATCACCTAGGATGGTGTACTTGTATGCCCAGCGAACGATCTTCATCTATCTTCTGTTGTATATTAGCGAACCACGTTGTCGAGGCACTGATCTGCAAAAATGTCGACTCAAACCGTATCCATGGGTTTCCTACGATCCGAATCAGTTCATGGTCAGTTGCTCCATGTAGTGCAATTCACGAGCCTGAGGTATTTCAATTTCTTGTAGACGAGTTCGGTACTATTTGCTACGTCCATGCACAAAACAGATCTACTTCCACTGCGATGATCCTGTTGCTTTTGACCTTACATTTCGAATGCATTGGCGCCTTGCAAATGCAACAGGCAAGCAACTCATTTAAGTTTTGCTTGTAACGGCTTTTTTTGAAAACGAACAATTCGTATTTTCCTCCGACAAAAAGGAGTCCAAGGCTATTTTCATTTTTGAAAGACAATAGAATTGGAAAGATCGTGCGCACTACTCGCGAAACTGTGTGAAAGTGTTAATATGATCTCGGTCTCCCGGACCTGGACTTCATGGTATTAGGACTAGCTCATAGTAGAAATAAAGGACGGAGAACAGCGACGCTAAGGCACGAGAAGGCTACAACGGAATAACTTTTTCGCTTGGCCCACCTGTGTCTAGTAGTTTTACAATCGAAAAGAAGAAAACGAGATGCAACGACAACAAGGAACAAACTTACGAGGTTTCTACCACTTATCAACCTGTTGAACTACGACTTGAGTACTATCGAAAAATAAGCGACATCATAAGGCTACAAATCAGAACATCAATCCATCGTTAAAGGGAAGAACCACCGGAAGATCGAACGACAGGGCGAAGCCGTCGACCACCTCCACGTTGGTATTCCAGAAGCGATTTTGGCCAGACTAGGCTACATCGCTCGATACCCAGAATAAAGTGGACGAAGATAACGAAAGGCAATGAACTTCCAACTCCAAGCCTGATCGAGAACGACAGATGAAATAAACGAAGCAAGCTGGAGCTGCTCCTGCTGTGTCAAGAAGCACCACACAGAAGACCATTGTTTTTTGCCTCTGTTCCTGCTCGTAATAAAGTGCGGCGACTTGATAAAAACAGCGAATTCATCGATCAAAGCAGCTACAACATCCGTCGAATAAAAGTTACTTACCCAGCTTTATCAGAAGCGCAGCCATGGCGGGTTCACTGGACGACTCTTCCGTGGTACGGCAGTTCGAAAATGGGCTGTACTGCCAGTCGATCGTCAGCGTCGTGTTTATGGCGTTCGCCATGACACTCATCCTCCTCGGGAGACGGGGGGAATTTTTCACGCGATTCGCCATCGGTTTCATCGCTATGCTGGCGGTGTTGCTGGCGTGGCCGATTTATCAAATGTAAAAATGTCTGGGTCTGGAAGAGTCATGCGGCTTTTGCATGACACAGAGGGTCTGGCATGGAAGCTCTAGCATCACAGGTTTCGAGAAGCTGCCGCAGTGCCGAATCCGCATGACAAATGCCCCACTTTGGTGACAAAAAGTGGGCAGCTTTTGCTGCCTATGCGTGAGAGACTTTTATGTGTTGTGAAATGCGCATCACAAGTTGCATTATTCCAGACCCAGACATATTTGCAATGCATACGATTATTTTGAGCAAGCTGTCCGCGTCCATCCACGTGGAAAGCCAGTACGTTTTTCTCGTGTTCTGGGTCGCGCCGTGTGCAATCGCAGGCTTGTTGCTGGCCTGCTTTCTGAAAGAGAAGTTTTTCTTCATCGCCGGCGCGGCGGCGGGCTGGTTCGTTGCGGCGCCGTTGATTGGACTTGTCAAGTACCTCATCCACTTCTCCAGGGGCGAGAATTACAACGCAGCCGAGGCCACGGGAAACTGGGGGGACATCATGTATTTTGATTTTTTTTCCATAAATGGTTCGAGTTTGTACTTGTCCGCTGTGTTCATGCGGCGTCTGCGATGTTGTAGTTTACACTTTCAACTCAAAGTGAAAGCGGTACTAGAATAGAGGTAGGGGGAGTCGGTTCTTCGAAACTAAGAAATAATTAAACCACGACCTCCTACATTTCAGGTGGATTCTCGTCACAATCGGCATCATGATCGGATGTGGTTTTCTGGTTATGTGCATGGAGAAGAAGCTCCGCCCTTGGGTGTACTCCCTCTTCACTGCCGGTCTCTTTAGCTCGGCGTTCGGCGAATTTCTCATCCTGATCGGCGCCTGGGCCGCCATGGCTGGCGCATCAACGAAGGAACAGTGCATGGAGCAACTTCTGGACGATACGATCTCGATCGGAGAGAGCGGGCACCGGGACTTTGGCGTGTACAGTTTACTTAAAACTTCCTACAACCTTTCATTTATCTTCTTGTGGTCTTCTATTTTTTCCATATTGCCATTGTTTCTGTCTGAGCGACAGTGCTCACGCGCAGCTCTATGGTGCGGCTAGTCGGAAGATTCATGAACGAGATTTCGACCCTTCGCAAACCCGCCAGGGATGATGTAATTCAGCAACTACACAACACAGGTGGACGTGGCAAACCGTTTTTCCAATGCGGCTCCCCCTGCCGCTGATGGGGTTGCGTGACGCGCACTTGTACGCAAACCTGGATCGGTTGGAAGCAGACCTCGAGAACATCAACTTTCCCGCCGACAAGGCCGCCGCCATCCTTCAAGCCTACTCCAAACAGTTTCGGTTTCAGGACGGATTGGTCGCCTGGGGCGTGCTCCTCGTTTGCTTTCTCTTCACGTTTGTACTGGCTTTCAGGGGCTGCAAGAAGAAGTGTTGCTCCGGATTCTGTTTTCCGGGCTACAAAGACACCGCAGCCGGCGACGGCATGAACGGAGGACCGAAGCCAACCGCGACCAGTCCGTTTTACCACCGATACGGCGGGCCGCGGAAAGTTGCGGAGAAGAACCACTGGGAGTCGGAGTCCGAGGTAAGCAATTACGATTCCGACTCGGATGACGAGCTGTACATGGAAGAGTACATCTACGAGTCGGACGACAGCTTGGCCTTTTGAAGGCCCACCTTCGGCGGGACTTCATCTGGAAGAGTTTGACGGTAAAAGTTGTGCTGTTACACAGCAAGTGTTGTTGACGCTGTGTGTGATGTACACTTACAACTTACACATCTAGAGAACAAAGGAAACGAAAAGAAATCATCGCTAGTACGTCTACGCTGTGCCCCGCAATCCGGACTCTCGGCCAGGTCTGCGAATGCTCTGGTTGATAGCTAAGTACAGAACTGCTCTTAAGAATACCTCGCCTTCAACAATCTGCTGCACGTGGAATTTTGACTACAACTTTGACACCCTAGAATACAGTAGAGTTGCTCGGCTAAGTATCTACTTTTGATTTTGTCTCGCATTATGTATCAACGACGTGATCGTTTGACTTCTGTTCCGAAAATATTGTACGATCTGAATACTTTGTACTTGTTGTATCCACCCAATCTCAAGGATTATCGGGGTAAAGCTTTTCTGACCGATTCTGGTTCTGCTCTCTCGTTCTACAATGCCCGTACATACTTTCTTTCACCTCAAGGAGGACTACTGAGCCAGAACTCCGTCCTGAAGTGACGGGCAAGTGGTTGATATCGATACATATGATAATTTGTATCCAAATGTTTAGCTCTTCAGTCCTCTGGTGACGGAGTTCCCCTTGTTGTAAAAAAAGTTTTGGATAGATTTGACGCATTTGAAGCTGTGCAGTGATGCACTACCCTAATAAAGGCACTCCCAGCTTCACTGACTCACAGAAACAAATAATGACAATTTATATGATTCGGCGGCATCAAATGAATTTGAATTTGTTCTGTAGCTGTATGACGAGGCAACCTCAACCTCAATCATCATCAGGGTATTGTAATTAAATGGGGTGCGTTATTCTTCTGTCTTGTCCAGTGTTTGATTCTAATGTGTGTGTGTAAGCGCATGGAAAGGATTCATCTTCCTCTTTTCGTTTTATCCGTACCAAATTATGTTGTTCTTGTTGCATAGTTTAATACAGAAATAATGCTTCAGGAATTTGAGAAGGATGTAATAGTGCTTGTGTGGTACTAGCTGGTCTGTTTTTTTGCGCTTTCTGTAGTTTCTTTTTCCTACTTTTATCTTTTGGAAATGGAAAAACTTACTTGAGTGCATCACTTTATGGTATGGAAGCTATCAAGTGGAAGATTGAATCAAAAAACGGAAAAAAGAGAAACACCTTCTTCGGTCCGTCGGTGCACTTCTCTTCTTCGCAAAGGAGAAGTTTCTCATGCGAGAAGCCCTGCTCGTGCTCCCCTTCGGAAACCTGATGAAGTGAAATTGCAATTTTCGTCAAAAATTCCAAGAATCAGGCTGCCCCGCCGAACGTGAACGCGAAGCTAGCAGAACGTTCTCTTTCTGCTTCCCTGTCACAGTGTTGATTCAAGAACTCAGTGTGGTTACGCTCCGCTTTGGCTGCCGCTGCCACACCAACATCGGCGATTAGCCTCAATATTGGGGAAAATGCTCTCTTTGTTGCAGTCACTACAATCAAATGATAATCACACCACGACTTCTATCGCTCTCGTATTCATTAATTCGCTTGTCGTGGGCCTCAATCGTCGCGATCGTTGCGGGACAGTTCTTGCGCATAAAGAAAAGGTCGCGCCCCGCTAACTATCATCGTTTACGTTTATTTTTATACAACCAGGTTTGCCTACTTTGCGTTTGTCTTTGGCTCGTGAATCATGTGAACATGTACATAAAGAAACATAAGAATGTAGGTCACATCGCACTCGTAGTCGTGTCAATTTTGGGCGCTTTCGTGGGTAACATGTTGGTGATGACATGGGTTGTGGTCTTGTTTGTTTTACGAAACAAGATTTTCATATCTATTTTTCAAATTCACGACTTATGTCGATGTTGGTAGCGCACCACCTATTTCTTCGACAAGACAAGTCAAGTGGAGGCAGGTGGGTCTATGCGTGTAGCGCTGCAAAAAAACGGTCATGTTTTGATTCCATGACGCGGAGCAGCCACAATTTCGTCCGTTCGCGCGCCGTGTTAGACTTAGTGCCTCTAGAAAAGAATTAGAAAAATGGCAGAGGTCTATAATTTTGCTGCGGAAGCTGCGGAGCTTCATGTTCATCATATTAGTTCGGCTTCGCTCCGCGGTGAGGAGCAGTTTGATCGGCGTGTGGACCATTTTGACCGGCAGCGCAAGGCGCCGCGGCTGTACTTTCAGAAAATCCACAATGAGCCTTTTCCGACGCAATGGCAGCGGGGACCGCCCAAGCTCCGGGAGGAGGTGGTTGCAAAGTTGGAAAAGCTGCAGAAAGTTCCCCGTGCTTCGCTGCGGTTCACGGCCGCCAACAACGACGTACCGCCGGCGATTGTGCTGCGTGTCGCGCTGCGGCAGGTGAACGCGCACCGGGAACTGCACCTGTTTGAAACGCCGGAGGATTTCGCCGTGTTATGCGACCACTACAAAATCCCCTGGCGCAGCATCTGCCGTGTGCGAACCGTGGCGGAGTTGACCGCGAAGGCCAGCTTTTTCGAGCAGAAACCCGCGTTGCCGGATATCAAGCCGTACCGGATCACCGACTTTGTCGACGGGACGTTGGACCCGCTGCTGGGCTCCGGTTTGGAGCCGGCGATTCTGGACACCATGCCAGATGCCCTGCGCCAGGAGTTGCAGGATCGCGTAGAAAAAGCGAAAAAGACGGTCATGAAGCTTTCCACGTCCGAGATTCTGAAGCAGGCCGCCGAGGCCGAGCGCGCACGGGCACCACCGAAGCGGAAACCGAAATGGGTCTACTGGGAGGGCTTGCGGGCGCGGAAGGAAGCGGAGAGAAAGAAACGCGCGGAGCACCAGCTGGCCGTGATAAATGAGGAAAGCCAAAGTCCGAAGAAGGGTAGTTCGAATTCCCCATCAAAACCCAATTATAAGTCCGCTTCATCAACAACCTCAAGCAGTCCGAGCAAGGCCGCAGCGGCCTCGCTTGACATCGACCGATCACAGTTTGCGGTGCCTGAACCTGGGTACGGGAACCTGGTCCAGAGGTTGAGTGACCTCTCCGGCTTTCTCGCGAACTCGGAGGAGATGGTATCAACTGTAAAAATGTCTGGGTCTGGAAACTTGTGATGCTGGGTGGCGTATCATGAGGCGGCGACAAGTGCTGGCTCAGCATGACAAATCTCTGAGCTTCGAGGTGTTGCCTATTCTGCATGACAAACTGCGTTTCTGCATGACAAAAAAACGCGGCTCTTGGGTAACGTGCATGACAGACTTTGGGGTCATGCTGGCAGAGCATGACAGACCTTCCATTCTTCCAGACCCAGACATTTTTACAATCCATAGATGGTGCCGATCCGCAACCCCGCGATCGGTCCTCTTGACCGGAAGCTGCAGCGCGATGCGGCCTATCCTGTGCAAAAGTATCGTACTCGTATTGCAATCATGCATTACAAATCTTTTCCTGAAGGTAAATTCGCATTACAAATTTCATTTCTCACGCTGAGGAAATTTGTAATGCATAATTTATACGAGTACGATACTTTTGCAGTTCATACGGCCGTGCGCGAGGGAGAGTATCCGCATGTTGGCGTGTGGAAGATTGGAAGCGAAAAGATGCGACTGCTGCGCGACAAGCAGCGGAGCAAACTACTCGGCGCAGCCGGCGACACAGGCACAGCTGGTCTTTCCCCACTGCCTCGAAACGGCGCGCCCATGAGTTATGACCAGAGGATCGAGACAGAGCGGTTCAGTCCAAAGCGGTATGGGTATCCGGAGCCGCCGGTGCACTTGGTGTCGCCCGACGAGCGCAAACTCTTCGCGGACGACTTTAATACCGCTTCCCGCATGTTCTCCTCGTCACAGAGCACTAGGCTGACAAACCTGGAAGGCTCTCGCGGCTCCCGAATGCGCACACGAAACAGCAAGTCTTCTTCGTCCTCGAACTTAGATCCGCGTGCGATCCCCTTCAGCAGCCCCGAGAAACTGCCCGGCCGGTACTTGAGCGGGAACGGAACGCAGGCGTATCAGGTGGGGGGCCACCAGTCCAGCGTCGACTTCAACTTGGGGCTGGACGCGGTGCGCGGGAACCGATCGAAGCTCTTCGACCAGTCAACCGAGTTCGGTACAACTGGGGAGCAAAGCCAGCATTTCGCGGACACGTCGGTCATGTTCTCGGACTGCAGTGCGCGGTCGCGGTCCCACAGTCCGGATGGGCTGCTGGTCCGCGAAAATTTCCAGAACAGCTTCACAGTGAATGGCGTGTCGCCGCAGGAGGAGAGAAACCCGGAGGACCTGGCGGGGCGGGTCGCTTTCCGAAGCCAGAGCCCGACGTCCGTCGTAAATTACAAGCGCGAGTTTTCCGCCCCCGCAGAATCCTACCGGCATCTCTCCCGGGTAGACCGCTGGCGCAACGACGCGCTGCGGTTTGCGCGCGAGAGTCAGCGGCTGAGCAAGGGGCCGAGGTATGTGCGCTCGTTGTTGGAGATTTTAACGGACCAAGTCGCGGTGCTGCAGCGCAGCGTGGAGTGGTCCGCAATCAACTACGCCTATGAAATGGCGTTGCCGCAGTCTGACAAATGGCCAGAGGAGGAGGATCGGTTGCACCACGCCGAGGAAAGCTTGTTGCGTTTGCAAAAGCGAACCATTCGGAAACAGGCGGAAGCGGTGGGACGCCAGGCGGACGTGTCCGACGTACAGCACGCCTTGCTCGCGAACTCAGCGCTGGAGTACGACCGCAGTCCACAATCCCTCGGCTGCATTCGCGACAGTCTGCCTCGGGCGCCGCAGTTGGAATTTACCACCAGCACTTCTGGAAGTGGGGCGCGCGTGGCGCACAGCCGTAGCCGCAGCCCTGGTGCGCAGCTGCACCATTCGACATCTAGGGTGCTCGACATTCACGACAGCACCACGACATATAACACCACAACAGGAGAACAAATTGGAGAGCACATTGTGCACCACAGTCGCAGCACGACGCAGACCTCCTTTTTCAAAAGCAACTCGCAGGAGTACAACGGGTATAATAGTAACCGGAACATGGGAAGCACGCAGAATTCGTTTTATCAGCCGCCGAAAAGTAAGTCCGGCACGCAGCAGTCGTGGTTCAAGCCACCCTGGACTTCGAAGAAGTCCATGACGCAGTCCTCCTGGTTCAATGCCTCGCAGACGAGCTTTTACTCCAAAGGATCGCGCGCCACGACAGCTGGCGGTGCAGGACCATCCTCAGGAGGGACAAACAGTTCCTCTGCCGGCACGACCCGCGTTCCCTCCCCCCGATATCAGGTCGAAACACCCCAGGGCTTCTTCAAAGTGAGCGTAGCCATGCCAACCAGTTATGAATTGCAAATATGTCTGGGTCTGGAAGATTGCCAGATTTGTCATGCGTGTCCAACATGACTCGGAACTCTGTCATGCGTAGGTGCAAAAAGATCGATGTATCTGTGATGCAAAAGCGCAGTCTGCCATGCGGAATAAGCTACACATAGCAGCTCAAAAACTTGTCATGCTTGGCCACGGATGACAGTGCGCCCAGTGTTCCCTGGTTTGCATCACAAGTTTCCAGACCCAGACATTTTTGCATTTGATACCAGCACGACATCCGCGATTTTCCGCAGCATCGACCGCCAGGAGTCCACGAGCCCGTGGCGTAGAAACACACACTCCGTGTTGCGCGACGGTGGAGTTGCCGAAGTGGCGACCTCGCACGAATCGCCGCGGCGAGGTAGGGTTCGCATGAGCACGAAGTCGCAAAGTTTTTCGCCCGCGAAAAACCCGAAGAATTCGCCGGCGAAGGGCGGAAACAGAAAACGGCGGGCGCGGGGCGAACGAACATCATCCTCCGCAGTTGCCGTTGACAACAGCAAGAATAGCAAAGAGAAAGATCATGAAGATGCCCCCCCAGGGTCCGGATCCTCCTCCGCATCATCCGCGAGCACTGCGTCCGCCTCCAGTAGTCCGATAAAACTGAGGAAGCAGCGGCCGCCGGTCACTGGCGTCGTGGGACCGCCCGGGGAAAGTACGTACAAGCCCCCGGACCCGGTTCGCGACTTCAAGGCTGAGCTGATGGAGAAGGGGATGAAGAGCACCAACATCAAGCCGGTCCCACGCCTCCCGGATCTGCGTCCTAACGTCCGGGACAATGCGTTCACCAGTCCGGCTTTCGTCCGCTACACCACGACGGCCGCAGTGTCGTCGCAGGCACGGGTGCTGGAAGTCACCTCGCTCTACAACGCGCACCCAACGCCGATGACAACCAGTAAGATGATGGCCTCCGCGTCGCAGGAGGGGTGGAGAACGGAGCTGGAAAACAGAAACAACAGCAGCTCGACGGAATTTTCTTCGGACGAGGGAATCATTCCGAAACCGGACGAGCAGGTGCCGGTGATCTCGAAAAACGTGGGCGTGTGGCGAGTCCCGGAGCCGCAGTCTCGCACACTCTTGCCGGCGGAGGCGCAGGCCGTCGACGGCCTGATTCACCTGACCGGGCAGAAGGCGCCGGAGTGCGGCATGGCGGTCGTGCAGGACGAGTTCGCAGCGCGAGCGGAAGAAGAGCGAATTTTGGAGGAACAGGAAGCGGAAATCGAAAGACAAAATCGACGTGCCGAGGAGTTGGAAAGGCAGAAGGCGGTAGCGTCGCGCAGTACAAGTCCCGCAAGCTCGCCCAAGAATGGAAAGCACTCTCCCTCCACCGGCGTGCACAGGCAGAAAACATCCAGCCAGCTTCTCAACAACAGCGGGAACAAACATCAGCCTGAAGTAGACTCGTCCTCAGCTGCTGCCTCACCGAGTGCGTCACCGAAAAATTTTGTGAGTGGCAAGCAGCTCGCCACGGGGACGCACGAATTGGACTCGCACAACGCAACTTTGGTCGTGGCCCCCGCGTCTTTTGACACGAATCCCCACACAAGTACGACGTTCACCACGGAAACCGTTTTCGAGAAGAGTGGCAAGGGGTCTTTCCGGAACCCGAGCGAATACGAAATCCACCACTCCAAGCAGTTGGAAACGCCACCAGCAACAGCAGGAACGGCGCATCCCGGCAGCGGACTGCAGAGTTTGCATGGCACGAAGACCAGTTTCTTTTCCACTGCGTCCTCGATCCAGACCGCCGGTTCCATGTTCTCTTCCGCCGGATTGGAATCACGCGGTGGAAACACTTCGAAAACGCTTCCACCATTGGGAGAGGGGGAGATGTTAATAATAATACCCCCAAATAATTATAACGCGAGTATGTTGAGCTACCGCCCCGATGGCAAGGACTACATCTCGGTTTTAGACAACGAGTACCTGCGTGTGCCCAAAGATACGGATCCGCTGAAGGTCTTGGTCGAGTCCGCGAACAAACTCGTGGCGCATCCGTTGCCGTCGCGGCGAGCCGCAAGGGATTTTGACACGCTGCTGGAGAAATGGAAGCGCGACTTGATGCGCAGCGAGCGGATCGCGCGTCAGAGCTGGCGTTTGATTGAATATTCGCCCTGCGGCGAGCCCTTCTTCGAATTCTGTGTGTGTGACGTGTGCAAAAACGCGTACTGGCTGAAGTATCGGTATCACCACCCGGCGGACTCGTCGCAGGACAAGGAGCTAGACCCCTTGACCGGGCAGCCACGGAACCCTGAGGAAAAGGACAAAAAGCAAACCGATGGCACAACAGCCACCTCCGGGGCTGGTGGTCCAGCTGCTGGCGCCGAACAGCAACAGGATCCTAACGCTGCTGCATCTGCTTCCAATGACAACACGTCGAGTGCGCAGCAGCTCGCTTTGGCCCTCCGGAACGCGGACAAAAAAACCGTTGTTCTCCTGATTGACGGAAAATACTTGCTGAACCCCCTTGCGCTGGAAGCCGGCCGCGACTCGCTGAAGATCGGGTACGGGGTGGCGAACGTGCCTCCTTACGTGTGGGAGGACCAGGTGGCACCCAAATACTTCCTCGCGGACGTCGGGTTCGTGATCCGCGGCTTCGATCGGTTCGCGGCCGCCCCGCGCGTTTTACCGGACGTCGCGCCCCACTCCGTGAAAAAGCTACTTGGCGAGCGGAGCTGTGTGGAGCTGCTCGCCTACCTCGGCCACGTGCGGAAAGACCGGGGGCGGGAAGAGTCGACGGAGGTGGAGCGCGAACTCCAGCGCATCCGGCTCTTCGCGGGCTTCGGGAACCAACTGGATTTCAACTCCTTTTTGCTCGTCTACAAGCTGTACTGCGACGCGATAACGACCAAGTGGTACCGCAGCTTCCAAACTATTTTTGGCCGCAGCATGCGGCAAGCAGCACTGCTGCAACAGAAAACCATGGCGGCCGAGGGCAGTGCTCTTACCGGTGCCGACGGGGAGCAGGCTTCATCTCAGCCTGCCGCCGATGGTGCAGTTGCAACCAGACAAGCCGGAGCAGCAGATGAGAGCAGCGCGAATCAAGACCAAACCACTGTCGTCAAGAAAGCGAACTCTCGGATAAGCATCGTGGAGCGATTTTTCCAGGCTCCGGCAATACCAGGGAAGGCGCAGATGTTCGATACGCACTCGGTGTTCACCGATACCATGCAGCGTACCATGTACATGTGCGGGTTCCGCGAGCTGCGGCCAATGGCCATGGTGGAGTGCTGCGGCATTGCGGGGATCAACTGGCGGTACGGGCCGACGTTCCAGCAATTCTTCCAGTGCTGCCTGCTGCTCTTCCGCAGTTTCCAGTTCCCGCCCTCGGACTTCGTGCGGTACCAGAAGCGGTGGTGCAATCGGTTCAATGCGGAGGGGCACTTGGACGCGCAGAACGGGCAAAACCGCGCGAAGGGGTTGGAGACGGCGGGGGAGAGCGAGCTGCCCTCCCACCTCGCTGCGATGATGGAAGCGGCGCGCGGAGGCGGCGACACCGCGTCGAGCACGACTGGGTTCGTTTCCTCCGCAGCTGATAATGAGGGCGGTGGGGCTGGCGGTCAGCCAGCAGGCGGGGAAGTGTCCCGGGACCAGCTGCAGAAGGACGCGAGCGGGCTGCTTTCGAAGGCGCTGATGTTTGCCGGGTCGGTGGGGTTGCGGGACGCGAAAATCGAGACCCCCGCGGTCTTCCGCAGCCACGGCGTTTTGAAACTGGTCGGGTCCGTCAGTGTCGAGGAGGTGGCGCAGAACCCAGTGAACGGTTGCTTCGGCAACCCGGCGGTGGTCCGCGACCTTTTGCTGGAAGAAGCGACCTTGCCGGAAACACGGAACGCGATGCTGACGGAATTCGAAGCCGTGATCGGGGACGCGATGATCGAGCAGGCGCGCAGCATGGGCTATCGCATTGGCGACGAGCAGTGGCGGTTCACTCGTGACGCGGAGAATGCCGCAAAGGCAGCGGATTCAATCAAGGAGGACGACGGCGATGAGTCAGCCTCCTCTTCGACGACCGCCGGAGGAAGTACTAGCGGATCAGCTACTTCATCCTCCAGCGCCATTGCATCTGGTAGTTCTGTTGAACAAGCGAGGACTGCTGGAGATCAGCAGGCCGGGATAAAATCGCAGGCAGAAGTAGAGCACTCGTCCGATGCTGATGGGGCGCATGACCAGGACTCGCTGCACCTGAAGAAGGCGGGCGATACGAGTTGGCATCGTGCAAGCTGCTACCGGGACTTCCGTGACACTGCCCTTGCCTTGTCGGGTGTGTCGAATGAACTGAAGAAGAAGAAACCAAATCAGAAAGATCCCATGGAAAAGATCCCGCCCGAGGCACCCATTGCGTTTGATTTCCTGGATTACATGCGCGCCGTTCGCGTCGCTCGGAACATCGAGACGCGGCAGGCGATGGAGCTCTTCTTGAACTTCGACGCAGACGGCAGTCTGCGGTTGAGCGCGGGCGAGATTGCATTATTGCTGATCGCGTTGGAGTGTTCCTGCGACCTCGACTGCCTCGTGGAAGCATTGACGCTGTACGGAACCTGGACGGCACGCACGGAGATCGAAGAAGGCGAGGAAAACATGTTTGCTCGTTCCTTGCGGATCGAAACAGCCTCGCCGGGGGACGACCACAGCACATCGTCGGAAGAAGCAAGTGCGCACTCCAGTGGTTCGGAAGCTGGCGAGGACGAGCACAGCAAGGCCGCTGCGTTGACAGCAACGCTAGCACCAAGCTCGGAGCTGCTAGAGGCTGGAACTACAGGAATAACCGAAGCGAAGGCCGACTCCGAGGCGAAGTCACCGGCAACGCCAAAGATCAATCCGTTCGGAAAACTCCCTATGGGCGGTGGAGCAGCGAGCGTGTTTACAATGGCAAAGATAAATGCAAAGTTAGCGCCACGTAACAAAGATGCCAGTAAAGCCAGCAAAGGGCCGAAGTTGGATGCTTTCGGCCGTATCGTCCGTCCAAAACAGAATCGTGCTCGATCTGCTGATGCACCGACAAAGCATATCTACCCGAAATGGACGAGCTACCTTCTCGATCCAAAACTCCACACTGCGCTGGAGGTTTTTGCAGACCCACCTCCCAATGCAACAGGTGGAGCAGGAGGCAATGCGCAATCCTCAGCAGCTGCTGCAAGTTCTGCGGGCGCAGCTACCGCTTCCGGTGCAGCTACTGGTGCCACGACAGCAACGTTGAGCAAGAAAGAGCGGCGCACGCTCACTCTGCGACGGTCTTTTTCCGCCGATGCGTTTGAGCACGAGGAGCGGCGCTTAGAGTACTTGCACCATGCTCCGGTGTCCGGTCCTCTGACCCAAAAGCAGGCCGACGTGCGAAAGCAGCGCCTGGCCGAGCGCGAGGACGAGGGTGCGCGGCCACCAGCGGCGAGTATGCATGATCAACTCGATGACGAAACCCCGGCGTCCGAAACAGTTGCGTTGCAGCAGTTTGACCAGTACTATGCGCTCGTGGAAAACTTTGTTCTCCCTCTGGGAACGAACCGCAGCAAGCTTCATCGCGACAGTGCGATCACCCCGGTCGGGCACCAGCAGGACGTGATGCTGAAGCTACCGAAAGCCTCCCGCTTGAGTTACGCATCAACCCGAAGCAAAGTGTTCCAAAAAGTGACGAGGTGGCGCGCCAGGCAGCAGCGACGAACCGCCAAGGGTCGGGGGGTGGGCGGCGGTCTTGTGTCAACATCCCTCGGCAACACCACGGACGAGCAATCAACCACTTCCGTTGCTGCAGGAGCGCCTGCTGGTGCAGCTGCTGCAGCCGCTCCAAGCGATACTAGTAGTCCGAACAAGCTAAAAATGGGTCGCATGTTGCTGAAGCGGAGCAGCACGGTGGCTTCCTCTTCGCCCAGCACCAGCACAACGAACAAAGACCAGCAATTATACGACGACGAAGCGTACTCGCAGGCGACCGCGAGCGAGGACTGTCCGGTAGAGTACAGCGACGACGAGGAGGAGGCTTTGCCGCCGGAACTCGAGGTGCCATTCGAGCATTTGCTCCGGTTTCTCGGGCACGTGCAGACTTCGAGCGGGTTCGGACCCCGGATGCGCGCGCTCTACGAAAAAATGTTTTTACAGAACGCGAAAACAAATCCGCGTACCGGCGTCACGGAACTGCCGAGTAGGCAAGTCGTTGAATACGTAGTCGCGTGGTGTTTCGCGCCCTACGAGCACGCGAGAATCCACCGGGCGCTGATGCGAGAAACATTTGAAAACTTGTCGCTGGGAGAACTGCTGCAGCTTCTGCGGAGGCTGGAGAACGTACTACTCAAGGACTGGCACAGGGCCTTTTTCAAGGCGTACGTCAGCCGTTTACTGGATTCTTGCAGCGCTAACGCAGAGGAGCTCAAGGCCGAAACGCACACGACACGGAATGCCAGCGAACTGCAGCGCCGCAGGCATGTCTACCACATGCTCACGCGGGGTATGTTCCAACCCCATCCGCGACACGCGATTTCCAATGTCGCGTTTCTCAGGATGTTCTACCCGGAGATCGAGGAACTGGGGATTCCGAAAAGCAACGTAGCGAAATTGCTAGAGCAACAGAGCGGAGCGGGCGCCGTCGCAGCTAGCGCTGCAGGTCCGGCCGATCAAACCGCCGGCGCGTCATCTTCAAGTTCATCTTCTGCGAATAAATCGAGCAACTTTTTTCCCGAGCCGGAGCTGGCCCAGGAAGTTCGCACTTTGTTGCGGGAGTGCGGGATTGACCGCGAGGTGTTGCTGAAACGCGTGGAAGTTCGGTGGCACGACGTGGTTTCGTACCTTCGAATTTGTCGCGAGCGCGCGATCCTGAAACACGAGGCCAGCGCGGGCTTCTCGCAGTCTCAGCAGCGCGACGTGAAGTTGCATTTTTGTGGGTTTTTCGAGCTGGACCCCAAGTTCACACCTTTGCTCGCGTCTGAGGTGAAGGCGCTACAGGAGGGCAAGGGACAGCAGACATTTGGGAAGAGCTCGAATTTGCTGCGGAAAATGGAGTCGCGCGCGTTCGCAGACTCGAAGATGGTGCTGAACAAAGACGCCGTCGCCGCAATCGCAGCGAAGGGCAGTGAAGCCGACGGGCTTGGAGGCAGCAACGCGGTTTCCTCGTCTCCGTCAAAAGACCTCGGCTTTTCAGGAGCAAACTTGATGTTTTCTTCCTCTCCAATCGAGGCCGCAGTTATCGAAACGTCGAAACCGGACGAACAGGCGCGGCCCGAGGAAACAGGCGCGACTCCACAACTTATCAAAAGGAAAAAACCCCCCTCCCCATATCAAAACGAAACTTCTGATGCTGGATTTGTATACATAAATCCGAGCTGTCTTGCTGGAAAGCACTGCAGGCCCATACCAAGTGTGAGCAGAGAGGTTTTGGCCTAGGCGCTTAGCATGAAAAACGTCCGCGCCCTAGACCCAACAGCATGACAAACCGCCTGCACAATGCCGCGGAGCCTGCGCCGGAGTTGCCTTCTTGCAAGACAGACACGATTTGTGACCACAAATCAGCATCACAAATAATTTCCAAAAATATACTTTTTCAGTATGGGGAGGGGGGATTTTTCCTTTTGATACAATTGCTTTTCGAGGAGGACATTTTGAACATTCCGCTGTTCGAAGATAAGCCGGAAGCAGAGGAGGATATTGCGGACGAAGCGGCGGAGATGAAAACGCGATTCCCATCACAGTCCCGCCTTCTGTCCCTCGGTCTGGTCGACAAGGGGCGCGAACTCCCGCCCGCCATGGGGCGCAAGCACCGCCGGCGCGAACAGCGTAAGAAACAGTCCTCCCGACTGAGTTCCCCGGCGTCCAGCCGCAGCTCGCCATTGTCCAGCCCCTTCGGCAATTCCGATCCGCGCGGGGTCCGCGTCGCCGGTCGGTTCGGATTAAAGGCCGTCTCTTCACCTGGCACGGCAACGCCCAGCGTCCCGGGAACGACGACGGTGAACAGCTTAGCGCAGGTGAGTCTGACCAAAGTGGACTTGTCCGGCGTGGGGAGCTACGACCCGTACAAGAAAATCGACCCGGAGAAGGAGCTGGACCCGGGCCTCTACAACGGGACCAAGCCGATGTTGCAAGAGAAACCGCAGTACCCGGAGCCCCTGGTCCAGCTGGAAATTAGCGCGCAGCGGGTGAAGAAATTCCTCGCGGAGATCTGGCCGGGCTGCAAACAGAGTTCCGACAACCGGAACTGGTTAGAGGTGCAAATGGCGTACTTGCGATCCTCGTTTGGGGATCAATTCGGTTTCAATCACGCACTGCACTTCTGCAAGGCGGTGCAGGAAAAATGCCTGCGAGAACAGCGGGAGTCCGCTTCTCTGGCATTCATCAAGCCGGTATCAATCGTGAATTATTTTTTGTGCCGCTGACTTTGACTCAGACTCTTTGTTTCTCTTTCGCTCGCTTGCGATAATTCCGGATTCTCTTTGTGTTTCCGCATACTGATGTCACCTAACCCTAAGAGAAGGTCCAAGCCACGTCTGGTTTGACAAATCCAACAAAATATAAAATAATCGAGTAGAAGCCCTGCTGGGTCGTTGATGATAAAACTACACAAACAGACTGAATGCGCTGCCTTCTTGATGCTCTCAATTTATAGAAAAATCAACACTTCAGGTTGATCATTACCCCGGTCTTGTGACCCTGCACAGTGATGCTGCGGCAAGTCTCCGCCGGATTTTCCTTAAACTCGCAGATCAACACGAAGACGACTGCGTCCCTTTTTTGCAGGTACTGCTAAAGGGAGCAACCACTAGAACCTTCCACCACGCTGGTTGGTTGTATTTCAAAATGAAAACTTCAATTTGTCTACTACTTTAATACGTACATGTGCAACGACGCTAGCGCTCAAATTCGAAACAGACATGATTCGGCATCTGCTTCAGCACATTGCTCAACATCATAAATTTATTTTCCAGGTAAAAAACGCTTGGATCGGGCGGCTACCACGCAGTGAGCAATTGGAGACTCTGATCAACGAAGAGCCTTACTTGCGCGTGAAGGAGTTCCCCGGCGGTCGCCACACACCCATCCGCCTACCTGCGAGACAGGACGTCATCAGTGTCTGGAACCGGATTGCGGAGAAGAAGGTGAAGAACAAAGACAAGAAAGATGCGGCAAATAGTCCGACCAATATGGCGGGTAAGACCCCGAAGGGGATGAAGGGCACCTCCGCACAGCTGATCAGCATGAACAACCCGTCCTCGCGTGTTCGGAACCAGAAGCAGGCAAGAAATTCGCCAATGGAGCGGTTGTCCGGGATAGACCGGCTGGCCCCGGAGACGGTCGAGGAACCCCCAGTGCAGCGGCTGAGCTACCCGGGCTTTATCGTGTTGTTCCGCTTTCTGAAGCACTTCCACGTGCAGGGCGTGTTTCCAAGAAAACGAAAAAACGCAGACGCAGGGACAAACTTCGTGCCCAGTAAGTCCGCACATCTAAGCGTTTTGCTGCATTAAGCAAACTACGGATAAGGAGCGATAATGATCTCAAGTATTCAGATTCACCATTCACTATCACTACATACTAAGACAAGTTACTCCTCAAAATCAATAAAACAGCGAGCTTTATACTCTCGCAATTTCAGTCGCAGTCCATGGTTTTTCATGTGAAACGACATGATCCACCGAAATATTCAAGACAAACTTTCACTGTGGCGCCAGCCGTACAAACTACTACATTCTTTCAAGACAAGCCACGTTAACCTTTTAACAAACTCGCTCATCTTCATCCTACTTAGCCTTGTCGAAAAATGGCTCCAGCTGCTGCTCCGGCATAAGCAACGGACCGCCCAAAATTGAAAACCAAGATATCGAAGCGATCGGCAACTTGTCGCAATATTATTTGCCGTCTTAACAACATCAACTTAAATTTTTACGTTAGAATAGCTCTGTACATCAACACATCATCACCGCTGCGTCTGAAAAGTCGCGCACACACAATCTTGAAGTCTATTAGGTTGAGGTTCACGAAGTTGCGTCTCAATCGAATCTTTTCAAGTACTACATTCATCCTGGTGACTCTGACTGCTTGTATTTTCTGTAGACAAACTACCGCTATACAATCTCATTTTGGTTTCTTTCAGCATCAGCTCCGCTTCATCTCGCTTTTGTACATCAATCGAAATCCGTGCTATGCCTGTGGCTGCGTAACCACGGAGCTACTGAAATTCTTGGAAAAATAAAACTGCTCAACATCCGAGAGAGCGTTGTGCCTTGTTTTTTGTCTGTACAGAAAGTTGCTTAGGAATAGGAATCAGGAACTCTGGATGTATTAAAAGTGAACAAGGATGCTGTCCTCGACAGCACAAAAAGTGAACAAGAAGACGCCGACGAACCATGATTGCGGCTCAATTACAATTGCATTGCTGCAGGAGAAGCAAACGAAAAAACCTCTGGCAAAGCACAAGATCATCGCATTCATTCGGTACTTTGATGTGCTATGATTCGATGTTTTGATGTGCTATGTACATTTCGGTGTTGTTTAGTAAAAATCATCATTCGGTGCTGGTGGTCGCGTCAAAGTAGAGTCGGATAAGCGAACTTCGGTGTAGAAGATCTGGCTTCCATGAAATTTACCATGAATAAATTTGACCAGCACGACATTGGCCTCGGTAATGAATGGCTTGCTAGTTGTTTTCGGGCGCTTCGGTCTTTTGGACTTTTCTGTCGGTGAGACGAACTGAAACCCACGACCAAGTTCATTCTTCGTGGTCGAGCGCTTTCCGTCTTCCCACGCTCGCTGTATATCACGTAGCCTCGCACGACTTTGTAACCAGCAGAGATGATGATGAAAGAATGTATAAAGATTCAAAAAAAAATGAAACTAACCTTAAGACGCAGGCCTTTCTTTGTTTTCCATTCTACCAACATTCACAAATGGTTTTCAACATAATCGCCGCTGATTTGATGTTTTTGTAGAACGCAGTGCAGCGCGAGCGCGCTGATTGCGTCATGATGTTTATCTTTGACTGGCTTCGCGCACGGTTCGTTGACCCTATTACCTCCGAAATGGCGTGATAGATCATGGAGACTCGCAGCAATCTTTATGGAGATCTTTTAGAGCTGCAGCAGCAGCAGAGTGAAAACACGCCAGGGGTGTCGTTCTTCGGACCCAATGCGACCAACAAAACCAGCAGCAACTTTCGGAGCAGACCTTCAGCAAAAATGAAACAGTCTGCTGTGCCGGTGCAGGTAGCGTCCGGTTACACCTTTCAGCCTCAAGAGAATCTAGGACAGCTGCAAGGCGGAAGGGCAACATCGTCGCGTGTGGGGCAGCTTGCCGCAGGTGGTACTGTTGATGAAGAACATCAAAGTGCTCCCGTGGGAGGACCCTCTGCAAAGATTGAGGATTCCGTCGCACTCGACTCGTTTGGCTACCGAGCGTATGAGCAGCGACAACTGACGAAGAAACGACAAAAGGAACAGGCTCTGGTGAGTGTTAAACTTCAGCATGATGATTTTGAAGAGTTCGTGGCCACAAAGCAAAAAGAACAAGCCCAGGCGCAGGCACTAAAACAAGCCGAAGCTGCTGCTGCCCAGGGTCCTCAAGTGAAGACGATGAAGAGTGCTAGAGCAGTTTCTACGCGAGGATTTCCTTCCCAGCGTCCGCCGACCACATTCACCATGCCGAGCACGCATCGATCCACCAGGACGCGCGGGCGTATGGTCAGGCAGCGCACCGGAAAGGCACCCTGCTGCCTGCGCGCCCCTTTCGCCCCATGGCCCTTGCTAATCCCCGACGTTGACGCCGACAACGAAGGTGTCACAAGCGGCGACGAAAATGGTCGTGCCACGACTTCTCGGAAGACGACCTTTGGGCAAAGTCGAACGACTGGCTGCATTTTGCACCGTGTGTACTGCCAGTGGATCCCGTTTACCTTCGCACTCTTGATTGTCGTCGCCACGATTACTTGTTTGATCGTAGCAGTCAACTTCGAGGACGGAGGCTTGAGCACGAAGAAGCTTAAAAACGGGACCATCATCACCCGCGACTGGCCGTTCTACCAATACGCCGTCAGCCACTACCTCGACGACGGCTTCAACGTGGCGATTCCCACCTTTTTCTGCTCCTCCGTCCTGATGTTTTTCTTCATGGTGGCCCGGCATCCGGTCGCGGATTGCTGCCTGCACCGGAGCGCTTCGGCGAAGCGACGGCAAACGTATACGGAAACCGTAGCGCTCCTAAACGCAGAGATGAACGACGAGCATATTTTTAACGTGGACCCCCGTCGGGGCTCGTTTGCCGCCGACCTGTTGCCGACGCCGCCAGGAGGAAATAAAATGGGGAAGTGCGCGATTCACTGCGCGGCCTGCTGTGCAAATTTCAGCTGCACGAATTTGGTCTTTGTTATTTTCGGCGCCATATCGGTGGTCGGTGTCGCCGGCGTGGCGCTCTTCACCAACGGCGTCTCGAGACGGGAGACTGCCAAGAAATATCTCCTGCGTCTCCCCCAACTCCATCTTACCTTTGCGACGGTTTTTTTCATCTCCATCGCCATTTACCAGACCCTGCACACGATCTTCCTGATCTTGGATCTTTTTCAAACCTGTTACTGCTGCAAGGCCGTGTGCCCGCGAGGCTGCTGCGACGATTACGAAAGCGATGACGAGAGTGATTCGGAGGACGCAGACGGCATTCTGGAGATGATGGCGCAGCAAGCGGCCTCTACCCGCGGCGAGAGAATTTCGCGGCAGCTGGATGCGGTCGTGGGGTCGAAAGGGTACAACAGGGTCGAGCGCGCAGCGATGGTCCCGAGAAACTTCTGTACCATCACCGTTGCGATAGTGTGTTTGTGCCTGAATGTGCTGACGATCACCCACTACCTCATTTGGAATTCTAACGGAAGTGGCGCAAAAAAAGAATTCAACTACCACGAGTGGCTCGCCGTGTTTTACATCTTTCTGTACTTTATCGCCGTCGGCATTCTCACCCTGCAGCACGGTAAAAGAACCGAGGCAGTGTCGTGCAGATCTAATTGCTGTCGCGCCGATCGTGACAGGGTCTAGTTTTTGGTGGATTAAATTGAAAAGAGATCATGACGCGATCGATCAAGACAAGATAGAGGAAATGGGACGCTGCAGCCCTACTCTATTTCTGTAACTTTCTGCGAGCACCCGCCAGCGTAAGTCAAGTAAAGCGTGCTACATGCAGCTCGTCCTTGATCCGTATGTTGACTTACCTACGTTTTCTGGATATGAGTCCTGACATGGCATGCATGATTTTTGTTCTTCACAAGTATGACCACGTAAGGAGGCGCAATCAATTCGAATTGAGTTGCTTCCGGAATTGGTGGAATTGCAGTGGACATTCACGTGAAATAAGTTACCTTTTTTTCGTTTCATAATTTCCATGCGATGAGACTGGTGCATTGCCAGCACTGGCAGCTTCTGACATCATCTAGTGATTCTCATTCCTGTTTTGGCGTTCTCATGCTAAGCATATGGTTGCAGTGTTGTGCTGAACCAAAGGACAAAAAAGACTGAAACTACTGAGACAACACAATCATATAACTGTCTCAGGACAGAGGTGAACCAGGACCACAAACTACCGCCTTGGACGCATTCTGTTTGTCAGAAACGAGGAAGCGCGCTGGATGAAATCGGCGAAAAGAAAACAGATAAAAAGAGGACATGACTGTGGCACTAATGTATGTCTGTTTTCATCCTTTTTCCCTATCCGTTGTTCGCTCTACAACGACCTGCAAGTGCAATATTTGAAGCGATGAGTTTTATATATTGACTCCCCGTGTTGAGGACCTAGAGGTAGAGCCAGAGCTTAAGCTTGTCTGTTATGTGGGATCTTGGATTTTTTCCATGGATGTCAGATGCTAAGACTAACTGGAGTTTAGTACGTGAGTCGGTTTCATCGAGAAGTGCATGTAAATGTGAAAAGCCATGAAACTGTCGAGAATGTGATCAACGTGGTGAAAAATAAAGAACCATCATTGTTGTGAAAAAAGGAGGATCTATGTCTATCACGACGCAAGCCAAATAGTATATTGACACAAAGATCGATCAGTGACACTTAACTACCTTACATGCTTCTATCTGAGTGCAGCAAAATTCATACACCTGAGCCTGCGTGTGATGTAGATGTTATGGATTCGGATTCCGTCGTTTCTGTGTGAATAAGAATAATTAATATCGGTCGATGTGGAGGAAGGAAGTCCTCGAGGTTGTCAGTCAGGAATATTCATTTTCACTTTCAACTGTGCTCTCTGAAGGAACTAGACAGCCAATACAGTGTGCTTGTTTGTTCTCGACGTACTTAGCTCGCCTCCTTGGCGCGTTTCCTTAGTTTGTATGCCTCCTTGACATTGTCTACTTGCATTTTTCCACGATCTCTGTCTACTTGCATTTTTCCACGATGGTATCCACCTCCGATGAGTCCCATGTGCGCGGCCGCATTGCGGCGCCGCTCCTCTCTTCGAGAACAAGCGAAGTTGCAGTCGACTACAATGAACAAAGGCAAAAGAACGCATCATCGCCGCCCAATCTTCCGGGAAGCAGTAGATCTGACGAACACCGTAATTATCCAAAGTCGCGCACTTCAGCTACGTCAGCAACAGGAGCGCCTTCATCCACCGCCCCTACCACCACAGGTTGCGTCTGCGAGACGAGTCCCGTTTTGATCGGTTGCGGACTCGTGAACGGCATTTTGAACAATGCGAGTTTTTGCGTTTTGCTCGGCGCGTCGCAGAAGATGGCGAGCGATTTCATGGAAATCGACAAAGTGTCGCTCCTCACCTGTTTGTCCACCGTGGGTTGCCTGATCGGCATTCTGACGAATGCCAAACTCTGTGTGGGTACCTGCAGCGAGAAGTTCCGGTTGTTGCTGCTGCTGACGCTGGTCACCACCGGCTATGTTATGATCATCATTGCCTACACCGCGTTACTGGGCCACTCCGCTGGGTTCTACCTGTGCGTGCTGGGTGCCGCAATCCTTGGTGGTGCGCAGGCGGCGGGGGAAGTACTGAATCTAACTTTGTGCATATGGAAAGAAAAAAGTTTGTCACAGTCACTAACTTGCAGGTTTTGCATTACAAATTTTTTTGGCATCACAAGTTTTCCTAGTATTGCAGAAACACTAGGGAAATCCCCTATGAAGCTTGGCTGTCATGCATTTTTACGCATGACAGCCAATTTTGTATTGCAAAAATGCGCATGAGTAATCGTGACGAACTTTTTTTGTTTGATAGTGCAAGAGCTTTGTTCCGGGAATGCTCTCCAGCTGGGGCGCGGGGACGGGGTTGTCCGGAATCTTTGGTTATGCATTGCAAATATGTCTGGGTCTGGAAGGTGGTAACCTGTGATGCTGTCTTCGGATTCCAAAAAGATCTGCATTGCACCACCAGCAGGAGGAGTCCAGTTTGTGCTACGCGGGGAGGGCATTTCTCATGCGGTATAGGCATCCCATCAGAAAGCCCTCACAAAATCTATGATGCCAGGGCATGCATCACAGACATCAGTACGCATGCAAAATGTGCATGACAAACACGGCAACATTCCAGACCCAGACACTTTTGCATTTGATATTGATCCGACGATCTACTTGCTTCTGACTTCCGGCTGCGGGTTAAACACGGGGGAGACCGCGTTCGTGTTAATTGCGTCACTTCCACTCTACTTTCTCTGTTTCTACACGGTGGTCGAGAAGCGGGACGCCCAGCTCGAGTTGCAGCAGTACCGGGACAGAAGGTCCTCTGGCCGGGAGCATATACCCGCACCACGACCACAGGAGCAGCTCCTCGAGGACAACTATCCAATTGCGATCGAAACTGTCGCAGCAGAGGTGGAAACCATGCCAGGACCGCACCAGCAAGAGTCTTCTAGTACAGATACAGGAGGAAGTACAACAACTTCAGGCTCCTCGTCGTCGTCGAGTAACCATGAGCCTGAGCAGGCCCACGCCGCGACAGTAGAAGGATCATCTGCTGGGACGACTGCAAATGTGGTGGAGGTAGCTGCAGCCACGACCTCCGCTTTAGTACCAGCAGTGGCTGCTCCTCCTGAATGCTCTTCATCAAGGCGATCTACTTGCGAAGGAGGAACCGATGATGTCGCTCCAGTAAGCCTCAACCGTACCAGCAGGACCAGAACTGTTTCATCTGCGATAATTATCTCCTCACCCAGAACGCCTTCCCCCATCACCTCACGGCCGCCCGGGCGTACCTCTTCGAAGCCCGAGTTTATGTCACCCCAGCGAGCGGCTTTTGACGAGGACGAGGCCGAGGTCCAGCCCCTCCCGCTCACTTTGGAGAACTTCAAAAGCGTGATGCGCGGGCGGTGTCGCTTGATCATGGCGAACATGGTAGCGGTTTATTCGCTATCAACTGCAAAAGTATCGTACTAGTAGTAATTGCATTACAAATTATTGCCTCAGCATGACAAATGGAATTTGTCATGCTGTTTTATCTTGGAAAGGATATTTGTCATGCATAGCTGCAATTGGTACGAGTGCGATACAACTTTTGCACAGAATATTCGCTGGAGTACCTGATCATGTCCGGATTCGTGGATCGCGTCACCCTGTTATGCATTGCAGATATGTCTGGGTCTGGGGGGTGACGACTTGTTATGCTGTCTTTGGATTCTAAAAAAATGTGTATTGCATGACCAGCAAGAGGGAGCCAGTTTGTGCTGCGCGGGGAGGGCATTTCTCATGCGGGATAGGCATCCGCAAGCTCTCTAAAAATCTGTGATGCTAGGGCAACGCCACAGGCATCAGGGGTCATGTAAAATGTGCCTGAAAAACCTTTCATTCTTCCAGACCCAGACATATTTGCAATCGATACCTGTGCCCCACCGACAACACCTTTCTCGCGACCAACGCCTTCACCGTGTTCTGGACGCTTTACAACGTCGGCGTCACCTATGGATGTGTCAGAGTTGAAATCCTCGACAAAGTTGAAATAATTTGTCATGCACATGCAGAAAACGGATACCGCCTGCAGTTTGTAGTCGGTGCATGACAAATTGTCCCGGTCCTGGAAGCGAGTCTGTCATGCGGTTTAGGGCAAAAGGAAAAGACCTGCCTTCTGGCATGCAAGTCAGCAGTCCAACTCCTGACCCTTACCAGGACTATAATCTGCCTCCCTTGCGTCCTCCGCAATAGAGTCACCTTTTGTATCGCATTTTATGCATTACAAGTCATTTCAACTTTGTCGATTTCAACTCTGACGCATCCATATCACCCTCTCGCGCGCCTCGGTCGCGCTCTTCCGCATCCAGAAGGTGTACTATCAAGAAGAAAAATCCCCCCTCCCCATATTGAAAAGGTATGTCGCCGAAAATTTGTGTTGCTGATTTGAGGTCACAATTCACATCTGTCTTGCAAAGAAACAACGGTAGAAGCTTCCGCCATATTATGGAAGCGATTTGTCATGCTGTTGGGCCTAAAGGGGAGCCGTTTGTCATGCTGAACAACTAGACCCATACGCCCCCACTTAGCCTGGGGATCTGGCTGCAATGGCTCCATGCAATACAGGGCTGATTTGTGTACACAAGTCCAGCATTAGAAGTTCCGCTTTGATATGGGGAGGGGGGACTTTTCCTTTCGATATGTACCTGCTCACCTTCACGCAACTGGTAAACTGCCTGCTCTGGGGCACGGAGGTGTTCGCAAAGGTGCACCGACAGCTGGCTGAGAACGATCTCGGGTACTACATTATGGCCGTGCACATCGTTTTCGTCGGCTTCATGGGCGGTGCCTGCTACAGCAACTGCATGTACTTGTTCAACACGTCGCCGGACATCCCAGCGGAGTACCGGGAGCTTGGCCTGAATATCGGCTTTTTGTTTAGCAACGTCGGAATAATCACGGCGACGCTGCTCGCTCTCCTCCTTGACGCTACGGTAATGAGCAAAGAAAACCTGTTTCCGCCTGATGGCACATGTCCACAATCATTTTGAAAGGCCTCACTGGTAAAGTAGGGACAACGTCAACAAGAAGAGAAGTTCTAAGCACGTTCGTAGTTGTGCTGGAAGGACATGCATTCCATGTCGAGGATGATTTTTACATAAACGTCAACTATTCAATATCTTTACATGAAGATGAACTCCATGACCATGTCATCTTTAAGTCTAGCCATACATCAAAAATCGAGCTGCAGAAAGGAAGGGGGAAGGCGATTCTGATTCCACTTGACTTTTATACGCGTCAGAAAGAAAAAATGGTTGTTCCAGCGGGAAACAGCCACGACCGCGCAGCGTGTGCGTAGCTAGCAGCAGCATGCCATGTTCTCGTCGCAGAAGCGAGGCTGAAAAATCCTGAAACAGTATTTTTTTTTCTTTCGGCGACCTATTTGACGCGTCCTCGTGCGACGTTTTTATTGTTGCAGCTTCGAGGTCTAGATCCCGATTCCCATGAGACGATCCTCCTGGAGTAACTTGAGTCCATAGACCAAGATCTGGATTTTGTTTTTTTTTTCTTTGTCTATGAGATGAATGCCAGGTTGCCTAGGGCCAGGTGCGACTTACTTCATTTTTGATTTCTTCGTGGTCGATTTTTTTACTTCATTTTTGACTTCCGTGGTGTGGGTGCGGTCATGAGCTTGAGGGCAGCTAGTTCCTAGCCTCCTTACATCAATTTAAATATCTATCACCGCGACTGCACAGCAGAGTAAGACTTTTTCTTTTCTTTGCTTAATCGAGACGGAAGTTTGCAAAATAGATGTCGTCTTCATCGTCGTCCTCCACACTTGTGGACTTGCTTCTCACCGTACCCTTGACCAATGGGTCGCGGGTGGATGTGGACGGCATGAACAAGTTCATAAAGCACGCGATCATTCGCGAAAAGTCGTTGAAAATAGTGCAGTATTCGACGCGGATCATCGGTTTTTACGCCCGGCAGCGAAAGCTGACAGCTGTGGATAAACATTTCACCGGGATATCGAAGCAGCTTTCTCTTGCGCGGCGGTGCTTCAAGTTTCTACGCTGGTTCAAGCACTTTCTGGACTACAGGGACGCCGTCATGATGCCCGCCCCGGTGAGAAATTTTTTTGGCTGCTGTGCTGTCGTAAGGTGGAAATAGCAACAGATAATATCGCCTGTCCTCTTCTTGATCCTAGTGATAGACGTAGATCATGACCATGCGGTGCGAGGAGAGCGACCAAAACTAATCTTGTATTTCGCATCTGTAGTCGTTGCACGTGGGACCTGGTGTAGAAGTTCATGAAGTCCTCGTACAAAGAAAATCGAAATTAACTATACACAGGTGAAGCACCTCTTCCTGGCCGAATTTTGGCTAAATCTTGTTGCTGATCTGGCAGAGGACCTGACAAGCTTGCAAAAGCTGAAAATCATTCCTGCGCACTGGTTGCCAGACGCAACAGAGCTGTATGCAAACTACTGCCAGCTGCCCCTGGCTTTTGTGGAAGTCGCGGTACACTAAACAGATTTCCAGATTTTTTTCACCATGGTTGTGTATGCGCTCCAACGAACTTCCACGGCGTTGATTTTATTTGCAGATGAGTCAGAAGATATGTTTACACATTCGAGGGGTAATGCTTATAGTGGATACCCAATGACATCATCATATTAATTGACAGGTGAGCGTGCTGAAGCGACAAATGGTTGACAGCAGCATTAACCCGCTTAAAGCGACCATGGCAAATCTCGAAATCTTTAAATACCTGTGCGACATCGGCAAAGGCGTTTACGATTGCGAGTTTTCCTTTGCAAGGGAAGACGTCTTTCTCTGGAGTGGTCTAATTGCAGGAATTCTGACAACGCACAAAAATGTCGTCAAAGCCGTGGGGGTGAAAAAACTACCGGCTTTGACGGCAAGTGGAGGCTCGGCGAAAGGCTGACAATGCATCTTAAGAGAAGTCACACTTCCTCCAGAATTCTCTACTTCGAAACTGAAGAAACAAAGACAAAGACACAGTACACACCTCCAGCCCAACGAACATAATGAAGGACATGAAGTTCCTGTTCCGTAGCTCATTCTTATTCATACAAATCTAAAGCCTAAAGGACGTTAAGGTTATATAACGATGAGGAAACGCAAAGCCCCTGAAGATAATCGCAATTTTCAAAGAGCGGAGCGCGACCGCGAGCGAGGATGGTGGTGCACACCTAGTCCTAAAGCTGCATCGATGTCATCTTGATAAAACTGCCGACTGCGACCGCCGTGAGGGTGAAAAACCTGGCAAGCAAAGTTGTTAGATTTGCGTGCATGTATTGACAAGATGATGCCGCTCTCGGGAGCAAGAGTGATCTTGTGGTTCCTCACCTCATCGACATCCCGCCTTCTTGGTATGGTACCACTGCTCTTGTCGTCAGTTTACGGCTCCAAACGTACCGCCAATCCGGCTTCCCAACAAGCGCCCTCTTGCGTTTTTGATCCGTTTTGGGAACCGGAGGTCCGGGAATATAATTTCGCGCAAATACCTCCTTCGACGACAAAGGGACCAACGGTCTCCAGCGCCGCAAGAAATATAGGCGCAGCACCAGCACTATCTCCCTTTTCAAGTCACGCCAAAAAAACGATCAACGAACAGGAGCAGAACGACCCGGAGGGCCAGCTGCCGAGTTTTTCCAAAGACAGCCTTTCCTTCGATCGTGTGGTCGACCTGGCGATCCAGGGTCAGCCCTTCATCGTCCGCCAAACATCCGGTTCGACGTCTCCTTCCGGCACATATAATCAGGTGGCAGATCATCTTGATCTTGATCTAGATAAAGACAAAATGCTAAAACCGGCAACATCCACCTCCTTGTCCTGGCCTTTCCAAAATTGGACGTGCGCGGATTTCGCAAAGTCCTACCCCGACGCCGAGGCACGCGACGAGCTGGACCACCAGACGCGCTTCGCGATCAAGGATCTCGACGGTGCCGCGGCGAGAAACCCGACGCGGTTCCGACCCGTGCCCGTGCATCATGCTGCTTCCGGCATTCAGGAAACCAGCAACGCGCCCATCCGCTGGCCGGCCCACATTGAGCCGGATCTCGCGGTGAGACAGAAACTGAGGGAGCAGTTCCAACGACAATCGAACTATCCGAGTTGGTTGCAGCTTTCATCAGTAGTAGATCGGGATCGTGTCGAGCTGTTGAATCAAAACCATACAGCCGCGATCGCCGAAAACCAGAACAGCATCGCAGACACGTTTGAGCTGTGGTTCTCCCCGCCGGGCGGGACTGCGGTGCACGCGCATGCCGACGGGTACTGCAGTCTGACCGGTTCTATCCAAATCCGGGGCCGAAAACAATGGCGGGGCATGATGTACCCCGCGGGCGATAGCATTGAGCACCGGTTTAACGTCTTCGAAAAGGGGATATACCGTGTCGGAAGCACGCCGGGGTGGGAAGCTGGCGTTGTGCCGGGAACGTCCAGCAGCGCAGCCAGGCGGCAACAAACAGTTGCAGACCACTTTGCGCACGCTGACGCGGAAAAGCGAAGACAAAGAGAAAAAGCATCACAGAAATCGAAAATAGAGGTACACGTTGCCACCGAAGTCGAAATTGACGACGAAGAAGATGACGTGGAGAAAATCATCGAGGACGACGAGAACAATCTTTCTACAAAACCTCGCAGAGGAGCGTCGACTACCTCCGATCGGAAAATACTGGCAACTGCCGAACGAAAAACATCAAAAGAAGGAGCATCTTCTTCAACATCTTCACTGTTGCGCTCGAGCTTGTGGCAACCAGAAACCGATTTCGTACTTGGTCCCGGCGACATGTTCTTTTTTCCTCCCGGGTACGTACACGAAACCTATGTGGCACCCTCGTTGGGATCATCACTGCAGGACCAGTGTGCCATCGCATCCACGTTTCAGTTGTCACTCCCCGCACCTACAAAGTACCTCCGGTCCTTCTTTCCCCGGTTGACCAACTCGCACTTGCAGTACGGTCGAGAGGACCAGATGTTGAAAAATGCCACGTGTGTCCCGGATAAGTTTCTGGATTACATTTTCTTTGACCAGGAGAAGAAACCGCAACCTTTCCCCGTGCTGGATACCAGAGTTTGGGAGCGACAGACGAAGGAGATCTGGAGGAAGGTGAAAGTGTTCAGTCGCAGAAATGAAGGCTATATATACGACGACATCAGTGCGGCTGACAGCAAAACTACTAGTCGTGGGAGCACTTCTTCTCCCGGAGGTGGTCCGACGGCGACCGATGAGTTCCTTCATAAGTACCTCTCTAAAGACGAGCTGTTGATTTTCCTGCAGATGAAGCTATCCAAGAAAAAACACCCATCCCCATCCATTTTTTGCATAACAAATTGTGGACTTTATGCATGTTTCGCATGACAAATTGGATGGGGATGGGTCTTTTTTCCTGGATAGAAGCGAGCGGCGGACTCCGGCGGGGGGCCCACGAGCTTCTTCCGCAAGGCGGACCAGCTGGTCACGAAGCCCGAAGTGCAGTTGAAAATCAACAAACGAGAGACACGGCCCGTCGCGGAGTACCGTGCCCAGGTTCTGCGGATGCGGATGCTAGAGCTCTTCGGTTGGCACGACCGGGACGAGGACGACCGCATTTCGCTGCAAGAAGTGTTTGAAAGCGTGGCGCAGGCGCATGTTCTGATGCACCGCCAAACGCGCATGGGCGACCTGCTGAAGAAAGAGCGGGAGATCAATTCCGGAGTGGTGGCATCGTGGTTGGTACGGAAGTGGAAAGCGCTGGACGACCAGCTGTACGGAAAATTCCGGCGGAAGGGCGTTCCGATCCCAGTCGCTTTCTTGACGGGGGAGGACGAGCAGCCACAAGAACCGCCCGTGGGATTCGACAGGAAACCAAAGCGAAGAAGTGATCGATATTACCGAAAACACGACGTCCGCTATTTTGGCGAGTTGTAAAGACGACGACGAGACATGACTCGTCGAAAAAGAAAACGCATATACAAACCTAGCTGTGTATATCATCGTGTGGATATGTGGTAATGCTGAAGCAGCACAAGTAAGACTGAAAAAGAAAGACGTGTTCTTCGTGCGTGTAGTAGTTAAAGTCCCACTCGGAGGTCGCAGCACGGCATAAGTAGCAGTAGGTTCTTCTTTTAAGACTAACAAACGGAAACGAAGCAAGTATGTTGACAACAATTATTAAACGCGATTTCGATCGTGACTCGAAGCCGCAAGAAGCTTAAACCAGAAAAAAAAACTACTTATGCTCAAGCCTTTGTGTCCGAGTGAGATGAGATTGAGACAGCCTTTAACTAGAGATTCGTGTGGAGGAGAGTGAGAGAAGGAGCTAGTCGCACAGGAAAGAGCGTTCCGAAACCTCCGCGAAGGTTGATGAGAGAAAACCCAGTAACTACTTCTACCTGGTCGTACTACTTAATTTCGTCGAATCTGCTTAGCTATCAACCTTGTTGCGTCTGTTGTCAAGCAACTTCACACAAACTTCATATGTATTTCGTTTTGAACATTTTCATTGCGCAGGGCGCTGGCACGGTCATTGATGCTGGAGCAGTACTACTTAATTCGTTCGCGCGAAAAAGAAATAAGATTTTTTTTCAATTTTTCGACTCGCAACTATTGAATTATCGCCATAAATTTTAGGCACGGAAATTCGTGCGTTTCTTTTTGTTCCTACTGTACCATTTCATCTGTTTCTTGAGAATACAAAACCCGTTCAAGATGCCGGCTTCACCGCAGGTGACGAAGATGAGCCAGAAGTATGCTCACGACATGAACGCGATGACCCTGTTCGAAGTCAAAGATCCGCTTGGCTTCGATGAAATCCGTACTATGTTCTAGTTTTGCAATTTCTGCGCATTATTTTACCCGTTTTTTCGTGTTTCGCTTCCGATAAAATACATGCAGCTTTGGTTACGACTAGCACCAGGCAGCTGTAGTAGAAGACGCAGATGAAGTTGATGATGATGTAAGTCTAAGTAACTATCTGTGTGTACTTAAACAAACTGTATCGATCTATCAAACACAGAAATCTCCGAATACGCTGCGTCCTTCCGGCTGAGCGACGTGGTCGGAGACGGTATGATCACCTACAGTGAGCTACCCCGGGTGCTCGCGCGGGTTGGCGAGTTCCCTTCGGAGCAGACGCTGGAAAAGATCATGAACAACGATATTGACCCGGAGGGCGAGGGGCTGTACGACTTTCAAACGTTCCTCAAGTTGATGAAGCACTTCCATCACGAGCCGGCCACGGCGCAAGTCTTGCTGGAAGCCTTCAAACTATTCGACCAGGATCAGAGCGGTAAGTATGAATTCCACTCGATTAACTATCTTTTCTTGTTCGAGATGAGTGCGAAGCTCGAGAATTCTATGCTGTGTCATGTGAGCTAGAGCTTCATGTTCCTGTTGTGCTTGATTGTGCAGGTTGTAGAAGCACGACGTGGTCATGCCAGAAGCATTCATCGTACATGGCATCTGATGAAACATCAAGAAGAAGAACCACAAAGAAAGTCAAATGGCAAATTACTCACATCAACGTCAACAGGTACGGTCGAGGCAGGTGAGCTGAAGCACTGCTTGTCGGCACTCGGGGACAAAATGAGTGACGCAGAGGCAGAGGAAATGATTGCCATGGCGGATAAGAACGATAACGGACACATCTCGTACGACGAGTTCTTGGACTTCATCGGCACGATGTACTAGAAAAACGAAAACTACAGAGGAAGCATCAAAAGGATAAACCGTGATGAAAGAAGAAAGGAACAACTGAACTAGAAATAACGTAGAAGGTCGTCGCGTAATCGTAATGTAAACAAAAAAAGAGATGATGGAGAAGGACGGCGAGGAAGAAAAAGAAGTCGACGAGCTAAAAAGAGAACAACATGCGGTGGTGCCCCAGCAAAGCGAAAGCCATCACTTCGCCCACTTCGCGCTGCAGTAGTTTTTCGTTGAGTTGTGCAAGAGCAAAAAGACTGTCGTCCGGTGATTATCATGCCTTAAAATTTTCAAAAACCCACCATCTCTCTCTGTGCCTGCCTGGTCGCGACAAGTTTTGACTTTTTGACCGTGGTCCCGCTCCGGTGTTGAAAGCAAATGCCACGTGCGGAGTGCGGACTGAGTCGTGGCACCGCGGCTTGCTGCGCCAGAGAGCTGCAGATGAACTCCCTGCCTGAATTCGCAGCAGTATCCCTGTTTCCGCACGCCAAAATTGAAGTATAAGTTGAGAATACAGAAAAATACCGATGAACAGAAACGCTCGCTGCATCGGACGTACCAGAGAATAGAGCTTGGAGTGACGCACTTACTTATCTCCGCGTCTTGTTACGAGAATACAGGAAAGCAGAGCGACTTCTAAACAAGGTAGAATACAAAAACCATTCAAGTGCGTAGTGCTTCCAACCATCTTCAAAGGTGTTGGAGGACTACACAATTTTCACGTTATCAATCATCAATGTGGTCGTGTTTCACAGCACTGTTGTTGTTCGTCTATGACTATCTCCACTTTGCCCCCATGCATAAGACCAATTTTCCTTTTCACGATGTCTGTGTGAATGCGGCAAAGCTCCGGCTTTCGTTTAACCGCAAAGAGAGTCGTTATGTCCACGCTCAGTGACACGCAAGGTCGGCTCAGCGCCGCGTCAATTTTCGGCCTTTTTTGCGTGCGAAGGAAAGCAAACCGGCACCGGCTAATAGTTGAGAGGGACAAAACGACGCAAATGTCATACAACGGCAACTAGGAGGTTTACGTTTATGTGCAAGAATATTTGTCAAAATGTGCCACAACTTGCCGCAAAAATTTGCGTGATTCTTTGCGGTCGGGAATTGAAATTGGAATCTTCACAAGAAAAATGCTCTTAGGGATTATTACCAACGCACTGACAGATTTCGTAGCTTTTTAAGTAAAACTAAAGAAGCGGACTACTTCGGACGATTAACAATTCGCAAAAAAGCCAAGCGCTAACTATGTTGGGCGACCTTTCGGCGCAGGTTGAGAAGCTGAAAGCGCAGCTTCGGCTGTTGCGCTTCCCGATTAAGGATTTCATGGAGCAGGGGGTCCTTACCGGAAAGCCCATTGCGCTGCTTCCGATTTTGCACTTCGTCTTTTTTAGCTTCAGCAAACCCTTCGCGGGATTCGTGCGCGAGCGTGGCTACGAACTATACGCGAAGTCGGATCTGAGGTTTATTGAGGAATGCTACCAGGTTTTGCGTAAGGAGCTCCACTACAGACCCACACTGAGTACGGCGCAATTCTTTCAAAACGGGTTCGTGGAGCGCAAGGTAAGTATACTTTTTCTTTCAAAGACGAAGGACATGAAGCTACTAGTACTATCTAGAGGGTTCGATGATCACCATCATCGGGAGACCTACTGACTGTGCACCTTTCCTCCTGTTGCCTGATCGCGACCTGTGCCAGGACGTTGTGGAAATGGTTTCATCGGTTGTAGTGCCTGTTTCAGACGTGCTGTCCACTGACCTAGAATGAAAATTGCCGTCAACGTAGGTGATGCTGCTACAGGACGTGATTCGTGTGGTTCGTCGATGGCATAACGAGCAGGTCGGCCAAGCACGAGACGCGCTGAGCGGCAGCACCCTGTCGGTGCGCACGGCGATGACCACACCGAAAATGAACCGCACCGGCCCGCTTATGGTACAGAGCCAAGCCGCCGCCGCGTCGCGCCCGCCAATTGGCGCCTCTCTCTCCACCGGAGCGACGTCCAGCAGCGCAGCCCAGCAGGGCGCCAGTCTGGCGGAGGTCATGTTGCGCCGGGGTTCGGACTCGTCCGACCACGCGTCCAGGCAAATGCGGGTTTTGACCGCCGACGGAGACATGATGATGTCCGGCACGACACAGGAACAAGAGGATGGGATCATCGCATCCACCGGCAATTATGGGCCGATAGTTGTGACCGCCGTGAGCCCTGCGAAGTCCGCGAATGAGGTGTTTCGGGACTTCTGCGCCGTCGAAGCCATGACGGAGCAGTCGCCGTTGCTGACGGAAAAATCTGCGTCCGATCCGCTCGCCGGCGTGCACATCCAGGCAAAGCCGGCGGTAAGCAACTCGATGGAGCTCGATTTCACGCTGCCCCCTCCGCAACCGATGACGCTGGCGCACGAAGAACCGACGCCGACGCACTACAACGACGTCGTGACCACGGCCGCACACGTTGTTCACATGGGCGGGAACAGCAGCAGCAGCAGAAATCACGGATCTTCAGGCTCTACTGCTGGTCGTGCCAGCAATCCGTGGGGCCGGGAAACAAATCACAATTATCTTCAAGAACAACGGGAGCAGGAGTTTGTTGAAGAAGAAGAACACCTCGTGCACACAACGCGCGACCCTTACGTCTTTGGAAACAACGCGGTAGCAGCTTACACAATGAGCAGCTCGTCTTCGTCCGCCGCGCATGCACGACAAGTACCCGTTTCCGCCATGGCGTCTGGCGCCGCGGGGGTGGGGCTGCAGGACTACGTGATGCACAAATTTGAGGAGATGGCGAAAACCCTTGAGGCGCTCTCCGCCCGAGTGACGGTTCTGGAAATGGAGCGGAAATTAGATCAGTCACGTCAACTCGCTATAGGCAATCACCACACCAGCGGAGCAGCTGCACCGGCACCGAGTAGCTCGTCTGGTGTTCTTGTCGCACATAACAACCTTCCGCCAAGGTCTCCTGCTCAACATGCAGTTCCGACTTTTGTCAAGGACCGGTCCATGACGAATCCCGCCGTAATAAGCGCCAACACCATTCGCGATTTGCCGCATATTGGGGCGGGTCAAGAAGTTCTTACTGATGCCCGCGCAGGACGCGATTTCCTGACGCAGACCGCGCCGCCCGTCGCGTCTTTCCAGGAAGACCCCCCTTTTTCTACCACGATCCGGACCACCACCAACCCGTCAACATCCTCGAGCACGACACGCGCAAGCGTATTCACGAAGAAGCACAACTTTTTAGCTCCGGCTCAGGAGGGCAGTAAAACGATCGTGACGCCGCCGCCTGGCGTTGAGAGTAAGTCGACTGCCGCGAGCGGAAGTCCAGCCGAGCAAGACTTCTTGGTTCATGCGAGGTACGACAACACTTCTTCGTTCAACCCTCCAGTGCGCGAAAGTGCTGCGAGTGCCAGCGAAAGAGGAGGTGAATATAATCTGGGCGCAGCCAGAATAAATGGGGACTCTTCATCATCGGAATACAACTTCGGAAACATGGCGTCGAGTAGAAGTCGCTCCACGACACTGACGAGCCAGCATCAGGTCGCGGTGCACACGCCAACGTCGACAACACAAGTGGTGGTCGGCGGCGTTGCCATTCCCTCGGCAGAGGAGACCCAGAAGCTCATCGCAAATTTGACAGCGAAATTCAAGGACACACAGGAATTGCTGGAAAAAGCAAAAGCTCGAACGCGCGAAAGCAGCAGCGCATCCAAGCACGCGACTGGCGCGGGATCATCTCGGTAGCAGGTGGGAAACGATCGCGGCCGCTATGATGCGCGATGATCGTGGTTGCTACATCAATGCGGCACGAACTACTACTACTTCTTCCTCTACTTCTCCAGATGAAGATGGAGTGTATGTGTTCGCTCCTCTATTCGGTTTTTTTCAAACGAAAATTGGTTTCGAATAGGATTGGGATATGTAGTTTTTCAAGCGGCTCGAGGTTCATGCGCACCGTGCATCGTTGCCGTTTTCGGGAACTACTGTCGAGAGATTTGCCGTCTTACCATTAACGTCTTTTTTAGATTGTTGGCTCCTCAAAATCTTGTAGCTACGTTGACTAATGTTCGGACTTGGAGTTTGTGCCTGCTGTGAGCCTGCTGAGTTTCGGTTTATGCAAGTGCTTGTAATCATCTTCCCAGTGACATGATTCCGTTCTTTGTCTTCGTCTTTATTTTCTTTCTCGCTTCATAGACTAGTACACTAACGCGCGAGCGAATTTTCGAAAAACCAGAGAAAATGGTCGCGTTGCTGGCGCCGGCGGCGCCAAAGTGCGCCTGGGTCCGTAATTAGAATTGTCAAAATTTTAGCTGGTCACTGAAAGTTAAAAAGCAATGTAATACTTCGACCTGAAAAGAAATACGATTACAAGACAGCGAGATAGAGTGGAAAACTTTCATGCTTCTTAACTTAGCTCGAATCAATGGTGATGCTGGTGCCAAGTCACCATACTTCGCTAGTTGAAGGGGCCATTGCATCTTGACATCCAACAATGCACCTCGAAGAATCTTTAGTTGAACGAAAAGTTTGATTGACGCCAACCACTAACTTTCGTGCGGGCGCACGAAGAATGAACTAGATGGGGATCTTCTGCAGAATAGCGAGGGATCTGATCATTCTGCTCTTGGTCCTCTAGTACTAGTAGTGACTCTATGTTTGCGACCCACGCGGCATCAAAGGAGGAGGCAAGATGAAGCTTATGTGTTTTAATGAATCTTTAGTTCTGGTCTTTTTGTTTTTCTTATTTGTTAGCCGTACCCGTAGCGCTTGCACTTCGACATCGACGAGGTACACGATCCTTAGATCCAGAAAGTGACTTTTTGACAGGACTCTGAATGTCACAATAGCATAACCGTTCTTTCTATTTTCTTTTTGATCCCAAAGATATCACATTTCCTTAACGTGACATTTTTGATTTTATTCGTACTCACCAGATCATCCGAATCTCCAACAAAGCTTGATGACAGAAGCACCACACATATTGTTTTGATCTTCCAATCCATTGTTTTGTAGCTGCCGCAAATCAATATTTTTCAGTTTTTGATATGAATCAAGCCGCTTTTTTATATGTCCATCCTTCCAACTGGCAAGCTGAAGTTTTAGCTCATCATCAAAGGCTAAGCAATTCTGCCTTCGTCAAAGAGGCCAACAAGATGGGAGCGTCTCACCATCCACCATGGAAGAAGAAGCGTGTCACTCCCGTGTGGCAGCTTCTGTTTTTCCTCTACTGCACGGCGGCCGCCTCCGTCCTCGCGACGCCCAATGTGGAACCGCCTGCGGCTGCCTCTCCCGACGTCCTTGCGAAGACCAAGGCGGAGCTGCCTGCTGGCAGCACCCGCATGCGCTTTCACAGGGACTGGTTTCTGCAACAGGCTCAGGTCCAGCTCGACCAATTCGGGATGATGCACGGCACGCGCGCCCCCGACTTCTGGCCGTTGGACTTCTTTCGAGGAAGATCGACCTTGGCCACGTATTACAAAGAGCTAATGTTGAGACTGATGCTGCACGGCGGAACCGTGAGAAAGAAAAATGGCGAGACAGAAATCGTGAAACCGTTCGAGATGCCGACTAAGGATGAAAATGCCAAAATCAGCATCCTTGACGAACGGCATTACACGAATCGGATGAAGCGAGAAATCAAGCGCTTGCTGGATGAGGTGCTGAAGGACCAAATTACTGCCAAAATTAAGCAGATCAAGGCGCAAGAAATAAGGAAAGACGCACAGACATTGGCGGAACAACACGCACGCCGAAATGCACAGCAGCAGGCCGGTGCTGCGACCGAGGTTTTGCCGAGAGATCAGCGGATGCGGCTGGGAGTTGTTGGCCTTGCCCCGGGTGAGAGTCAAATCGTTGGAGGGCCGTCGCAGTTTTTGCAGACGCCTCGCCAAAGACGGACACCTGCTAGTACTTCTGGGCCTCTAGGTGGGCACAGTGTGCAGAAGCAGACCCTCGGCTTGACAAAAAGCACCAGGTCCGCAACTACAACGAGTCAAGGTGGCGTTCGCGGGGGTAGTTCTAGTTCCTCGCTCCTGTCTTCTGTCAAAGAGATGAAGGACCACGAGCAACATTCCGGAGATGAGTCCTGCACCACGGCGGCGGCTTGTGGGTCTAGTATGTAGTGAGGTCACCGAACGGTTCTAACCGGGGAGTTTTTTTGCCACCCAGCCAGAAAACGGCCGCCATTTTGCAAGCGGGCGGAAGTGTTTTTTGACAAAAAAAAATTTCAATTATCAAGCGGCTTTGGCTGTGTCGGCACCGAATCGCCAGCGGATTCTATCGATCGCCGCTGGGTAAAACGACGCAGAGAAGCCAGCAAAAGGGGCGCCCTTCTGAGGCGCCCGCCGCCTTGGTTTCTGGCGATTTGGGACGCCCAAAAAGGGGCGCGCAAAAAACGCGCCCAAAATCAGAACAGCGAAACAGCATGGCACGGCCGCGATTTCGGAGCATCTTGGGCGGCCGCGAAAGCGGCCGCCTTTTCGCCGGTTTCAGAGCCTGGGAAGCTTTGCAAAAGGCGCTGGCGAGAAATATAAAAACGGAAAAAAGAAAAAGCGCGCCAGACGCGCAAAGCGAAAGCCAATCCGCATGCTATGGGCCCGATTTTCCCTCGCTTTTTGGGCGCCCCCCGTGGCGCCCGGATCGGCCTCATAGCATGGGGGCTGGCTTACGGAAAGGAATTTCGAAAATTTATCAAAATTCGCGACGCTTATCGGGCGGCCGCCATACCGTGGGGCCTAACGTTACTCACGGCGGTATGGCGGGCCCGGAAAAATCAAAGCCGCGGCCAAGGCGACGGCCGGCAAAAAAACGCCCACGACCTCACTACCTCCGCCCCGGCGGCTATATTTGGTACTCGGCGGACTTCGTCGCGCGATTCCACGCCCTGCGTGTTCGGCATCACCTCCGAGAACGATGAGCCACAAAAGCCCCGCGACCAGACCGGGAAAGAGAAACTCTTGAGCCCCCGCCGCGGCAGCGTCACAGCGGGCGAATTAGGCAGCAGCAGTATCGCGACACCCGCAGCTGGTGCACCACAAGCAACTACAGCAGGCTCCGCGAGTTTCTTACAGAATAGATCCAACTCCACGACCGAGGCTACTGAACGCAACAAGAAAATGTGTTTCACCACCGGCCCCCTCGAGAACCACAGCCACCGCGAGATGGTGCGGGCGACGAGTCCGGGCGGGAACGCTACAACAACAAGCAGGACCGACTGCGCTGCGGCCGCGAACAGCTGCGGGTCGGAACATCATGTTGGGCAGGCCGATAGGAACCAAGGCCTTGGCTACCGCACGTTGAGCGATCTCGGACGTGGCCAGGGTGACGAAGGCCAATGGCAAGTAGCCTTGAACCGGCTTGACTGCATGGACGGTAGCAAAATGTTGGTCGGCTCTACGCGCATGAGCCAGCAAAGAGATGATCATGCAAATGGTAATGTCGATGATGTAGATGTTAATCAGGATTTTCTGGATCGCTTCGCGGACTTAGTATCGGTGGCGTCCATCGAGTTCGACGGAAATTCGGCCTCCGAATCGCACTCGCAGAGGCACTTGCGCAGTGGTGCGGCGTCGATTGCTGGGGAACTCGTGTCGGAGCCCGATAGCTGTTCGTTTGCCTTTGCGGACGACGACTCTCAACATTCCTCGTCTGTCGCCATGTCAGCGTTCGCTCGGGACGACTGGACGATGGTTGGTGAGCCGGAAGAGTTGCCTCCTGCGTTTGCAGGGATGTTTGGAGGTGGAAATGCGACGCAAGAACCTCGCTCAGGTATCTATCCTCGCGAATTGGATCCGAATGGCGATTCCGCGGAAGAAAGCGGTGAAGAGAATGAAGCGTTGCCCTTCTCCGGTGACGTTCGGCCAAAAGCTTCCTGAAGACTCAAGTTACTTACCGCATCCACATGTACCGAGAGGGAGGTACAACCGATTAATGCTCGTCGTGTTTGTGCAAGTGCATATTCATATACAACAAGATGCAACACAGTACTACTGTTTCAGTTTATTTTCTTTGGCTGTAGTTGTCTCCTTGAAAATAGAAATACCACTGACGCAATTTCGTGGTCGTGGTGCATACTATATGTTTCTCAAAGAAGTCAAAATATCAACACCAGGTGGGTGAACATGACAAACGACGCAGGCGGAAACTCTGCAGTGAAGATGCACTCTTGATCGCGTGTCCAGAACAAAACAAGATAGCCGCACCTACGTACATTTTGCAGAAGACCACAACAGGAGCATGCACAGATTTTCGGTTGATCCGTGTTTTGGCCGACAAATTCGGTCGAAGGAACGATTGATACTTGCCTAGACGCTGGTGCGCCACGTCCTCGTTTTAGAAATGCGATCCTGTCGACGAAGGAAGACGCATCAACTACAGTGTCGACGAGAAGAAGAACGATAACGGAGGACACGGCCGTCGCACCTGCAATACGCTGCAAAACACTTTAGTCATGCAGCCACAACATAGCGAAACTCTAACTCTTTGCCACTATCACAAAACTACCGAAGTAGAAAAGCCACTTCCACCTTGACTCTCGCATTTTTTTTTACTTCATCTGAGCCCTAGCAGTAGCATTAGCATTTTCACGTAGAGATGCCACATCCACCACATCAAGTCAATATTTTTGAATCTCGCCCTGTTTTGAAATTTTTTGTGGGCAGAAAAACGGCACTCCAAAAGCAAAACCGGATTATGTTTGACATTGACTGCGAAAACGACACGGGACGATTTGATCACGAGCAATGATGAGGTGCTTTACTTTTGTTTTTGTACTACCATGGGATCAGAGAATACAGCGTAAAAAAATGAGCAACTTTTCTCTTGCTGACACCGTAGCGAGTTCTTCCGATCATATGCCAAAACCGAATGAAGATAAACTATCTGCAAGTAGTTCGGGATTATTTCTGATGTTTCCACTTTTTGTTGGAATTCTGCCCGTGTGTGGGCGGAATGGGAATCGGAAAACATAAAGACGTTGAAAATTGGCATATTAATTAACATAAACTATTTTTTGCTTCGAGAATATAGGACCAATTTCTTTGAACCGCAATGTATGAAGCTCGATATTTACCTTCAATTATTATGGTGTCACGGATACTGTCACTGTTGATGTCGATCTATCTATCCGTAGTTCAAGTTCTAATTGTCTGCTCTGCCGATCGATCTGCTTCTGCGACAGCATCTGATTGTAGATGAGTATGGTTTATTGCACATCGATAATCGATTCGCTATTTTTCGAGTAATCGACGTAATCATCTGATGAAGATGAAAGTGGAAGGTAGTGGGTTGCCATAGAGAGCAGAGAGGTCCAGGTCGATGTGTTGTGCATAGGACATCGACGCCATGATGGCTTGAGAAGTGCGATTTCTTTGGAGATGGTGAGTGTGGAGGTGAGCGTTCCAAATTGATACTCAAATCGCTATTTTGTTTTTTTTTGTTCTTTCGTTCTCGTTTTTCTTCCTGTTTTTGTCTGTTTTTGTCGTACGATATTTATACACATGAGTCTTGATCATGGAAACAAAAAGTTGGACTTGGAATCGCATATTGGTGCTAGTCCGCATATTTCCTCAGACACACACGCTAGCGGTTTGAGAAGAGTTTTCATTTGTTTTTTGATTTCGCCTGCGCGCACTACTAGAACGTCGTTTCTTCAAAGCGATTAAGCAACCTCTTAACGATGGAGAAATTAGTCACGGTATTGACAGCTTTCCCTCCGCAGCGAAAAACCACACGACAATTTACGCTGGAGGACGCAGCATGTGACATGCTTCACCGTTGTACCGCGGTGGTGAGCGGGATGAGCGCATCAGCACCATCGTCCTCGTCCTCTCGTGGGGGAATTATTCTGCAGCAGCGAAGGCTTGAAACAACGTTTTTTTCGCAAACGTCTCCAGGTCGCGGGTTGTCCTCACGTAAACCAACCAGGGGTCGTTCTCATGATGAAGATATCAACTTCCCGGGGGAACAACACGAACAAATGAAATCGGCACCACGTCACAATATCAAGAATTCTTCCGGCCGCACAAGTGATACTACCACCTCTTTCGCGATTATCTATGACGGTGGCACGCAGCGTGGGGACTCGGGACCGTACCTGAAGCGCGACCCGAATGACGCCATCAACCGGCCGAACGCGTACCTGGCGGCGCAGATGGCCTGCGACAGCTCGGGCGGCATCCGGCTCGGCAAGGACCTGATCGCCCGGGACGGGAAATTTTGCGACTCGCCGGAATTTCCGCTGCACACGGTGTGCGTGAAGGACCTGCCGATGGATTGGTGTCCGTCGGTTCGGCCGAAGACGACGTTTCTGCCTCCGAAATGGAGGCCGGTGTTTGTGAAGGAAAAGCCGGTGAATTACATTTCCGGGATCGACAGCATGTCCCCCGACTACTACCAGAACAACCCCAAGGCCGCCCCGACCGACGTGATCAACCGCACGGAGATGCAGGTGGTGGCGGACCAGGGCGACGTCTGTTGCCCGAAGCGCACCAAACTCGCCCGGTCCGGCGACCTCCCGGGCGACAAGTCGACCGGCGACGACGAGGGCGGCGAGGGCATACCCATCCGGAACTGCGAGGACCACTGGGGGAAGCCCTGGTGTGTCACGCCCGCAGCCTTGTACCGCTACATGATCAACCACCCACGGTGGCAGGTCAACGTCGACTGCGCCGCGACCTCGCAACCGCGGATCGGGGTGCTCGGCGCCATCTGCGACCAACAAGACCGGCAGCGCCTGAGCGAGGAAGCGTTCAAGCACCGGATGGGCGAGCCGGAGTACGCCAAACAGTACGAGACGCTGATGAACAAGGAGGAAATGGTGAAAGGTACCACGGAGGGCAAGGAGGCCCTGGAGAAGACGCAGCAGAAAGACCCGGCCCTGTTCGACGCCAGCAGTGAGAAACCCGAAAAGGCCCCGGGCGGCAGCGAGCCGGGCTTCTACGGCCCGCCGGACCCGCGGCGCACCTCGGGCGGCCTGGGCGTTGGGCTCGCCAACGCGAGCAAATCCGCGCCACTGATCCGGCCGGGAGCGGATTTCGGCGTGTACGGGGGGCAGAGCGCGTATCTGCGGGGCGGCTTGCGCCCCGGGACCACCCCGGCGGAGGAGAGGCCGGAACACAACCAGGACGAATCCGGCGGTCTGCAGGAGCCGCCGGCCCTGGCCGACACGATGCCGGAGTCGTCCACGGTCGACCCGGTCCCGGGCGGGTTTCCCATGCAGCACGTCACGAAGCTGGTCAATCGGCACGCGGGTAAAATGCCGGTGGAGGATTACACGCAACCACCCGGGGCACCGGGGTTGCAGAGTTTCTTGTGAAGTAGAAGTAGAAGTAGAACGATGTAGGTGTAGGATCGATATTAAAAAAACTTTTCAAAGTGGCAATGTACTAGCTGGAGGTCATCAACCCACACAGACGAAATTTCGGCGTCGAAGAATATGCACAGAAGTGAAGCAACGGACGGAAAGAAGTGACTTCCTACTTGCTATTTCTCGTGACGGGGACTGTATGATCTTAATCTTCATCCTTGCTCAGGCACAGTGGGTGTATTCTCCTATGAGAACATCGATTTTCAATTTGCGAAAGGTTCTTCGGATGAGGATGGAAAACAAAGCACTGAGGACGCAGCCAATGGTTTCGGAGCAGGAGAGCTGGTCTGACAAGTGTAATCTTCTGCGTGCTGCGGATTATAAACTGCGCTCATGATGACTTGAGTCCGTGAGTGTTTTCACTTGTGTGCTCTTTTTTTCTACATCAATCGTTGCCTTCCCGAGCAGGACTTGTGTTTTGTAACTGCGACGCCAGATTATTTTTATTGCGAAGCGCAAGCGGATGATGTGGGTACATTATTGACAAGTGCGTGCGTTAGCCTTTATCTTCTGGTTCTGGCAGCTTATCGATATTGCTTTCTCAGAATGACAACTCAAACAGCAACAGCTGATGTTCCTGAGCCGGGGGGCAATGCGAGCGCAAGGACCGTCTCCGATGTCCATTTCTTTCGTGCAGGGAGCCTCGTTGCGATCTCCGGCCTCAATTCGAAGCCAGAGCTGAACGGGACTTTCGCAACGGTTATTTCCATTGACGATGCTACAGGGCGAGTTGGCGTGCTGCTTCACGATGAGTCTTCGAAGAAGATAACCAACGTCGAACAGATACCGAAGTCGAGCAGTGTGAAAAAAATCAGTGCGAAGCCGACAAACTTGGAGCTCATCGAACTTTCGTACTTCCTTGCTACGCACATCGGTGACCTGGATCGGTTCCAGCGCCTCGTTCGTGCGATAGCTAGCATCTGCGAGCAGGAATCCACCTACGGAATTCGTCCACGTCTCTTCGTCAGCTGGTCTGCGGGGAGTGAGGAAGGCCGGTTACACTTGCAGAAGTACTTCCAAGATGCGGCCGCACACCTACGATCGAGCTGCTTGCTGGAAAGCTTCGGCACTGGCCGCGACAAAAAATCCCAATACGAACACATGGAAATCATCTGGAACAGCACAGCCTGCGCGAAATTGCGCGCGAGGGTCGAAGATCACCATTGGTGGATCATTCCACACGACGACGACGATCTCAGCGGGCCGCTCAAAACGTACCAATTTTCCAGAGCAGCGAAAAAATCTTGGCTCATGGAAAAATATTTACACTGCGACAATCCAAGCCACATCTGCAGGGCCCGGATTGGCGTTCTGGACGGAACAGCGCTTATTGTAGATCTGCCCGCTGATTTTCGCCGAGCTGACCCGGAGCGCGGTGTAGAAAAGCCGCGCAACGCCTCATCCAGCCAGCTTAAGCCCGATGGAAGTCTCCGCGAAGAGGTGCTTGATCAGATCGCCGAAGAATATGGCCAGTCGTCCTGTAGTGCTAGTGATGGCGCTGATAGAGGAGCAGGGAAAAAAGCCGGCATGTTGAAGTGCAATCTAGAGCCAAACACGCCAAGCGACATCAGTGGTCTTATCCGCCGAAACGTGATACGCTTTTCGAAAGCGGGCTGTGCTGAAGTTTTCGGATTTGGCGTTCGCGCAGCTGTTTTCGCAGATTTTATCGCGAACTGCGGCAAGGACCTTCTCAAGTGCAAGTTTTGCGACCTTGCGCTCTACTACTTCCTGAAGCACCAGATTCGGTTACGAAAGCGTAGCACAGCGGTGCAGTGCATCATTGACCGGGCTGTGACGAAAACCCATCAGCAACTTTTGTGCTCTTTTCAAAACCTCGACGGACCTGCTGCTGCATCTGCTGACATTCAGACCCAACCAGTTGACGATGTCGATGCTGTCACACCGCAAGAAGTGGACGACCAGAGGAATGCGAAGGATACAGACGTGACTACGTTTTTCGAGCTCAGGCTGGAGCGCTTGCCGAACCTAGGCGATTCCAAAAGCTGGCTGCATTTTTACCGCAGAGCGTTCAAAGAAAAGAGCCAGCTAGATACAGAGAGCATGACGCAGATCAAGGACGAGGACGATACCCCTGATGCTCTATCACAAGTATTCAGCGCCGACGAGCTGCATGCGTGTTCCTCCCTGACACCACCCACGCAGTGGGACTTGAACCTGATGAAGCACGACACGTACAGCCTTCACGTGACGTCAAGCATGCACTACCTGACTGAAAACGTGCGCAGCTACTTCTTTGCAGGATACCGTGATGCCGTCGAACTCTTCCTGATGAATTACTACGGTTCGGAGCAGCCGCTGGACATCCTCAAGCTTCACCGTATTGAGATAGTTGACAACAAAGGGCCAAACTGCGGCGGCCACTACTCATGGCTTCACTTCATGGATCCCGAATGCGAGATACAGTACCCCGAGCTTTCTCCCGCGCAAACAACGCTCCTGGAATCCATGGCGACAAACATCATGCTCCAGGAAAGAGCAAGAAGTGCGGGGGATCGTTCCACTTTTGGAGACGTAGAGGCCGCTGAAGGTAGCGGAAGCCGAGGTGTGTCGACGTCGACCGAAGCGGCCAGCTACGAAACTAGGATGCGAGACTTCGTCGCGAAAGCTCACGAAAAGCAAAAGAAAAAACAACGATCCCGCAACGTCGACGCGCTGTCGAGTACCGAAAAAGAGGGGCTGGCACAAATACTACTGCAAACGCAATATGAGCCAATGGCGGTATTCGTCGAAGTGATGAAACTTCTCCTACCGGATTTGATGTATCGCGTCGCGCTCCGCTATCGGATGAGATGCACACCTGAGACGAGACTAGCGGTCAAGGACGCCACTGCGTTGGCAAATAGGATCATAAGATCGTTGTATTTGATCAGAAGCATTGTGCAAATGATGGAAAAGGAAGCGGAAGCCGAAGCCCGGTAATCAAAAGCAAAAGCATCATCATGGACATGGTGGTGAAGAGCGCATCACGATCTGACCACAAGACTCAAGATGATTTACCGAAAAGCCACTGCTCGGAAAAGGTTTTCCTTGCTGTGTTTGCGCGCATCTAAAAAAGACATTTACTTACTTAGTTGGACAGCGCGTGTTGATGTTCTCCGATCGCGAGGATTATCACATAGATAATGTTCCTGTTCCCCATCCCCACTATCACTTGCTGTGAATTTCGCTGTGATGCGATTCGCAAACAAGTGTAAATGTCAGCGTAATGCCGTGATGCTTTTCGGTTCCACTTGAACTTCTGCAGACGCAGAGGTAAAGTTAGCTGCAAGTTAAATCTGTCCTTTCACGCGATTTTCCGGTTGCACTAGAAGAAGCGCATCTGTATTCTATATTGTCATTTGCAACTACAATTAGTGGCTTCTTTTTCTTGTGGTGCGACCAATCAATGTATCGGTTTCGTGCAGAATAACAATGACTCAGACCGCCATGAGCATGACATGCAGTGGTTTGGCGGCGCAATTAGAAAATCAGACAAGCCTATTTTGTTTCGGTCACGTCCACGTGGATATCCGTACACTCGGTGATCTTTCGCAAGTGCTGCCTGCTTCTGCATCGGTCGCGCCGTAGCCATTTGCAACTTGTTCGTTCAACACATTCGTTCACCCTCTGTCATTCGCTACCGCTTGAAACGAAAAAGTAGTGTTTAATTGCAACAACGTTCAACTTCAAGGTTATCGAGCCACAACTTACTTGAACAGTAGCAGTACCCCTGGCCCTTGGAAACCTTGCCTGTATTTGATTTCCTTCGACCAACATTCCACTCTTCTGTTTTCCCTGCTTAATTGCTGCTGTTGTTCGTTTTCCGCTCCACGAGGACTGCTACAGCTACTTCTAAGTGCTTGGCTCTCTTACATTCAATCCTTTTTGTATATTCCCAGCAGTCTCAGTCAGCAGACGGAGGAGTAATAATGCAGAAGCTCCAACAGCCCTCCATTGCAGGCGGCTTTACGCCGCGGCCGTTGTCCGGGCTTCTGTCCGGTGGAAGCTCGCAGCCGAGCAGTTTCCGAAAACCGCTGGAGATTCATCCGATACAGCTCCACCCGCAAGGCGGAATGCAAGTCCCGAAATCTCAGAATCTGCTCTTTAACACGAGCCAAACCCACGGGGCGCACGGTAAAGAGTTTTTGGTCATTTCCATTTGTTGTTGCTTTGAGTCGTTGTTTTTTGCGGGTTCGGCACTGCTAGACGTGCTATCGGTAGTTCTCTTCTCTTCTTTCGCTCCTCGCACATAATTTACACGGACCTTATTTTCACAGCCCTGCGCACCAGCCTTCTCGGGAAAGGATCTGCTGTGTCTGCGACCGCGGTCGACCACGCCAAAAACGACCCGGAATTGGCGAATTTGAGGGCGTTGAAGCAGAACTGCCTGCTCCAGACCATTCCAGTGAAGGACGCACTTGACAGCCTGCGAGGGAAGCAAATCGACGGCCGACTGGATCTCGGAGCGTTCACCATGGGATATCAGGAGGTAGATTCTTTTCTAAGGAGTAAGCGTGCAATTATCGTAATCGAAAAATAAATCATCGTCTTTCGTAAGTAAATGCCGAGCCTCACGTTTTCGTCTACTACCAAGGGCTGTATCGATTTCTTTTGTTTCAAACATGGCGCCGATCTCGTCATGCAGTTTGCGTTAACATACACTGCAATCGAATCCTGGACCTCCCTCCCGTGAAATAGAAACGTCTTCCAAAATGATCCTCAGCTCTGCGCCAAGGAGAACCTTACCTGCCCGTCCCAGGACGTGATTACGGGTCTGTTCCAGCTTTTCGACAAGGATAAGAACAACGTGATTGACCCGATGGAGCTGTGCTGCGGCCTGAGCATGATGTGCAAGGGCACGGAGGATGAGAAGATACACGCGGTCTTCGACTGCTTCGACGAGGACGGGAACGGCAACATATCACTCGACGAAATGTTCAAGTTTCTCGTCTCCGTGTATCGGGTGGTGCTCACCCCCACCGTGCTCGCAACGATCAAGAACCTTGGCGTCGAGGTGCAGTCGCCCGAAGACCTCGCCTCCGTCACCGCCCTGGAGTGCTTCAAGAGCGCCGACTTGGACGGCAACGGCAGCCTGAACGTGGAGGAATTCAAGCAGTGGTTTTACGGCGGCGCTGCGGGCGCCGGTGTTCCGTCACCCACCACCTCCAGCCCGAGTGTCTTCGCGGGGCCGCTCAAAAAGTTGCTACATTAAATGAAGATTCAAGAAGTAGATGTCAAAGTCTTTCAGGATGCCCATGATAGGGAAATGGATACGCAAGGCAGTAAGAACTGTAAACTGTTTTTGCAGTGCGAGATGAATGGAAACTCGAGGACTGCATCTGCATTTTCGTGGACCTTTGACATATGAAGAATCCAATCGTAACCTTTTTTGACCCTTAAACCGAGGCTAATTGTCTTACTTGAAATTGATTCTGAAGCTGAAGCATGTAAACTTCTTTTTTCTACGATTCTAAGGTACGCTTCAAGTTCAATCCCCTTCCATTCCCATCGTTGTCCCATTTATAATCATAGTTTTTCGGTACCTTGTACTTGTTGTTGATGACACTGAATGCAAGAAGATGCAATATGTATCATCAACCCCAGTTCGGGTATTCGCGTCGCAATCGCGCGATATTACTAATCTCACACCTCGCAGAATCTCATCTGAATTATGTACCAAGGAGCGCACCAGCTTTGTCCGGTTTCGGGCAAACCGTTGTTCGTTCATATGATTGGTGTTCTTGATAGCCCAACTTTCACTTTCCCGTGTGAGAGAGATGAAGTGAGAAGCTTTATTTCAGCATTACCGACGTTGTGTGGGCGGACAATTAAAACGCCACGCTTCGTCTGTTGTAGCGGTCGCAGGTAGGTGTTTCGCGGAACAGCACAACATAAAGATGGAGTTGCGAGATGACCTAATAAACTTGCATTGCAAAGAGCAAGAACAGACTCGCAGCACCATGCGGGTGCATGAAGCCGATGCGACCTTCGCGACGGTTCTGGGGGACAAACCGCGCACTTGCAGTGTCCGTATTGGGGACTGGACGGGCTCCACTGGACATGAATCACGCAACGGGCTGGAATCCTCCTCGACCGCAACATCCTCTTCCTCCAGTGGGACCTCGCGGCCGGGCCGGAAAATAAGAAGAGAAGCTCTTGCTACTTCACCTTCTGCGAGGACCACAATTCGAAAGTTCAGGTTGAAGAGAAACAAAAATCGTGCGGTGATAGCACCGCGCAAGAAGATCGATAACGACGCGGAAATGATACCATTAGTTGCAAATCATAATTCGCGGCCGAATCGAGGGGCAAAGAAAGGAAAACTTCCAGGACCAAAAGGAACGGATAGAAAGCAAGAGCACGACACGATGATAATCGAGGGCGACAGCATGTCCGGAAAAATAAAAGCGCAGAGAAAGAGCAGACGAGTTGTTCCCAGGCTCGCGGCAGCGTCCTCTTTCGCAGCCGCATTCTTTGGCTGCCTCGCAGGCGTGGTTGCCCAAAGCAGCGTGACCATCGTGGCGAACGCCGACATGGGGACGTGCACTTGTGACATCACTGCGAACAAATGCGACCCATATTGCTGCTGCGACCCGGATTGCAGCACCGGCGTACAAAATTCCGGCTTCAGCAGCGACTGCATCACCGTCGGAGCGTCAAACGCCCTGGAATCGCAATACTCATGTTCGTATCAAATGTAAAAATGTCTGGGTCTGGAAGATTCTGAGACTTGTCACGCAGGTTTTGCATGAGTCTTGATGCCTGTGATGCGTGCCCTAGCATCACAGATTTTTTGAGGGCTTCTTGATGCCTATTCCGCATTACAAATGCCCTCGCTGCGTAGCAAAAATCACACTCCCTTTGCAGCTCATGCAATACAGATTTTTTTGCAATCCAGGGTAATTGCTCACCAGTCGGGGTAATTGCTCACCAGTTCGGGTAATTGCTCACCAGTCGTTTTGTATGCCGAGTCAAGAGGTGCAACACGAACAGATAGGCATGAATTTAGCATCTCCGGCTGGTAGAGCAATCGGCTACCGAGGTACGTCAGGGGGCGTAGCTACATCAGTCAATCAATCCAAATGCAGCATCACAAGTTGCATTCTTCCAGACCCAGACACTTTTACATTTGATAGTTCGTCAAAAAGTTACGTACAGGAGGTGAATCCAAGGTAAGACTTCCGAGCACATTCAAATTATGTGAGTAGGTATAGGTTGTCAATAAGATTCATGTGATGTTTCCGTTTCAGCTGTCGTGGCGCTCGAAGATCGCAATTGATGCAACGGAAGCCAACTGTGCATGATGATGATACGATTGATTTTTATCCTCACGACTGATTCTCAGAACGGACGTTTCCGTGCTGCAAGACGACCTGCGCAACCTCCTGTGTGTCCACATCGACAACTCCGCTGCGGATGGACGGTATTTTGATTCTTCTGCGACGACAGCGTACGCAACCTACACGTCCGAGGTTTCCTCGAGGTCCCTCTCCTCGTATATCCAAAGAAAAAAACCCATCCACATCCAATTTGTCATGCAAAACACGTATAAAATCATGTGTTTGTCATGCAAAAAATGGATGTGGATGGGTTTTTTTCTGTGCTGGATATCGTATCCCGTTCTCTCCCTGGAGCATGTCGACGCGTCCACGGCGAGTTCTGGGTACACCGTTGGACATCTGGTCAAAATGCAACAGGCTTGGACGACCGCAAATGTGGTGGCACCGCTTACAACCACGGGTGCGCTGGAGAGCGCGGCGGGGACGTACGTGCAAAAATCTCGGGAATGGAAGGTACTAGCGGAATAGTGAATTAATTATGGGGAAGTTGTTGTGGGAGAACAAGTAGATGCTTGTATACAATCGGCGACGAGAACAGACGCAATAGATGCCTTGCTGCTCGTTCCGTAACATTCAGATGAAAAATCAATCAGGTTCCCCTTCCAGATGCGAGCGGGCGCTGCAGCGACCAGCCCGTGCCTTTTATGTTTGACATTGCGAGTACGTCGTGTCAAATGGAATCGGTAGTGTTGAGCACGGCCTGTACCACGACGCTGAACGCACAGCAGCTTTCGACGTACCAAGTGCAGGGCCACAATTTGTACGCCGCGGGCAGTGACACGGTCGCTACTTGCGCGGCGGCTGATTGCGTCTCCCCGTTAGTGCAGATCAGTGGGTGCGCAACTACTTCTGCCACCAGCACTGACACTTTCACGAAGCCAACGTTTGCTGGGTCAACATTGTCTTCGGTTACAGCGGGCACAGCTTGTACTGCAACGGCGGAGGAACTGAAGAAGGGCAAGGCGTCGGTACTGAGTCTGAGTCACCAAGCAACTATAACTTGTTTTTCTGACAAAATCTCTAGGCGCGATTAAGTTCATTTTTTTTACGTTATCTACTTCAATATCAATACGATGAAAAAAAAACAACATGATCCATTAACCCAGACCTATACCGCCGGTACGTCGACGTGTTCCAATGCAGTTATAGGCGCACACTACACCGTTACCTACACTTCGTCGACGAAGAATGACATCACCAGTGTAGTGGTCCAGTATGAGTATGCCGACATTGTCGCAACATCCACGGTAAGATAGAAGTAGAGCATATTGCGCATTCTTGCTTTGCCTTCAGTTTTCAACTTGTAAGCTATCAATGGGCCGCCGCTGTACGCCTACTGATCTAATGTTCGCAATACCAACAATTTTGAAGACAAGTACTTAGGCAATCGTCGTATCTAGCTGATTACGGAAGTATTTCCCGTGCAGAAAAACGTGATGTAAAAGATGAATCTTAAATTTTCCACCTCCAGGACATCACTTTCACGACTTCGGTGAGCTTCGTTTATAACTCGGGGACAGCCAGCGTTGCGAGAAGTGGGAATCCGGGCTACCTGTTCGGTAAGCCGTTGCTGCTCGAAAAGTGTGGCCAGTCGACCTCCAGTGGCTGCACCAGTTTCGTCACGACTGCGGCGCACGGGCTGCCCGGCGTGTCGCTTGGAGAGTGCGAGTATGCCAGTTCATCGAACACCGTTAAATTCCAGGTCGAGCAAATTCCCGTAAACTTCGGTGAAGACACGGTCGCCGGGTGCAGTTTGTCCTTCACCGCTGCGGAACTTGCGACCTTTTGCGCAGCTTCAGGTACTGAAGATCGTGAGGTTCTTTTTCATCTTTGGTCGTACCCTACGTGGTCGTTTGCTTAGAATAGAATTTTGTTGCAGTCGCACACCTCTTACTTCGAAGATTACCGTACTTTGAACTTCATCTTATCACTTCAGCAAACGAGATCGTGATGCTCCAACCCGTGCCCACGACCGGCACCGGCACTTCGCAAAAGTCGTACAATTACGGTTTCTCGCACGTCGGCGCCTGGGGGAGCTCGGACCGCAGCAACATGGCCGACTACGTAGAAATCCAGGCCTCTACTGCGGACACCACGAAGACCACGACCGACCCGTGTGAGAAACTGCAAACGCAAACGTACGAGTTTGCATACGCACCGTTCGGAGAGCAAACCAATCCGCAGTACAAGATCACGGGCGCATGGGCAAAGCGAACTTACGTATAAATAAAATTTATCTACTGCAACTTCGCGAGTTCCTTCCCTCGTCCTTTTTTTTTTCGCAATACACTTTTTGTTTGTGCTCGTGGTACTTTCGATTCTCATGCACTAGTTGAGGTTCTACTTCTTCGTTGATTGAGTCAACATTCTTGTCATTGCAGGCAACCTTGAAGCATACGCTGTCGGATCCGAGCAAGAAGCAGAGCTTTCCTTTCTTCGTGAACATTCAATTTGTGAAGCAGGCCGACACCGCAGAGCTGGAGCTGAACATACCGCCGCGGCCGGATCTCCCGGTCTACTTGCCGTCCGATGTCTTCTACCCGTTGACACTGTTCGACTAACGCAGTGAAGAGTCTTGATGGGAGATGAAGCAGAAGCAAGACAGAAACCACTGCTTGCGCGTACATAACTGAGATTCATACTAAGTAGTAAAGAAATTACTATCGCCTGTACAGTATCCGCTCGCCTTGCTGATCCTTATGTCACATGTTCATGTTGGGTTTGCATTTTTACGTTGATACTATCTCTTCCTTCAAAGCAGCCCCGGTTGCTCGGGTGTCAATAGATTAGCAGAATAATTCTATAAACAAGTTTTGCAAGTAGAATCGTGCCAGCGTCGGCCCACATTGCGGCCATGCATGTAAAAAAAAAAATGAGTTGGCCTAAGCTGCGCTAGCTGCACCTGCAAATTATCTTGATTACTTTGCGAAAAAGAACTTGCACCACGCCGGGATAAACGAAACAGGCATTTCTTGCTCACGAAACAACTAAATGCACTTCTGATATGACAGAGGGTCCATCTTGACTAAGAGCAAGAAAGAAAAAAATCCAGATTCGGTGCTCCGAGGTACCGGTGCAGGTGCTCTAAATGTAACCTTTACCCTCCGCGCCCTTGAGGCATCATGATGTTGCTGCCAAACGCTCTACCTCAGGGTCGGGAGATCACCAATTATCCGTATATATAAATTCTTGGTGTGTTGAAGATTCGTCAATAGGACTCGTGCGTAGAAGTAGAAGTGGTTCTCTCGTGAAGATCTGATCTGTCCTTGCGGAACGAAGTATGCATGATAGCCAAGTGGTATAACTTTTTTTAGAGCACGCCTACCATGATGTTTATGCAAGATTAATGAACACCATGATCGGAAGGTGATCGTTTTCTTCATCTCTGGTGTCTGTCTGTGTCAGAGTCTGTGTGGGGTGTGCAAGTCGGTGGGTTCGAATGCGACCGCGTGGGTAATGAAGTCAAATGTGTAGAAATTTGAGTTGCTTCTGGTCGCTTTTCGTCTGTCTCGGGCTCGGGTTGTGGTCAGGACATAAAGCAGGCAAGCAAGACTAAGTAGACAAAACAAGAAGGTGACGCAGTACAGCGGCCTTCCTATTTACTAGACGATACTCATGATCGATGTAGCACCTTTGCGCCTGCCTCCGCCCGATGAATACGAAGGACCATACAAACCGATACAAAATTGAGAATCAAAGAAATAGCAACATCAAACAACATGGAGGCAGCGGCGCTGCGACCCTTTTCCACCGTCCCTGGCGTGCAATTTGTCCAAGCGTCCGGGCAGATAAGTTTGAACGAAGAAAGCGAAGACAGAGTGATGCTGGAAGATTTGGACGAATTATTCGATGTTGATCATACTACTGGATTAAGAGAACAAACCGGAGCACGAGGGGTGACGACGAACACAGTTTCACACTTTGTGAAAAATCTCATCAAACCGCCCAACTTCTTTGTGCCGGCGCCAAGCTGGACGGCCAGGACTTCCTGTTCCACCACGCACGGTTCCTCTTCGAGTTCGTCCTCCGAAGTGGAGCAGCAACAGGACCACGAAAAGGCGTCAACGCGCAATAAACGCCCCGAAACATTTTTGTTTTCAAACAACCTTCTAGAAAAGCAAAAACCGTCCATCTCAACCTCTTCATCCTCTTCCCTCCTCGAGAATATGCCGACTTTTCTGCAGTCGCAACCCAAAATTGCTCTGGCGCAGCCCCCTGCCTTTGTGTTGCAGGCTTTCGAGCCGCCGCCCCCGATGCGCGGTTTGGATCCGCCAGAGGGGATCAGAGTGCAGAGGCCGCCCGTTCTGCAGAGGCCGGACAGTACAGATGGCATCACTTATGAGGAATTGCCCGCAGACGAGAATGCTGAAGATTGGCTGCGTTTTGCGAACGAAATGGAACAAGAGTTGCCGCACCACAGGATGCGAGCAGATCACACCAAAATTGCGGCGGCATCTCGTCAAGCAGCACAGCGGTGTGGCTATGGCTATGAAGATGAGCAAGAAGATGCCCCCCATGATCTACCGGTACCGCTTGTATCTGGAGGATCAGTTTTCGACAATCTCTACTCCGACGCGGTACGGCGGACCAGGAGGCGACGGGAAAACGTCGCTTTAGCTGCGGAGAACCAGAAAACGTTCGGGGCCGCGGCGACCAGCGAGGAGTTTGGCAGGGGATTACGAAGCGACATTTCCCGGCGGACCAATAAGTTGATCCATCCCGCACCGGAGGGAACCGCAACCGGGGCCACGAACAAGGGTTCGGGGGCCAGCTCTTCCTCCTCATCGGGCGCGAGCAAGCGAAGCGTCGCTTCGTCTGCTTACGGCGGTGACGGAACCGGGGACGGGATGCGGGGAAGGCATCGATCGGCCGACAAGAACCGAAGAAATAAATCCGCCGCTGCGGAGAACAAGAGGAGCTACGACTACAAGAGCCACCTTGCGCGCGAGGAGGAGTTCGCTCGTCGACGGCAAGAGCGGCTGGAGAGGAGGCGGCAAGAGCAGGAAGAGGAGCGGGCACGAGAAGAGCTGGAGGAGTGCACCTTTCGCCCCGAAGTGTCCCTGTCGGTGACCACAGCCCGGTTTTCGGCCAGGTAAGGTGTAGAAGTGCGCGAGTAGCGCAGCCGTGCGGCAGCTTTCTTTTTGATGCAAAGTACTTTATGTAATTTCAGCTATCAGGAAGCATTAGCATTCTACTTTATCAGGGGAACTCGAACTGTCAAAACAAAACTGAATGATCGGAAACAGGTCCACTTCCACGCGACGAGGAGGGCCTGCGTCAACACGCAACAACTGCAAGCCGAAAGTGGACACCGGTCTTTACGACAACTACCACAATCCTCATTCTGCTCCCATCCGTACGGGCCGCAAACTTGCGACGCGGACGCGGCACTTCGAAGACCTGCAACCCGCGTTGGTGACGGCTTACGACCGGAATTTCGTGCGACAGAACGATCATCAACATGTTGGTGCCGCCGCGCAGCGGAACGGTTTTTCGTCTTGCGTTGACGACGAAGGCGAGTTTGAGTTGGACATGATCACGCGTAACCTCTCTGACGCGTTCGACGACCGCACGGTGAGTGTGGAGGAACGGCACCGCAGCCCTGAGACCTACAGCTTTCGCGTGCCCATCTCGCCCAGTTGGCAAATGGAGTCGAACTCAGTACTGGGGGAAGATGGTGAAGACGAACATGAAGACGAACATCCTGTTCCGGAGCTCGAAGTGGAAACAAGAAAAGCAATAGCGCACCAAAGTCAAAGAGGGCATAATCCTCGCCGCCGAGAGGACCGCGACATACGCGAGGAACAGCGCAGCCCGGAAGACACCAGGAACATCCTGCCCGACGAGGTTGTACTGAAGGCCTTGGGCCTAAGTCCGAAGCCGGAGAGCGCCGCTCGTTCCGCCGCCGGCTTGGAAGTGCAACTGCAAGCTGCCGAATCGGTTGCCGCAGAGGCGATAAAGAAAAAACCGTTTTACGACGTCGTGGCAGAAGAAGTAGAATCCGTCTCGACACTAGTCGACATGTACGAAACCGCTTTGCGCGCGCGGGTTTCCGGGAGGGACAAGGAGATGTGACGATTTGGTGTTGGTTCTGGTTCCAGGGTAACAGAAACCTTTTGAAATTAATTCTTTATTACCTTTACTGCTGTAAAAACAGGAGGTGAAAGAAAAAGATCGATGGAGACGCGATCGATGGACCATTCTTCCCGAGGATATTGAGCACTCGACGCCGATGATTGATGTGCGACCTCCTCCTTCCTTCACCTTCTACAAGATCGAGATTCCATATTGAAGCATCGAAAACAAAGACCGTTCTCCCGGTGCGTACGCGTTTCTAATTCTACTTGACTTTGTTTCATCTGTACAATGACATGCAAGGCTAAAGCTAAAGCTCTCTCTTCTGTATCAAAGTTCTTGTACGTTATCCAGGGTGATTGTAAAGAAAATGATCGCGTCAATGTGCATGATGTACGAAAACACACAAGGCTTTTCCAATGCTCGGCCTCTGATCTTTTGATTTTCTTGAAATGAGTCGTCTTGCTTTATGTACGTGTAAAAAATGAAAAATGCTTGTGCGGCGGAACGCTTGTATCTCGCCCCGTACACGCATTTTTGGGCTTGTTCGGCGATGTGCATGATAATGATTGACGACGAGCAGTTCCAGTTCCTTGATGGTATGAAAACAGTGTGTGGAGAGCGTGAAACATCTGCACGAGATTTTTATCCATGCATTTTGATTTTGATCTCGGTGTGGTCGTCCTGCAGGAGAGGGCTACAGAGCGAGTCGTTCGGAGCGTGGTACTGCTTGCTACCTAGAGCGCTGGTCGTTCATGTATCGCTATGCGTACTTATTTGTCGTTTCCTCGTTGTGGTCAAAGTATGCAACGAGAAGCTGGCAAGGCCGCATTTCATTTTCATTTTATTCGCGCGACGCCTGGGTCTCTTGTTTCTACTGCATTAGAAAAAGAAGTTGTAGTGACCTTCGGAAAATAATTAAATCGCAGAGCAGAAAAGCCGGAACCGGACGCTTCACAAAGACTTATTCTCGCCAGCGTTATTGCTCGAAACAAAAATGTCAATCGATTTCGACAAAAACGAAGATGAGCCGTCGCCGCTGGCGACGGCCGGCAGTTCTGCTCCCTCGCGCGTCCAAGAACTCGAGGCACAGCTCGAAGGCTACAAGCAAACGACTAAATCCGCCCTGAAAGCCGCAACTGCGCAGATTTTGATACTGCAGAGGGAACTGGTATCGTAGGTCAATGAAAATGGATTTATTTTGTACCGATGGGGGTTAGGTCTCGAGGATATGATAAGTCGAGGTGGTCGAATTTCGTGTGCTGAAATCCAACCGGTCGTCGAGGCTTTTGATGGAAAAGATGGAAATAACACGTAGTAAGAACAATCCTGATTACAGCACCACTACACGATCAATGAAAAAATCACCAGACTGCAGCACAGAAGGCTTTGAGCAGCAGTTCTGAGTACGGGATTGAGGGAGCTTTTCACTCGGTTGACGAAGACGAACTGCAGGAACTGAGAAAACAAATCAAGCACCTGGAGCTCGACGCGGAGTACCACCAGAAGGTAGCTGCGAGCGCGGCCGCGGATAAAGATCGGCTCACGCTGGAAGTCAGAAATCTCGCGGCGAGCAACCAAGACTTAAAAGAGGAACTTGAGTATTGTTTGAAATGTTTGTGTTTCTCTAGCTTTTGCATGCAGCACAGTACTTTTACTTCTGTCTCTGTGTGGGTTGCGGATTTTTTATGGCAATAGTCTCTTTGATCTTGATGTCTTTGTCATTCACTTTCACATTCCCACCACATCTATCACTATCAATTCATTGTGTGTGCAACTCACTATTTACCTCCATCAACAGGATGGTTCGGCAGCAGCTAAGGCACTACGAGCTGAATCAAGAAAACCACGCTCCCGCACAAGCGAAAATAGAAGCAAAACTGAGAAGGCGAGTCGAAGACCGAAATCTAGACTTGCAGCATCGCGTGCAGAAACTTACAGCAATAGTACTGCCGGCTTGATGTTTCATTTCCCTTTTTATTTACATTTGCTTCTTTTCTTTTATTCTTTTTCCGCACAAACCCAAACCGACAAATTCGAATTAGAATGCAGTACCTATCGATGTTGTATGTACTAGTTGTTCAGTTTTGATTTCTTGCGTCGACATCCCCGCTAAATATGAAGGTTTCCGAGCAAGAGGTAATGGCCAACCAGTACCAAGCGCGGTTTCTCCAGACAGGTCACATGATCGAGGCAAAGACGAAGCAGTTGGACCTGGCGAACGCTAGGATAGCAGAGCTCAAGGCAATGCTACGGTCCTACACGGAGAAGGAAATACATCACACACTGAGCGGTGTCAGGAAAGCCATGGCCAACAAATAGAGCGCGCCACTAGCACTAAATCAACTGGGTCGTGGCTGCGTGGGTTTGCGACGTGGGCTCTGATTTTTCAGATTTGGCCGTTGATGACAACCCAGTTTTGACTTTTCTTCACCGTCGTTTTTTTTCGAAACGTGATGAAAGTCGAACGACTCATCGTGCCACATAAGTCTTTAAATCCGACCTGAGTCAACATTATGATAGTGTTTCAAGCATCGGCGATGCTGCAAAACAAATTTCGAAGAATTACTTCATAAACTACCTTCCTTGGCGCAATGGCAGGGGCATTTCATCGTTGCAGGGCTTTTTTGTTGAGGCAGTGCACCAGCAGGGTGATGGCAATCATCTGCGTCTTTCGCTGCGGTTCTGCTAATCGTATATCGCATTTGTTCTTGTCGTGCTTGAGCGTCGGCGTGACGGCACGAGCCGACCACAGTACTACTCTTCTAGAAGAAAGAGGGATGAACTCGAAAAAACAAGAAGTGTTTCGAGATTGAGTCAATCTTTCGTTGTCCGTGGCTATTCGTCTGTTTCTGTATGACTATGTTTATGTCTACGATCAGGCAGTCGGCATACTAGTACATCGCAACTATCATATCGGAGAAACGACGCGGAATCAAGCGATATCATGCTAGCAGTCGTGCTGTAGTTGGGCCACCTTTTCGAAGAACCGAGTCCGAGAAACAGATTTTTGTTGACAGACTAAAGTTACAAACTTCGCAATCACAGAGGGACAACGACGAAAACTAAACCAAAAGGGTGTCGCTTCCACTTCCTGGGGCTTCTGTGACTCAGACTGAAGAATCATGGCGGACGCGGCAGCAACGGCAATCGATCCGCCCGGTGGCAGCGATGTGCTTACCGGTGGCGACTCGATCGGCCAGTTTTCCACACTTTTTGACAAGTACGTGTGTACTTTTGACGAACAGGACAAGGTAAAGGAAATAGACTTGTTCCCTAAAGCCTAAATCGATTTTTCGTTTCTTCATCTTCAAACATGAGAAGCGTCAGTATTCTTTGTCTTGTGTTTCAGATTCAGAAGTGCGATGAATTGCTGGAGTGAGAATGTGAGTAACATTATGCCACTGAACGATCGACGTAGAGACGACAAGTCGAAAGTGAAAGCAGAACAAAATAACAACAAACCTCAGCTCCGCGACTTCAGAAAGTACATGGTGGAAAAGAAGATTACGAATCTAGTCGTGCAGCTTTACCAGTTCTGCGACAAGGCGAAAAAGAAGGACGAGTACGTCGAGCACGTAGTCCAGGAATTTCTCAGTATAAGTTCAACTTGATTTTTTCGCTTTTTACTTGCGGAGAATCGAGAATGAGAAATCAGCTCCTACTCTTCGTTGAGTGCTTTTCTTTCTTGCATACATACACGCAGTGTTTGTGCTGCTTTCCATGATCTCTCGCAGTAGCTGATGTATGTATAATCTGCTCATTTCTTATTCTTTCGACCTTGTCGCTCAGGTAGTTACCCCGGTGAGACAGACATAGAAGTCGACGCTCTACTTGAACAAAGGGTGAAGATACGGGACAGCAGCGCGAAACTTGCACACGATATCCCAAAATATGAAATGATAGCGAGGGTGGTTACAAAACTGCCAAAAACTGGCGCAAAGGACTGGACAGAGCTGGCAGAAGCTTTTGGTACATGAATGTTCATGCTCATGCTGTGTAATGCCTAACTGTTCCTTTTGTTTTTCGAGTTACGATAAACCTGTCGGGTTCTTCATGTGCTTCAACATTTGGTTTACAGTCGCTACATAGGAGAGCCCCAGAATGTGAATGAATAGATTCAAATTCTTGAAGATGCAAAAACAATGCAGGCGACGCAGCCGCTGCCCCAACAGGAGAGGACGGTGCTGCTCCGGCGTTTCCATTTGATTCGAGGAAAGCCTTGATAGAAGCACTCGAGAAGATACCAGCGTCCGACTGCGGTACCCCAGCGGCATTGCTTGCAAGTCTCAGCGCGCAGTCGGCGGTTGGTGGATGAAAACGGAATGAAAAATAAATGCTGTTGCACCATCATCACATTGAAATGAATCATCGTTGACAAACTACGGAATTTGCAAATGAACCAGATGACGGACAGACAGCGAATGAGTACGCCATTTGCAGCATCTTTTATTTGCCCATGGCGTAGGTCATGTTGTAGCGGCATGTTTGTGTTTCTGTTTGAGGGGAGTATGTCCCTGTGAAACTAAAGCATACTAAAACGTAAACTCGTTTTTACCCATGATGATCTGGTATCCTGGTGAATCTTAAGTCTGGACGGGAGAGCACTTGCATCTGCATGTTGACTTCATATTGGATCTTCGCCAGATTTCTTGGCATGATCATCGATCGTGCTGTGCAGGTAAACACAGCTGCTATAAATGTAGGGCTTTCAGCATCCGGGATCGACATGACGATCATGATGATCCAGTAGATTTGTAGTATGGTAGGCACGACCCGGTCGCAAGGCAAACAAATGCTGATGCTGACGATCTTCTGTCTACCTGTAGTGTAAGTAGTACGTAGCATCTGGTAATTACCCTTAATATGACCTTGCTTTTTGACGAGTTCATCCTACTCCTACGCGACCCAAAAGAAGTATCTTGATCTTGTTTTTAGAAGGAATCGGTAGCAGGCGGAGGCGACAGTCGTAGTTATATGTTTATTTCAGCTCTCATCAGCAGTGTGATTCTGATTTTGTTCGATTCATGAATGATGTAAGCGTCGTTTCATGATGATGTAGTGCAAAGTTATGAATTGATTCTACTCGCGACGCCACATTGATTCCCATTCCACTATGGTCTTGTCTGACGAAGCTATTGAGGAAAGAGATGTGTTACGGTCGATTTTTGGCACTGAATTCAGTGTGGAAAATGAACACGAGTGGCTGATTTCCTTCCCTGATTGTGGCTCGGGAGCGACAGCGCTGGTTCTCCATGTCCCACCAGACTACCCAACCGAGAGCCCCCCAATCGCCGAGATTGCATGCCCGCCTCCAGCAATGGACGTCGACTTCGCTGTGGACTCGCTTCCCGCATTTTCGCCCGGGGAAAGCTGCATCTACGATTGGGCGTGTGAAATAAGGGCAAAATTGGAAGAGGTTGCAGAGATTGCAGCTAATCCGACGGCATTCACATTCTCCGCAGGGTCTTCAGGGGTTGGGGTCAACAGAAGTACAGAGGACGAAGATCTTGCTGCAGCGCTTGCAATAGTGCAGCTGGAAGATGACGATATTGCGGCAGATGGTGCCCACGATTACCAGGAGCAAGTCTCAGACGACGTCGTTGCCAACGCTGCATCGGAAATCAGCTACCACGAATATCAGAAGTCGCAGAACAAAAAGCAGAACAATAAAGGCTCTGCTTCCTCTTCCAAGAAGATAGAAATTCACCACGGCGACCCGTTCACAGAACGCAAATCAACTTTCCAAGGACACGTCGCCGACATTGCGTCGGAAAGCGACGTGAAGGCGGTTTTGGAACTACTCTACCAGGATGGAAAGTTTGCGCGGGCGACGCACAACCAGTACGCGTGGAGGTACCGGGACGAAGCGGGAAACTTGCACGCTGACAACAACGACGACGGCGAGGCGGGAGCAGGGCGGAAGCTAGCGGAGTTGCTGGAAGTAATGAAGGCCGAGAACGTGCTCTGTGTGGTATCGCGCTGGTACGGGGGCATTCTTCTAGGCCCGGACCGCTTCAAGTGCATCAATCGAGCGGCCTCGGAGTTGCTGGATCGACTGGGGAAGAGGAAGCGGTGAAGATGCTTGGTTTAGTGTCATTTTGAAAATCACTGCTGGCGCACGCGCGTTAAGGGGCCTGATGATGTAATACAACGAAAATAAAGATGAGACAATCTGCTGCACTGTGCTATTTTTTCCGCACTGGGACACGGAGTCTTAGGCCCGCCCGGCCCTCGGCTTCGAACAAGAACCGAACACGAATGCTACTTACATTATTGTTATTCCAGCGACAAGATAAGTAAAAGTATTTACAAGAGCAAAAACATCAAATGGATACTGTACACCCCGATGCTCATGCGGATCCCGATGAAGCCCTTTATCTTTAAGTTGCCTGGCTGCAACGATTGCAATGACGGCATCGATTCTGTTCTGGATGCAACTTCTGCTATGTTTTTTTTCTGGAACAACAAGAAGTTCAGGTGAATGGGCACGTTGTGATATCGTGTTGTTGAGTGGAGGGATTCATTGTGTGGTTTCTTTGCTTGAGAATAAGAGTTCAATTCAGTTCTTGAATCTTTTTGGAACGTCGAGATCTTGGAGCTGTTAGTGTCTGAGTGAGTGGCGCAGCGTCGTCGAGTACTGCGGGGAGAGCTCTTGGCGCGTTTAATTATGGTGCCGACCTCGAGCTTGGCGCTGGTGGCATGGCGCAAATAAAAAGATAGCGCTAGGACGCCTGGAGTGCCCTTGTGGCGGGCAGGCTGCTGCCCGCGCTGCTTTCACTGCGCCAGTGTGCGTGTTGGCTGGTGGTGATAGATGGCAAAGAAGCGAAGCGGGAGTCCGTGAGGTGGGCGCAACCCGGCAGAGAGACGCTAGCGCGTTGCCACTGTTGCCTCTGCCCTGCAACGGCTCCAGGCGTCATGCCGGCGCCGGTGTCGAGTGGGAAGCGGAAGCCGCATCTACCGCCGGAGAGCAAAGGCCAGAGCCGTCTTCGTCCCCGCCTTGCGTCCGCAGCCCCAGCGCGCCGGCCCCTAGATTCCTTCGCACGTGTTTGGAAGAGTTGCCGCCGCCGCCTATCCTTCCGGGCGGGGTGCCGCTTCTGGCACCGGCGCAGTTTAAGCGCTCCAGAGCTTAAGCCCGAAAGCCGCGCGCCTTGCGCGCGCCCTCTGACTGTCTCAGGCCTGCGCGCCCCCCTGCTTTCTGCTTGCCGGACGCCGGGCGAGGCTGCGCAGGTGGTCAGCCGGCGCGTGTGGCTGGCCGGGCGGGCGTGCATTGGCGTGGCCTGTGGCAATGCGCCACGGGGCCCGCGGTCGTGCGGCTCCTGCGCCTTCGGCCCGTGGCCACGTGCCCCCGGGTGGCCGTCGCGTGGCGCTTTCGTTCTGTCAGAAGTGTGTTAGTCGAAAGCGCGCGGCAGAGCAGGGGCGAGTCCGGCATTTGTTAATCATGTTACCGCTGCACGCGCATTGACGTTGCCTGTTACTGTTTTCTAAATCTTACTGGCGGCTCGATGTCGATGTCGAACCCCGATGGTTGGACTCTGCAGTGTCATGCCTTTAATCCCTCTGGGGTGGCGGATATCCAATATCAAAACACGAGCACCAACTACTCCTACTCGGCTGACGGGCGCCCTTGAGCCTTTTTCTTGTGTTCGCCGCGGAAGATGTGCGCAGGACTGACCACTGGCACCTGTGGGAGCGATGCAGGCTCTAATCCTGATCATCTCGACCGGTCCCTACTTGTTTGTGGAAGGATCAAGCCGTCGTGCTCTGAAGATTGCGTTGATCGAAGTACGACCACCCAGGGACGAGCCCCAGGAGCTGGTGTCATGGTCTGTTCTACTAACTTGTATTCGATAGGACAAGGACATGGAGATGATGGATAAAGACAACTGCTCCGGCTAGTAGACGCATCATAACCCCACGCGATCCGTCGGTTCGCAGCACTTTCTTTGCGACACACAAAAGCGCTCATAATTCGAGCTAGTAGCTAGGTGTCCGTAGGAACCAATGCTCCTCGCGCGTGAAGGCACTACCAAAAAATGGAGATCTCGTGTTTTTTCTGATGTTTCTTCCGTCGTTCGGAACGATCGTTCCTCAAGCACAAGCTTCTTAAACTTAAACGACGAGACGGCTTACAAAGTTTGCGCTGTATTGCTATCTTTCTGGAGATGATGGCGCACGGACTTATGTCAGTTGTTTTAAGGTGTAATTGTAAAGTAAGGACTTCTGGCTGTGGCTACGCCAGGTACTAGAGCTTTTCATCTTCTAACCGGTTGAGCGTTTTAGTTGCTGTTCGTTGCGCAAACATAGACCGACGAGGAGATAGTTTTTTTTTTTTGATATACATTTCGATTTCCCGCCTCGCTCAAGCATGAGCGTATCTTTTTTTTTTCCACACTGTGTATATGTTTTCGACTTTGCCACTGTCTTTGACGAAGACAAATACGAGGACGATGCTAAATCGCTGTCGATAAGCCTCTTTTTGTGAAAATGATGTTGCCAGACGAGAAACCGTCCAAAGACACCGGCTTTCTTCGTTCTGGGGCATGTCGCATCAAGCGAATCTTTACCCGCCCGAGCGCTGACGTGGGCGACGGTGCGGCATCAACAAGCAAATCCTCCTGGGTATGGAAATTCGCCGATGTTGCGGAAGACGGTCGTTTGTTGCGGCTCTACCAAAGCGAAGGCTGCGCGCGCTCGGGAAAGAGTCAGTTGCGAACGTGGAGAAATAGGAGCAGCTCGTCTGGGGACGCCTGTATGAAGAGTTACCACGATCAGGGTTCGAATGCAGCTCTTGTGCAGCTGCCAGGAGACCACGTCCACCTATTCGGCTCAGCAATGAGAGGACGGGAGAAAGACAAGACGCCGTTCTCCTTCTCATGCAGAAGCTCATCGATGTCAACTTGCGCTGCCGCTGTTCTTGACATTGAGCTGCTGAAGTTTTCAATCGAACACGAGAAAAGTGAGACGGGTTCCGACCTATTGGTGTTTCGCCCTACTGCAGATGACGACCCGCGATGGCACGATGCCGAGGTTGGTAGCCGTGCAACTTCTTCGGAATGCGGCTACAAAGTCGACTTTCAGAAGGATGTCGCGAAATGGGTCTTCGCTCTGAATGCAGCTCAGGTGCGACACTGCAGTTCGTTGTCTTGCAGTTGGCGAGACGTAAGGAGCTACTGCTGTTTCCAGCACCGTCCCTCATTGGTATTTTCCGGCAAATTCGATCAAAATTGGTGTTGGAAAACCGCAACCGTTTGGTGTAAAAGGGTTGCGTTTGCCACCGTGGTTCGGAGCAGCATCGCAGGCGTGATTGAACCGAATGGAGAATCTCAAAACGCCGAACATAGTCGACTAAAGAATGTGCTTGTTGCGCTTATGTGTATTCCCGAAAAGGACAAGTGTAAGTCTGACTTGGAATCCTTGGACACCGAAACCGAGGAGGGTCCGCAATGTCAATCCGCCAGACAATGTCAAGTAGACACTGGTACTGCGAAACGTCAACATGCGCATGCTGGAGACAGTTGTGCTCATCCCTCATGCGAGCACGAGATACTAGACAGGCATTCTGTTCGCGGCAACAGCTCCTGTGCGAGGGTATTTCCGCGACTGGAGCTATGGCTACTCGAAGTTGTGACAGGCTCGTGCAGCAGTTTTGGTTGCGGTCCTGGAGTAGATGTGAGTCCACCTCCGGGACGAGGCCAAGAATCTCTCTCCGGCCCGCCAAACAAAAGCGCAGAAGCCGAAACAAAGGCAAAGGGTGGTCACCACCTTCACGAGAAGCGAAAGCATGGTCGTCCCAAGAAGATACACCGCTTTGACCTCGATGAGCTACAAGATCTGCATGGTGCGGCGAACTCCATCAATCAGGAAACCCACAGGCGCGTCCCAATTGGAATTCGTTACCTGGGCTCATCCGCCAGAGGAAGCGGGAGCGCACGTTTGCAACTTAACTTCGGTCCTCCACACGCCGGCGGCCATGTGGTTATCAATTTTGACCGGAAGAGCGCCGCTGAAGCGCTGACACGCCGGATCAAGAAATGTATGAGCTCGGAATTCCGGGCGGAGATGATGCAGAAATTTGCCGCACTTGAAGTTGCAGGGGGACACAGCGGAGGGAAAGCGGAATGCAGTGGCGGGATAGCTGCAACTGACATCGTCGAGCCAGAAAGCCGAAGCGATGTGCGCCATGCGACTGAGTGCCCTGGCCATGGTAACCGCTCCATGCAGCAGGGACTCAATGACGCAAGGGAACCCTATCCTGACTGCCTTGGAACTAACTCTCGCCTGCCGCTGAAGAGAAGACTAGAAGCCTTCAATCAAAAATTCGGACGAGTGGATCCTGTTCCTGGAGTCAGCGAAGACCACGACATAACCAGGGAGGAAGTTGTTGCTTGTGTGGTTAAATTGTTCAGGAAGTCCCAGCATGCTGCACTTCCAGTCGTGGACCAGTTTCTTCTTTCCGCAGCAATGCTGACAAGGCACCTGAAAACACCCCGCCTGCGTCGGTTCGCGACGTCTCTGCGGACAGATATACTACATCGACCATCGTCCCCTAGTTCTACTGAAGACGCCGCGCTTGCGCTTCTACCTCAAGGCGGGGGTGCGATCGGACGAGAAAGCCAAAAGCTGCAAAGTAGCTCGACGAATACAGGCGGTGAAGAAGGAGGTGGAGGACTCGTCGCTCATCTCGACCGCGAAATGAAGAACTCGTCGTCGTTCGAGTTCGAGAATCTTCCTCGAGCTACACAGTGCGGTACTGCTGCGTCCAGCTGTAGCTCCACTTCTTCGACCTTTCTGCCACCCGGAGGACAAGTGGCTTGTCAAGAAAACTTGTACTCGAAGAGCGTCAAGAATTTTGTGACCTCCGTACGGGAAAAGTACCTGCCGGCGGTGCAAGACAAGGCTTCTGACTACAAGGACAAGGTGCTCCAGACCGCTCTTTCACTGAAAACGTCTTTGGTCACGTCGTCTGGCTCTGGTGCGAGTGAAAGGACTGCGTCTGCACCAGAAGTCAACGTTAACCGCAAAACGTCTGGTGATGACGAGAGGGACGAGGCTAACGGCAGTGCTTCTGGTGGTTCTCCGACTCTCCGAGCACAAGAAAGAAAGCAACCAGAGGCAGACGGCGATACGGTGACGGTGCAGCTTCATCAGCCACAGTATGGCCTTTTCTTTTCGAAGCGTTGGCCTGCAGCAGGAAGAAAGTCACTCGCTGAGCCGCTCCGCTTCTTGCGTAAGAAGTGGCTTTGCCTCCAGCTGGATGAAAGTAGCAGCGTTGCAGGAGATGAGTACCAGCAGCAACACTATCGCAATGTCACCGCTTCTAGGACAAGATCACACACCCTGACCATTGTCGACTTGCATCGTCTCGAGCCCACCGCAGTAGATCCTCTTCGCCAACTGCTCATTGGTTGGATGCAAGGCTACATGCGAAGCCGGTTTACATATCTCCATCTTCGGGATCTCAGTCGTCCCCCGGACACTGCACTGAGCTGCAGACAAGACGAAGCTTCGTATCCGCTGACAACTGTGGACGCTGACAAGCTACTGGGTTTCGGAGCGATATGCATTGCTTTACACCAAGCGCTCTGTCGTGGAGGAGGTGTAAGTGACGACCACGACAGCGTAACAAGTCAAGAAAAAATGACGAGCGCACTCGAAGAGCATGAAAAGCACGATGTTGCTCCTTTCCTCATCAGCGACGTGTGTTTTCCTGGATGCTCGAGCATGCATGGTCGTATCAGACAGCATCAGACAAAATCCGGCGTTTTTTTACCAACTGAATCCCTTCACCATGAACCAGTTACCTCGTCTAGCGCGTGCTCTCCGGATGAAAAATGTCCACACGACCTTGGCACGGCGTGGGTAGAGACCGTCTGTTGCGTCACTTGGGCTGCAACGGATTTAGCGACACGAGCAGCCCGCGAGGCGTACCTCACCGAGCAAGAGCGTAGTTGTGAGTGTAGTATCACAACAACAACTGCGCCGACAACATTAAGTTCTACTCAAGCAGCGGAAAACAACGAGAAGGAAAATGGGGCGCTGAGCTCCTTTCTGGTGGACATGCTGGCAGTTGTTCGGTGTCTGCAGGCTGGCGCCAGGAAGAAGTTCGAGGCTACTTGTTGCGCAACGAGCGCGCCGGCCACGAAGAACAACTCGGAGGTGTCGACGCACCAATTATGGAACGACCTGATCCATCATTGTGTCGTGTGCTTGTTGGTCAGTACTGTCCACGCACACTCGCGCCAGAGATTAGCGGAGCGCGCAGAGAGGAGCCGCGGGGTTCTAGACAACGTGGCTTGTTACAATCCTTGGGACGATGAAGATCTACTACTACCGGACTTCTTCGGGTCGGAGTGCAACTCGACTATAGCCCGCGTGCTGAAAGTCAAACAGGTTCTGGCTCATTACAATACAACATCGAGGATTCTTGGTGTGGAGCTTAGAGGCCGCGGGGCGGCACCAAATCTTCATCCTTCTGAATCTGCCGAGAAAAAATCAGATTCTCTCCGCGAAGATGAGTCGAAGCCTTTTGCAGTATTCAGTTCCGTGGACTACCATCTTCGCGTCGCACGGGGCTGCCTCGCCTCTGAAAATGTTACGGATATGGAGAAAACACTGCGACAGCTAGTATGGGCAAAATTGCAAGCAGCTCAGCCGTCCATTGAGAAAGACGAAGAAGATGATGGCGGAACTGGCAATACGGTGGGACGAACTCCAGTCGCGAAAAGGATTACAGGTCGATCGAGCTGCTTCCCGGACGAAGGAACTTCTCACGGCACAACCTTCGTCAATGGAGTTTTCAAAGGACTTGATTCCTTCGCAGCAGTGGTGGAGTCGAAAATCAGCAACGGAGGTGCAGCACTGAAGTTAGCCGGCATACTACAAGACAATGACGGCGACGAAAATGAGAGCGAAATTAGTGCGGCTCCGAGAAGCAACAAGAGCACGACGTTTACTGAAAGTGGTGCTCTACAACTTGACGGGCGTGGTGGAGGTGGCGGGACGAGACGTATCTACTCACATGACCACACGGGGACTACAGCTACAGGCCGTTTCGAAGCGGAGATCCGCGCAGCGTGCGGTCCTTTGTTGAAAGAGCTCGACCCTCTGAGGATCCACGACTGGGATTGCCGGGAAAGAAAAGGACCACTGACAGACCAGCCTGCGTCTTCCGCATCCGCAACGTCCTCTGAGGAGCATCTTCATCAGCATTCTAATTTACCTGCCAGCTGCATCTCCAAGGCAGCTCTGGAGGTGGTACCAACTTGCTCACGAGTGAAGAAAGTCATAGAGGGAGCTGCAGCATCCTCCATTGAAGATCACACTGCTGCGGTTCACAGGAACATCGAAGATTTCATTCAAGAGGACGACCTGCAGCTGCCCCCTCCTGGGAGTAATAAGACTATGTCAACAATAAAAGCTACTTCTCCCTGCTCTTCCTCAGTCGGTTTTGGTGCAGATGCCGCATTACAGCTTCAAAATGGAGCTGCGCAGAAGACAAGTGCAGCAAGTGAAGGGCTGGCGGCTCGACCTGTTGTCAGCGACCGCGAAAGCGATGACGTAAATCGAGAGAAGCCTCCTGCTCCCGGAACAAAGAATGTCAATGTGCTTACTGTCCCTGCCGTCAAGAATAGCTGTTCTACGAACGGGAAGAACGGACTCGAAGTCGCCCAGCAAGCTGCTAGCGAACCCGAAGACAAGGACAACCACCTCCACGGTGAGATGAAACTTCATGCGAAAACTGGAACTGCATCAACAGACTCTGATGGCGGAAATGTAGGACCAGACGAAGCTGTTTTGTTGTTGAGCAGCTCTTCAGGAGTGATCACCCCCAGTACCATGACCCCGCCACCCGAGACTGCGCGATGCAGTAGCCCAGCGCTCACTGAATATACCTACGGGTCTGTCGATTCCTCACCCCCTTCCTGCGTCGATGCAAGCGCACTCCTTGAAGAAGCAAAAGCTAAAGCACGACCCGCAGTAAAGGACGAGGGGGATGAAGTGTCACTGGCTGAGCAGACCAGCAAGGAGAACAATGACGGATGCATGTGTGACGCCGGGGAGGGTTCGAGCTCCCCTTCCGGCACGCGAAACACCGGCAGCAAGGCTGGTGACATTCCAAAGCCAAGTAGTGCCCCCTTCGGCATCTGGACGTATTTGCAGCGGGAAGCACGCGCAAAAGCGGAAGCGGAACAAGACGATGAAGTGTCGTCTCTTTCCTCTCTGGAAAATAACGACGAAAATGTGGAGCGTACGGATGTGACGTTGCGTCACCACGTGGTCGGTGTTGACGAAACAAATCTGCAGTTCGTGACGCCTGCTTTGCGCGAGGAACACGGGTGCGACCTCGAGCCAAGCCCAAGTGATGAAAGGGATCCTGATTGTTCTTTGAGAAATGCGGATGAATGCGCACGGTTCGATGGAAATCTTGAAGAATACATCGCGGCTTAAAGACTACAAACACAAAGCGTTTTTAACGTCGTGCTAGTACAACTTCCCAGCTGCATGCTACTCGCAGATCAAGAAACCGTTGTAACTGAGCCGGATGTTGAAGCGCTCCAGGAGGAGATCATGATATGCTCCTCTCTTTTTCCGTGACGTTTCGCGACAAGGATGCTGCAAAGGACGCAGTCTGTTCTCAAGCGAATTCTTCTGTAATCGCATGCACTGACCGTGCGCGACAACATGAACACTCGGTTTCTTTTTTTCGTGTCGGATGCAGCAGCAGGGAGTAGTATCTATGTCTATTGTATTCTGCTCTGGCTGCTGGTCTAGCATCTAAGACTCAATGGGTACTCCAGGAGCAAGAATGAAGTGAAACATCGAAGAAAAAGTATTCACACTGAAATGAATCAGCATGAAAACGATTGAAGTAAGCAGCACACAGCAGTGATTGCAGTTTTTTTTTCCTCCGACAATCAGTCAAGCCGTCACAGCACCAAGTGCATGCGAAACGATAAAATGAATGTGAAATGTGAGACCATGCGAAACGTGAACCAAACGAAGAGTGTCTAGTTTGTGTCGTAAGAAGGAAAATCCGCCTGGTTCAACATCTCATTGTCAACATTATTTCAATCCTGTAGAATGAATGCGCTCTCTATTGAAACAGAAGTAGTCTGAATGAAGTTTATCCTTGATGTGGCACGCTCTTGTTGTGACGCAAGTCCGCAATAACACTAGGATAGGTGCAAGAAATAAAGGAAAAAAATGACGATGCCCCTGCGCACGGCGGAGGTACGACTACAAATAGTTGTCTACGCTTATGCGTGTTGAGCAAAAGGAAAAGCGCGGCCATAATATGTTCGATTAAGCTCGATTCTTGTTTCGCAGCCTCAGCACCATCTTCAGCAGCAACACGAGTCCGCTATCAGTTCGAAACAGCTGGTGCGACTTGTACTATACGTATTTACAGATAGAGCGCTCTCAACACTGTCTGTTGTCGCACGCGTGGTTGAACGCTGTGCGTTTGCCGAGCACAGGCTCTTGCTTCTCGGCAAATCAGTTTGCTCCTGCTGTGTCAATAGATTTACAAATAGCTCCACAGCACACGTTGTTTCTGTATTTTTTTACAACGAACTGTCGCTTAAAGTAGCTAGCTGACGCTACCTGCTTGACACTTTCTTTGATAAATTGTCTTTACGATTACGTTTACTTTGATAATACTTACTTAATCTTGGGCGCGTTTGTCCCAGTCCCTACATCAATATCTCCTGTCTTGCACCGGAATACGACGGACTTTCTAAGTCTAAAGCAGAAGCCATGATCTATGGGAGCGTCAGGATCGAAATCGTCAAAGTTGAAAAAAAATTCTGGCAGTCCTTGGCGGGGGCCTTCAGGGCACCCCCTCCGGGACCCCCTTCAACTCTGACACATCCCAGCATAGCGTGGTGGCTAGCTCGAAAAGGGGCGAATGTGTCAGAGTTGAAATGCAAAATCCCGGCACCTCTCCAGGGGTCCCCGGGTTTTTTTTTCAACTTTGAGAATTTCGATCCTGACACACCCATATGATCATGTTGCAACGTAGTGAAAGTGATCAACTTTACAGAAGCGCGAAGGCGAACTTATATCAGCCTCGCATTACTACAGCAAGTTCAAGTAGAACTACGACTACATCGCTAGCGGCAATAAAGACGTCAACATTTTCTGCAAGTACACAAGGAGAATCTGTTGAGTCCAAATCTTCTCCTCGTACTCATAAGGGGCTTCAATACCTCGCTGTTTCGTTTTCTTCTCCACCAGCTCGTTTTGTGAGTTGTCGCAAGTCTTCACGGTCCTCTTGCCGCAGTTGTTGCAGTTCTTTTGCAAACTTGCAGTGCTTCTTGCGCCTCTTTGGTCAGATTTGCGCGTTACTAACGATGGCGAGATTGTTGGCGCTTGTGCAAGGCGGCACTTTTGCTGCAAATTACGTCGCAGGCTGGAACACTAAGCGGCGTTCCTACGGACCCTACGGGGTTCAGAAGTACAATGACGAGTACCCAAGGCAGGTGCAAATACAACTGGACGGCATCAACTCCGTCGACTCAAACCCCGCCTCGCCGCCGGATGTAGAGCCTGAGCCTGCAGATGCTGCGGACCACAGCCCCGGTGGAGGTCTTGCGCAAATCTGGGACAATGAAGAACTCGACACGTACGTGGACCGGCTGGATACCTCTTCCTCGCTCGACGTCCTGAACGGGGAGGGAAATTTTGGGTACTTCATGCAGCGCGTCAAGTGGATGTTGGAAACGTGTACGGACGAGAACCCCATGCTGATTTTCCTCGGCCGACCCTGGATGTTGCCGAAAACGTCCCGGCTCCGCGTCCTGTGGGAGGGGCGCCAGGGCACGCGGCGCGGGTTTCGCACGCTCTTGGAACAGCAGGGGAGGCTCCTGCTCGAGAGCGAGAGGGGCATTGCACACCGGAGACTGCTGGAAGACGGCAAGCGAAGCCGGTCGGACCAGAAACTGCGCAGCATGGAGGCGGAGGAAGCGTTTCTGAAGGATTTGGTCCAAGCCATGGTGGAAGAGCAATTTGGAAGCAGCGGAAGATCGGCCAAAACTATTGGCAAGACGGCAACCTCCGCGCCTACCTCCAAGAGCCACGCGCAACACCATTTAGAGAAGAGTCTGCGCAAATTCGCCCGCAATCTCGACGAAACTGCCGCGGTGCTGCAGGAATCCTACAAGTTTCTGCGCTTGACGAGTCACACGCACATCGTCCTCGGGAAGCGATTGCTCGGTCTGCTCGGGCATTACGTGTATCAAGCGGAGCGCTTTTTTTCATGTTCATGATTCATGCCAAGATGAAGAATTCGTTTTTGTGCCCAATTTAGCTAGTTACAACTGAACTTGTTCGAGTCTGGTACTTATCATGGAGGTTACTTTTCGCTTCCAATTTTTGACAAAAATCTACGATTTCTCGTCATCAGCATCACAACATTCCAGCGAAAAATGCGTGAATTACGGGTGCCCAGACGACCGGGAGGAGATTGCGATGCGCGTGGACAGTCTGGCGCAAAACTACCTCCAGGACGCCACGTTGCTTCTCCGCGGCGATTTTTCCAGCTCAGACCCCAGGTTTTGGCGCGGGCTGGACGAGACGGAGAAGTCGCTCTCCATCAACAGCACTGATCCTTTTTTCGAGCGGAAGAAGTACCCAAATGTTCACGAACAGGACGAGGAGAGCTCCAGTGCCAGCGGAGCCCCGGGGGGCACCAGCTCTGGCGAAAATGCAGATTCGAGTACAACTACAGCAGCTTCTGCTCCTTCCGGTGGAGAAAAAATCGTAACCGGCGCGCAGGAGGACGATGAGGACGATTTTCTGGCCGCCGAGGACGCACAGCTGCCCTCGAACCAGATGGTGCGCAAGCGTGGCCCGAGAACGAACCTGAACAAGGTGCAGCGAGCAGCAAGGGGGTCGCACGATCTGGCGGATGACTCCAGCGACGAGCAGGAGTTCCTGGCCCTGGTTGGCTCCGGCGGTAAGGGGAAGGGGGAACCAGATTACAACAGCAAAGGTGGAACAAACAAGGGCCCCCGCAAGGGAACAACATCAAAAGGTGGTGCCAGTACTAAGGGCTTCGGGAAGGGGCAGAAGTGCAAGCAAAGTCCGGACTCGAAGGCCACGGACTCGAAAGATTCGGCGCGCGACGGTGCGATGTGCAGAAATTTGGAAGACGACGCGATCCGCACCGCCGACGTGATTCGCGCCGACACCAGGGATCGCGAGTACTATCTGAATCTGAACAACCGGCACGGACAGGTAGGGCCGCTGGCCGCGGTGTACCGGGCATTCGAGCCCAAAATGACCAAGGAAATGCTCTTTTCCCACTATCTCGGCGTGGTGCTGGAATTTCTCGACGCCCTGACCGCGTTCATCCAAAAAGAGCCGAACTTTCCCGGCACGATGTTGCAACTGGTCCAGAAAATCTCCGACGCGCACTGCGGATTGCAATACCGACTCAACGCCCACGCCTCGATGTTCCTCACGACGCACGCCATGCAGCCACCCACGTTGCACCTGCCCTGGTCCTACGATCGGAGGTTCGTCTATGACACCCTCAGAATGGAAATCCTCAAAGTGGAAATAATTTGTGATGCAGGAAGTGCGACACCAAAAAGACTGTATTGCAGAGGACGCAATGGAGGCCGACTATGGTGCTTCTACGGGTTCAGAATTGGGCTGCTGATTAGCATGAGAGAAGGGCATCCCTTTGCCTAACTAGCACGACAGACACGCTTTGAGTGCCCGGGAAATTTGTCATGCGCCGACTAGAAAGTCGCTCCAACTGGAGTCGTTTTTTTGCATTACAAATTATTTCCACTTTGAGGATTTCCAACCTGAGGCTCTCATATCGTCTTCGAGGATCGCGCGTGCTGCCGCCGGTACCACGTACTGGGAAGATTGATGGACGACCTGAGGGTATCGCAAGAAAAAACTGTTTCACTGTGAACCTGTGATGCAGAGAACGAAACACCACAGCGGTTGTCTTGCTACACCTGCAACACAACGGATTTTTAGGCGTGTTTCCTCTTGGAAAACGCGCATGACAAATTTTCTGTGTCATGTGTAGCAAACTTGTGATGCAGATCTTGCAAAACCATCACGGTGAAACACTTTTTTCGTCGGATAGAGGGACAAGTTTGGACACAATAGGCAGCTCGTCGGCGTCGAGGTCGGCGTTAACAACGCAATCACGAGCCAGTATTTTTTTCGTTGTCTTTATTCATTTTTTCCACCTCAATATTTGGTTGCTCGGTGCATTTCAGTGATTTAGTGAAGAATTAAAGTTGACGCTCGGTGTGGTCGACGTGAGTGAATCACTTTAGTACTTCCGCCGTCGACGTTCCGGCAGATTGATGCAGTGATCAACATGGGAAGTAGAAATAAAAACAACCCGGTTCGAATAAAATCTCTCATAAAATGAGGTATCTGCTGAAGAACATCCCGGACCTGCGGCTGACCGGTCTCGATCCGTTCATCAATGTTACGGAGAGCATTCAGCAGATGTCCTACGATGTGTTCGGTAACTACCCGGACCGCGCGGAGTTGATCAAGATAGGCTCCGAAGACTTTGTTGACAGCGTCCCGGACGAGTCGCTCGACTTTGTCTTCATCGACGGTGACCATTCCTTTTCCGCCGTGGTCCGCGATCTCGAGCAGTGGGTGCCGAAGGTAAGAAAGGGAGGACTCGTCTCGGGTCACGACCTCTTCAACCCGGCATTTGAGGGCGTATTCGAAGCGCTCACGCTGCTCGCCGAAGACTACCCACGGATCCATTACGGGTTCGATTTCCTCTTCTACTGGTGGAAGCCCGGCGGCGAAGGCGGAGAGGGGTGAACAAGTTGTAGGCTTCTACGCTGTAGTTGTATCTACGGAAGAACCAGTGGCGCAACGCCAACGTCGGATTTTGAAAAACCGTGACTACACCAGTGAGCCGCGGTCGAATGCTACGTGCGAAGAACCGTTCAGAAGCCATCCTGTGTAAGCATCTACGGTCAGTGAATCTTCGGCTTCCACAACCCGTGAGGAAAGAGAGACCAACAGAGACGACCACCATCAAGAAGAGGCCGCTGCTTTTCGAGCATCAACAATGAGAACGAAAATTCGAGACCTGCGCATAAAATCCGAGCCTGTAGTGCACCGTGATGAAAAATCCTGCATGCAGGAGTAAATGGAAAATGGATGGCGATAGCAACGGGTCATGGGAAAGGGGGTCGTTGTGGTGATACCTCTGCGCAGCTTCTCTCACGTTCTTCCACGTCAATCTACCAGTCACGATGGTCCCAGTGAAAACAGTGGGCAAGATGAAGTACAGCTAGAGAATGCTTGCACAGCTCATGTTGCTACATTGGGTGAACTTGTCTTGATGATGCACAACATTTTCCGCCAGTTCTTCGTTCACTCAATTAATCAGCCACGGCAGTTGATGTTGTGTGGGACTGTTTATTGCAGTGTTGCTTTCCTCAGTTAAGATATGCCACATGCGTAACTACATCCTCAGTGATGCTGGCGCAGTTGCAATTGCATCTATCGCGGAAATATTAACACGAGCGTGGCAGAGTCCATCGACTTCGACTACGGCCGAGTTTACTCTGATGAGAGACGTTGACTTTTTCCTTCTCTTGGTGTTGGTGGTAACATGTGAACAATTATGCTGCTACTTTAGATAAATGAAAATGATTATGATTATACTTCTTAAAAAAACTTGTACATAACGCTGAGGCTGACGGTTCTTGAGCATAGTTCTAGCTGTGAGGCGAGCAGGATTGCACGTGTAAGTGTACAACACCCACTTACGTTGTTCTTCTTTCTTTTCAGATGTTCTTATGATGCGGACACGCCACTGCCTCCGCCTCTTCGCGTGCGGTGCAGCCAGGTGATATACGAAGAATTTTTTTAAGCAAAGAAAGAGCAGTAAACTACCCCTGCCGGTATTTTGACCTCTTGAATTTCCCTTTCCCAGCCAGGTGTTCGGCTTCATTGGCATGTACTAAGTACGGCTCTTTGTCTGGTGCATGGTGGTGGAATGTTGAATTTGAATTTGCACCCTATTGAATAAAATGCAGCAAAGGTAAAGGACGCTCAACCAACAAGTGAAAGTGTGTTTCCTCCAGGTGAATACGTAGGCAAAAGTTGTACACGTAGTTTGTCCCCGTGTACACGAATGAATGTTGGTTGCTTCATCTTCATCCTTTATTTCGTCGTTCTTCACAGCACTACTTCTGTTGAGTCTCCATTTTCATTTTGAACGGCAATGATTGAAGACTCCCCGCTGTGGTTCTTCTGACGTGAAGGTGAAAGGTAAACGACACAAATGATAAATGCGTGCTGTCATGCTGAACCTGAAGACTGGACTAATCGTCATTGCGAAAACAACTCCATCTCCAGCATGTCCATACATAGCCAAGTCCATCACCGTCACCCTTCCCGACTCTAGAAGTGATATCTAAACAGAAGCAACAGAACATAGTCCAGTCCCCAACTAGAAATAAAATTCATGAGATGTAAAAGTGCTGTACGAAGTGAAGTCAACGACGACGAGAAGATTGTTAAGAAGCATCTAGAGAAGTACTAGACAACATAAATACTGTATATTTGGGCAGCAGCTTTCATCGAGTGGTGTGTGGCGACAGTGGGTGCATGTCAGGGTTCTCGCTCCTCGAGCCTGATCATGCCAAGATGTTGAGTTTTCCTTTGAGAAGTAAAATGAAGATCTCAACATCTTGCTGTAAAAAGACCCGAAAAAAAGTAAATACGAGCGACAAGAAAATAAAGTTCTTGTCCCCTGAGGTTTCAATACTAAAAAGACCACAGCCAGCTCTGATTTCCAAGAACAAGCTGAGGTCTCCTAGGCGAGAAAGCAACGCCCACCAAGGTCAACAAGCTGTGACCACATCAAGCCACGCGCCGTGGTGGCAGGACCACGCAAACTATGGACGATCCCATCATCGAAGATTGGGCCTGGCCAGATGTGCCGCTGTTGCACACCTCAATGGATGTATCAAATGCAAAAGTGTCTGGGTCTGGAAGATTTAGATTGGAACATCTGTCATGCACATTTTGCATGAACGATGAACAAATGATGCCTGTAATGCATGACCTAGCATCCGAGATTTTGCGAGGGCTTCCTTTTGCCTATACCGCATGAGGAATACCCCCTCCGCGTAGCATAAACTGGACTCCTCTTGCTCCTTACGTCGCAATACTGATTTTTTTGGAATCCAAAGACAGCATGACAAGTTCCATCCTGCTCCCAGACCCAGACACTTTTGCATTTGATAGGATGACCGGCTGGACAACTTGAGTCCGACGAGGAACACTAGAAATCACCACCACCTACAACAGCATCAGCAATACCACCCGAACCATCAGCCCCCGACTAGCAGTAGCGCCCCAGGGTATAATCAACATGGCGCAGCTGGAAGTAGAACGAGTGGTGACCATGCTCTTGGAAGCAGCGGCCCGACCCTGCTTCACCGGGGCGGGCCTCAGCCGCACCACCAGCAGAGTACGAATTTCCTTCGGGGTATGGAACTGTCAGGATTGAAATTGACAAAGTTGAAATGGTTTGTCATGCATGAAACGGATTCCAGTTCGAACCCAGTTTCTAAGTCGCGCATCACAAATTCTGGTGGTGCCTAAATCCAGTGCGTAATGCTGTTTAGGCAAAGAAGACTGATTCTCTCATGCTGCTTTAGCAGCTCGAGCTATAACCCCAGGCAGGCTGACAATCGGCCTCACTTGCCTGCTCTGCAACGCAAGTACTTCGCGTCATGCATTTTATGCGTCACAGATTTAAATTTTTCGACTTTGTCAATTTCGATCCTGACAGTTCCATACGGGGATCAACAACGGTTTCCACCGAGTCGCTGGAAGTCGGCCAGCTACGCCAATACCTCATGGAGCGAGATGCCGTCATCGGTCAGCTTGAATCGCTGCTGCAGGAACAATCTACAAGGTAACAGGGGCCCTCACGAGGACCAAGGTTCTTTCTAGAAGTGCAGGATGATTTTTTCAGCTCTGGTGTAGTCAATCGATATGGAATTCGAGTTATTTGAAAGCAGAGGCGGGAGAGGCAGTCCTCCTCGACGTTGTCCTCTGCTTCAACGTCGGTCTACTACGACACCAAAAATAACTTCTCATCCAGGTTCCGCGAGAGCATGCAGCAGGTCCAGGCGGACTTGTTCACGGCCACCAAGTCCGAGAAGGACATGCAAGTGCTGCTGCGCTCCCGCCAAAGCCAAGACGCGGAAGAGAAGAACCGGCTGTCCCTCGAGAAGCAACGCCTCGAGCACGAGCTCGAGTACGCCGCGAAAGAGAAGAAGCGAGAGGAGGCCGCCTGGCGCCAGCGCGCGGAGGACTTGCAGAAGGAGTTGTCGGATACGAAACTGGACCAGAACCGGCTGCAGTACCTGGAAAAGGAAAACGGCCGGCTGAAGGAAGAAATTTCCGACGTCGAGCGGCAGCTCGCGGCGAAAACTGCACTCGTTGACAAGCTGGAAAACGAAAAGATCGACCTAGAAAAAGGCTCCCGCGGCCGCCTAGGCGGTTTCGCGGCGGAACGGCAAAACCGCTTGGAGAGGGAACGCCTTGAGGAGCAGATTCGCGATCTGCGAAAACAGTATTCTTGTTTTTAATTATATATACGGCAACTTGATGTAAAAAGATGAACCGGAAAAACTAAATTAGTGTAAGGGCGCCGAGATGAGCGCGCTGCATGCTTCATCTAGTCCGTTTTTCTATTAGCCGTAGCCAGTGGCGCGCTCTGTTGGCTATTTTTGGGTTCGTTCTGTTGAATGCAACTTTGAAGAACTACTTGTTGAACATAATATGAACTACAAACGCACGCCTAGTGATCAGATGCTGGCTCCCGCCATCTCGACAGGTTAAATGCGCGCGAGGAGCAGGACACGTATTCCGCTCAGGAAAGGCAAGAAGCAGAGGACGAAGTTTGGCTGGAGAAAATTCGGCAAAACACCGCGTACTGGGAACAACAGATAGAGGAGCAGAAACACTTGCTGGAAACCGCGGAGACGCGCGTAAAGGAACTCGAAGACCAAAACCAGGACTCGCAGTCGGAGCAAATTCTTGCGCTGCAGGGAAAACTGCGTTTGGAAAAGCGGGTTGCGGAAGAGCAGGGCGCACGGCACCGGCAATTAGAGCTGGAGAAAGAGGAACTCGAAGCGCGCCTGAATGCGCTTCGCAATGAGGTGGAGGAAGCCAGGTAACTGGGATGCTTGTCAACAAAAAATTGATCCAGGCTACATCAGGCGTAGATATTTACTAGGGGCAACATCATGCTTGTCTCCATCCACCGTTCGTTGCTGCGACAAACAATGCTGGCATGCAAAGAAGTCGAACACCTTTAGTAAGTCACCGGACGACGAGGAACTGTACTTAATTCACAAGATACATTGAGCTTCATCGTTTTTGCTTCCACAGAACCTCAGCGGAGCAGGCTAGAGCAGATGGGAACGCCGAGCTGTGCGAGGAGTTCGAGCGCCGCGTAGAAAACTTGCGGCGGGACACGGAAGCCCGCATTCAAGAAAAGGAGGAGGAGGCTACTGTCCGTTTGCGGCACGCGTCCGAGAACTACGACGCCGAGCGACGGGATTTCGTAGCTCGAATCAACGAGCTGGAAAAGTCAGTGACGGTGTGGAGGGAAAAGTTCGACTCCCTCGCTGCGCCACTCCCTCCCGAAATGGCCACTTCCAAGGGTACTAACAGTTCTGATGCTTTACCACTACCAGACCCGCTTCGCCTGAAAAACACGACCGGGTCGACGGTGATAGCGCCTTCCGCATCACGCTCCTCGTCCGTGTCGTCGGCAAAAAGAGTGCAGCATCAAAACGAGCAAATTGGCGGATCCTCCTCGAGCCGGGCGCGCAGTCCGAGTCTGGTAGTGATGCAGAGGCAGAAACAGCTGAAAGAGCGCATCGCCGTACTGGAGTCGGAAAATAACGACCTGAAAGCCAGACTGCAGAAGCGGGGTGCGAACCGCGTTGACGCATCGCCTTCCGAAGTGCGCACGTTGCGCAAGCGGCTTGCTGAACGGGAGACCGAGCTAGCCCACATGCAGCACGAAATGCGAACGTCTTCCAAGCGGCGCGGCAGTTCGCAGTCGTCTCGTCCGGGCGATGCAAGCATGAGGAGCATGAACTCCTCATTCCAACGGCAGGGCAGCAGCGAGGCGCTCGTCGTTCCCGGACAAAAGTCGTTCTTCTCGTCCGGCGCAGCACCACCATCCGAGAACCATTCGCGAATCGAGGAGGCAGTGGCGGAAAGCAAGCACCTGCGGACTGTTGCGGACCAAGCCCAGCAGCGACAAACGACACTGGAGACGACCTTAAGCAGCGTCACCGCGCAGCTCCGTGAGTCGGAGCGGCGTCTCGCCGAGGAGGCCGAGGCCAGCAGGAAACTTGACACGGAGAACTTTGAGTATCGGAAACGCATTCGGGATTTGGAAACGGAAAACCGTATCACAAAGGAAGGCCGAGCCGATCTCGAGGGCAAACTGTTCGACCTCAGCAAGGAGCTAGCGGATGCGGCGGAAAAGCATGCAGCGGAGCTTCGCAGAATGGAGCGACAAATCGGAGACGAGGCGAGTCGCGAAGTCCGAGATTTACAGAAGAGCGAGGCGCAGTTACACAAGGAGCTGGAGGAAGTGAAGGTAGTTATTTTTGCTTCGGCTGTGCCTCATTTTCTTTTTCTTTTTTTCTCACTGCAGCGTACGGATTCTTACGCAGTTCTTCTTAGGGGTTGTATTGTCACTCGACGTGTCAGCCTTGCAATCATTTTCAGTCGACGTAGTTTGGCTCTGGCTGGTGCTGGAATCTAACATTCGCGACTTGGCTGCAACTACATAAGCACACGTTTACGATGATACAATGGGAACATCAGTTTCTTTCTACATGTACTATCAACAGCCCGAGGTCGAGCGCTTGCGCAGCGACCTGCGTTCTTCCCGCGAGCGGATAGCCCAGTTGGAGGACCAGTATGATTCCGAGGCGAGCCGCTGTACGCTCCTGGAGCAGACCATCGAGATTCTGAAGAAGGAAAAGAGCCTTTTGCAAGACGAGCTGCGCGATCTGGAAAGGCAATTTGGCGAGACAGGATCGCTTAAAAATGGCGACCACAGTAAAAATGCTGGAAACCCTCGGAGTAGCACCACTTCCCGTCTGTCACTGAAGAACCACGACGAGTTTGCCACCGCGGTAGGGGCTGCAGGCCGGGGCACACGAGGAGCCGGCACCGAGCGCGTGAATGATGATCCCGACGAGAGCTACATTTCGCATTACAGCAATCGCAGCAGCAAAAAGACCGCTGGAGTAAATGCGGATCTTGCCGGAGCGGACGGCCGCGCCCATGGTTCGACTTTTTCCCGCAGACCGAATGCTCCGAACTTCGTGGCTTCCGGTGCGGCAGTTGCGACTCCAGCGGCCGGGACCCCGTATGGTTCCTCCTCGTCCCGAGGAGGGCAACATCACTACGCGCCCGACCACCGTTCCACGCCTGGATCGGTTCTGTTCGGGCGCCGGCGTGAGGTTCCAGCTCGCGAGGACGACGACGACGATGTAGACCATTATCGCGAAAATGTGCTTTCCAGAAGCGATTACAAGGCCGCGAGAAATACTAGCGACTTTCACCCTCGTATGGGGGACCGCCAGGAGCACAGAACGCCGACTGCCACACGAAACAGGTACAATGATCCGCAGTCCCGGCCACACCTCTCGTCCACTGGACGAGCTACCACGAGATCCACCGGCGGGGCCGCGAGCAGTGGTCACTACAACAATTACGGCAATGCGACCGCACCGCGGCGCAAAAGCCCCGGCATTTTGTCGAGCTCGGAGGATGATGTTGACAGTGTGTTCCTGTCCCGCAGGGCGACCGCCGTTAGAAAGCCAGTCATGTCCCGACAGGCGTCCACCGCCCGGCGGCGGCCGCCAGCACGGTCGGAGTCGAGCTCCGAAGGCTCTCTTGAGCGCATCGTCCGGGAGTCTGACCCGCTGTTTCGAGGATCCAAGAAGAGGTGACGCGATGTTCTTTTCCTTGAAGAAGCAGCATCCTACGTGCCTGATGCCGACCTGGATGTGGATATCTCCTGCTGGAACCTGTTCTTCATCAAGTATGTGTAGCATAGGCGGCAAGTACAAGAAGAAGTGACGACTGTGTTGCACTACATCATGTACTAGGTGTACCGACATTATCGCTTACTTTCGCTATAATTTGTAGCTGTGTGTCATCGTCTTGCGTACTAGCAGTAGCTAGGCCACAATTCTGTGTCTCAAATATCGGTGGTGTGTGACTTGGTGTTTTTCTTGAAATCATTCTTTATCTTTTATTGACGCGAACCAACTAAATCAATGCATAGAAGGGTGGTATGTGAAAGTGCAGTGGTAGACCTGGACCACACACACATTTACCAAATAAACTAAACCTGAGCTGGTCTCGCCTCGGCTGGACATCACAGACCGTGCCGTCGGCAATATCTTGATCTTTGTGAAGATAGTGTTCGTCCTTCGTACGTTTAACCGCGCGCGCCGAGATTTGCAAGATTACTCCGCGTCTCTCGATTTGCAAGAGGACGAGAGCTCCGCTTCTACATGTGGCGACAACCCAGGCGAGCGGATGTGAGTGTGACGACACGTGGTTCAGAGAAGATGACGCGTTGAAGCAAAGAGGTGCAAAAATGATTGTGTAGACTGCAGCAAGATCAGGCAACAAATATACCGTTTTTTTTTTTCGTCGTGCGGCAAACGGCAGCATGGTGGTGATCCAGGACCTTGACGACATCGACGACCCAAGCATCCTAGATGCGGATGAGGAGGAAAAGGAAAAGCCAAAGGACCCGCCCGCACCCACGGTCAAGAAGGGCTTTTTGAACAAAGAAAACCGCCCTGAGCTCTACGGGCCGGAGGGCAGCGAGCAGGGGAAAGTTACGGAAAAGCAGAAGCAGCAGTGGGCAACAGACGACCTGAACCGCGAACAAAACAAAAAACAGGGGCTCGGAGCCTACGACTCAGAGTAAGGCTATAGCCATATTTTTTTTACGTCGTTTTTTTCTCCAAAGTGCCTGTATCTTCAACTGATTGCGTCACTACGTACTTGCGCTTTCGTTTTGCTCTGGTGTACCGATGAAGAGCCATCGCCTCAGGAGTTCCTATTTATTCCACCGCAGCTTCGACAAGCCAAAGTGGTTTACTTCGGAGTGGCCGTCAAATTGTCAGTACAACAATCCGGGATGCAACGTCGATGCCATGAAGAAGTCGGCGCACGAGTCCACCCTGCACCAGGACGTGATCCGAAAAAGCGACAGGTGGCAGGAGGCAATATCGAATCCGCAGGGGGAGATACGGCTGAGCTTCCTCGGAATGCGGGACGACGATTTGATTGAGCTCGTCAACGCGCTCCGGTCCAACGAGACCGTCGAGCATTTAGACGTGTCCTTCAACCACCTTCAGGACACCGGGGTGCAGCACTTGGTCAGCGCGCTGGCGCAAAAAGCGCTGCCGGCACTCAAGGAGCTGAGAATGTAAGTCAAAGCATGTCACTGCAGTTGCTTCGTGTATCGAATGAAGGAAGCAGCTAAAACTACTCAACGTGAAAGTTGTACGTCGATTTTGGCTTTAACGGAGATGCTGCCATTAGGCTCCTTGATTATGATTTTGTCCTCCCATCGAGAAATACACTCGGCAATGGAAAAAGAAAAACTTCACCCCAGATACAAGAACGAGTTCACGAAGCTTGGCAAGGAGATGCTGAAGGGCCTAAAATTTCTTCGCAAGGATGTCCAGGTTTTGATAGAGGAGCCGGAATATTTCCGACCGTCGGCACCCCAAACGGCAGGCGAAAAAAGCGCAGCATCGTCTAGTTAGCAGGTGACAACTACAATGTGTAAACAAGTACACTTACACACACGATGCATAATAAGCTCAATTAGTTGCATGGCAGCAACACTAAAAACCTTATCCCATTCAATGGGACCCATTGCTGCGACGCATTCATTGCTTCCATGAAAATACTTTCCGTCGACATCCCACACTGAGGGCTGGTTGGTACTATCTTTATCTACCCTCTGTTGATGGTGCCCGAAGCGGCGCTCAGGCCACCCGAGGTCGTTTGCGCACAAATAAGGTCAAAAACGTGATGAATATCAGAGTCTGTCATGCAGTACCACGGTCAGTCTCGATTTTTTCTGATGTAGCTTTTCTGTTGAGCAAATAGAAAACTTTAACTTTTGCTGTGACCGTGCAGGTAAAGGAGACCAGCGAGAGAGAGAGCCGCATATGAAGAGGGTGAGTGTGATCATCTGTCGTGAGTGAGCCAGCGCAGTAGCAGCTTTGCTTTTGAAATGAAACGCCCGCCTTGTCCCATGCCAAACACACCAGAAAGAAGAAAACTCGCCCAAGGTATCTTTCCACCCCTTCCTTTTGAATTGTTATATTTATCGCAAGGGAAGCGATAGGATAGCGAAGTATCGCTATCTATCGCCCTCATCGATCTAGTTTTGCAATTTGCCAAAGGGACCTGCTCCGCCTCACCCACACGCCAGTATATGGTTGCGGAGATTCGTGACTTTTTATTAGCGGAAAATCAAAATCAGTGGATTTACACGTGAGTAAACCGTGTCAGACGTGCGACCTAAATTTGAGAATCGACTTTAACGCGAATCTTTATTTCAAAAACACGCCTTGACAAAAATGTCGCTAGCCATTGGAGACGTTGCCCCGGATCTGAAGCTAACCGACACAGAGGGCAAGCCCTTTGACTTGGCTTCCGTCAAAGGGAAGAAGGTACTATCGAGGATCATGATGTTTCTCTTTCTCTAATCTCATACTCCAACTCCAGCTGCACCTGGTAGCCCAAGTAGCCTGAAATGGTGAGAAGCCGAAGCTTTTGCAGCAGGTTGAGGTTGACGTTGACAGAACAAGATGAGGGCAAGCAAAAGAAATGAATGAAATATCCAATTGTAATCCCCCTCCAAGGTGTACCTGTGCTTCCTCCGATATGGTGCCTGTATGATGTGCGCGTTGCGCGTCGCCGAGGCGAAGAAACGCGCCAAGGCGTTGAAGGACCAGGGACTGGTGATGATGCTGGTGATGAACAGCACGGCCAAGGAAATCCAGCCCTACGGCGCGGGGAAGCTTGCGGACGCTGATCTGCAGATCCTGTGCGATCGGGAGGGGACCGTATCCAAGAAAAAACACTCATCCACATCCAATTTCTCATGCAAAACATACTGTGTAAGTACATAAAATTCCATATCTGTCATGCAAAAAATGGATGTGGATGGGTGTTTTTTCCTGGATAGACCGCGTATCAAGCCTACAAGACGAAGAAGAGCTGCATGGCCTCCCCGCTGGGGTGCGCCATGTGCATTCACACCTGCGGCGACTGCCGCATGCCCCAGGCCGCCTGCGGCTGCTGCAACTCCCTGGCGTTCGGGAAGGGGACCTGCGGGCCCTGCTGCGGTTTCATGAACTGCAGCACGCAGCACATGGATTCCTCTCGCGCGCAGCAGATGCCGGCAGACTTTCTCATCGACGAGAATGGAAAGCTGGTGGACGTCTTGTACGGCAGCAGTATCGGGAAACACATGCCGTGGTCCAAGATCGAGGCCTTCGCGTCGGGCAAGGATCTCAACGCACCGCAGCAGCAACAAATGTGACGAGGGGTAAAAGTTCTAGTTCAAGCAAAAAGTAGACAAGGCAAGTTACTATACGAGAGGAAGTGGGTGATTGATCTACACCACTTTTTCTTGCATGATATACATTTTGATCTTGTACGATTTGTCAAGCTCGACCACACCTACACTAAGGCGACGATCTAACGATCGTTTTCTACTTTACTGTGTTTCAAGACATAGACAAATGCTTACTAGAAGTTTGTAAAATCCGCATCGAGATACACCAACGTCGTGGTAAGTAAGTTGGATCCATTATGCTCCGGCTAATGAACTAGATCGCCGTTTGAGCATCCATTAATATGATGGCTGAGTTAATAACTGCCAAAGCAATAAGGATAACACATGCCACTGCAATTTTTTCAAGAAGGAAATAGCTCCATGATTATTTCTAGATTCACTCCGTGGCGCGTGGCAGTGTCTAACAAACATCCCACTTTGCCGGTGCTTCTAAGCAGACTTCCTTGCAGAAAATCGTTTTATGTCAAGGAAATGCTAATGCAGCAAGCGGTTCATAAAATAAGTACGAGTGTCTTCCTTGTGAGAGAATGTCACCTACCCGCGCCCTCATCCTTAACGATCACCCATAGCTTCTAGAACATCCTGGCTTCTTAGATATAGTAGAACGGTACTAACGCTTTCGATCTAGTGGCCGATTTGGCAACTACAACCAGTTGCAGTTGATGCAATTGCAATCTACAAGGACGTCGGAAATACCACAGAAGGGACCTATTGCAGATGAGGCTCTGCCTCCTGTTGCAACAATTGATTTTCGCGATAAGTCAGTTGCATGAGGATGAGCCGCAACAGCGACGCGCGTTGCGTGCTCCTGGCCAAGTTCAGTGTACATGTATTCCCATGTCGTTCTACTTTTTTGCTAGCTTGTGGGCTCGTGCTGAGGGGGAGAGAGAAGATGGGGAACTAAACGAGAATGGGAAGCGAGCAAAGACTGTGTGCTCGTGCTGGTCTCGTTGATACCACTCTTGGTATGGAGCAAACAAATCGAGTGACTGTGACACTACCACCGGCAGGATCGCGACTCATCTACTTACTTCAGAAAGGGTTCTTGATGGAGGTTGTGACAGCAAAGAGTCGGGAGCTGGTCGCTCGTTCTTGGCATATCGAGAGGGACGAGTCTTCTTGGCGGGTACTGAAAATTTCAAATTTTTACATTCTTTTCATTTCGCTCTCGAATGTTAGTTCGCTGAGAGTAGGTACATCGAAAGTGCAAGCGAAGATGACGCGTTTTTCGCCGAACATGTCTCTGCGAAAACACGTCGCGGCACTCTTGGTCCACCTCCTTATGGTGCCATCATGTCACGCGACGGGCAAGCGGCCTAACAGAAACCACGAGCGGATCGAGGGGCTGCCTCCCGGACTAGTTTCCTCTGGTCCGATTGTGATCCGGCTTGATGGGCCGGATTCACCCTTCGGTCCCGGGGGGCAAGACCCGTTTGCGGCTTTTGTGCAGGACCTGCTGAGCACCCCTCCGAGGCCCAAGAAGGGCGGCAACCTGCGAGGGTCCAACAGTCTCCGCCGCGGCGGCGCCGGCGGCGGCCCGACACTGATGCTGCCGCTGCCGCTTTTTGGCGGCCTCCTAGCTGACGATGACTCGGACGAGGACAGCACCGACGGGGGCCCCTTTTCGCCGTTTTCCCTGCTAACCGGCGGCCTGCAGGGCTCGCCGCTCTTCGGCGGGGGCGGTTTTCTCGGACCGCGCAGGGGCCGCGGCGGGATGGGCCTTGTCTCCGAAGAAACGGAAATCACGATGACGCCGCAGGGCATGCGGAAAAAGACCATCCGCACGGACGACGACGGCACGGTCACCGTGACAACGGTGCATCCCGACGGAACGAAGGAAGTGCAGGTGACAAAAAATCCACGCAAGCAGAAGCAAAATCAAGCAGGGGGTGCGAAACAAGAGGACAGCAGTAAAGAGCAGCATCTTCTTGCGGGTTCGCAGCCCTCGTCGGCCCCTGCGAAGATGAACAAGGACGATAGTGCTAGTAGCAGCAGCACAACGGCAGCGCCAAAGGTTGGTGTCGAGTTGCAGCACTTCGTGGATCATTTCCCGATGCACCCCAGCTTTTTCCAGCCTGACGAGGTGTCCAAGGTGGAGACCAGCGGCATGGACTTGAGTCTCGGCCCAAACTCGGCCGGCGACTCGAGCGGCGACGAGCTCTTCGGCGACCTCATGCTCAAAACCATGCTGGAAAGCTTGGGACAGGCTATGCCGGCGGCGTTGCTGCGGCAAATGGGTGAAGCGCACCAGCAGGAGCAGCAGGCGAAGGAACGCGAAAACAAGAAAGCCGATCGTGATCCAGCACCGACTTCTAGTAGTACTAGTGAGAACCAGGACCCGGCATCTTCACCGCAGCAAGTAGGGGGAGAACACGATCCCTGCGCGAATGATCTCAAGAAGTTTTCCTGTGCGAATACCGCCCACCGGTTGCACTGTCTCGGCAAGCACGAAATGCTGTTAAAAAAGGAGTGCCGCGATTCGATTGCGAAAGCCGTCCCGTTTGTGTGCCACTCCCAGATCGATCAGTACAAGTGCCCGGCGGATTATCCAACAAGAAAAAGACTGTCCCAGTCTACTCAAACCTTTGCAGTACATCCAACCAGCAACGCTATGAATTCGTTCAGCGTGGTGACACACAAAACCTGTGATGCGTCAGACACAAGAGAAAACACATACGAAGCGCGCTCTATTTCTTTCATGAGAAAAATGTGGAGCTGCATGGCATCGAGATATGGAGATACACCCGAAGCAAGGAATGCCCCCATTTTGCAGTTGCGACTGAAAGACTGTTGCCTTGTGATACGAATGGCAGCGTGTTGGACTGCCTGAGCATGCACGAGAGCGTACGCATGGAAAAAGTATCGTGCTAGGAAGTAGTATAGCTCGTGTCCGTGGTGTGACAAGTTGGATTCTGTCATGCACACGCCAATTTAGCTCATGATTATGCATGGTCGCGATTACTACGAGCGCGATACTTTTGCAGCGCATAGAGAGACCTCGCGGGCAACTGTCGGGACTCCGTCGACATGACGCTCCATCTTACCAGGGCCGTCCAGGCGGCAAAGAAGGTCTTTCTCGCGCACGCCACCGACCACAGCCAAATCGCCGCCGGGAACACGGACGATTTGTTTTCGGTCGTGAAAAATTCCTTCGCTTCCGACCCTACTTCGCGCTGGCACTCCATCTTCGTGCTGCTCATGTACGTCCTGCTCGGCGCTGCCTTCGGTCTGCTGCTCTGCTACCTGCGCGGCAAGGTACAGGTTGCCGGCGGCCACAGAAAAGTGAAAGCGAGCACGGGGGCGGAAAAAATGATGGAGCTCCAACTGAAGCAGAACCACACTCCGTACGACTCGTGCGACATAGAAGAGAAGATGGCCTGAACAAAGTAGAGCGGAGCTGTCTCTTCTGCCAATGTTTGCTGACTGACCTAACATAAGAAGCAAGATCAATCAGAAACGACGTACACGACGATCGCAAATTATTAGACGAGGCTCACCGCTGCTGGATTTGTATAGTCTTTACGTAAAAAAGTACTTCGCTAAAAGAAAGGCCTTCAATCCTTGATTGTGAGTCTACGCGATGGATTGTAACTTTGCAGTTGCGTTTTTCTTTAATCGGAGACCGAGATAATTTGTTTGAAGCTAGAAACCAGAAGAAAGTAGATCAAGATCTCTTGACCAAAATTAAAGTAGTACTGGAAGGAGCGCGTCGCGATTCGGAAGTTTGGTTTCGTAGAAAAAAACAAGAAACACCAGACAATGAGGCAGGCGACCCCGCCAGCGAGCGCGTGAACCTGAACGCGTCAGAACGACAGAAGAGTGATGAAGAAGAAGAAAAATTCATTGTAATGCACTTAAACTTACACTGACTTAGCCAAGCGGCGGCGCTCAGATTCAGCTTCAGGTGGGGTCAGTGATTCGCTCGACGATGATGCATCTTGATCTCTGCTTAGACCCTCTTGCTCGTGATTGTGTTTGTGAAGAAGGTAAAATGACCCCTGTAAATGCACAGAACTACATGACTCACTCATGCCTCGGTCAACTTTTCGTGAAAGAAGAACAAGAAAATCATCGATCATGTCGCAGCAGGCCTCGAAGTCAGATCGAAATCAATTGCAGTGCTGTATTTACTTACAACTCTGCATGCTCTATGGATCATATTCGCTCCGATCATATACTAGAAGGCCATAGCTGCAGCTTCTAACCTCAAGGTCAATTCTACTTCGAGTTCGATATCGCAGCAACAGGAGGCTTTCCATTTGAATTTGAAGCGAAGAAGTAGTTTTGTTTTGAGACCTTATTTTGAAAATTAAGGACCCTAAAGCTAAACCCTTGAAAAATTAGCCCTGTTTTGTACATCAATAGAGACCAGCTTGCACGATTTTCACTATTCATTCAGTCGTTGTTGCGGTTTCCACCCGCTCTGTAAAATTAAAACCAAAACGTACACATACATTAGCATAACACAACGGAAAACTAAAAGAAAAAGATTCGATGGCAATGATGAAGTATCAGACGAGAAGCGATGCGCTCGGGCTAGCGGCTCGAAGTGCAGCCTGCATAGTTGCAGTCGTTTTGCTTCCATTGTTTTCTTCGCCTGCCACAATGGCTATGAACATAATTCCAGCGCACGATACAGCGGCTGGCCGCCGCCCTGATGAGGCTCCTGAAACGACACCCGTCGACTCTCAGCATCCCCCGCGCGATCTTTTGGTGCTTGCGCCGGATGGCAACCTCGGTGACTGGCGGCCCCCACTGCAACTTGCCCTGGCGCTCGCGGCGAAAACGTTCCCGCGCACGTTAGTCGCTGTGTTTCCTGATGAAAACCTGGCATTGCGGGAGGACGCTGCGGCCTGGGGCCGCTACATCGCAGAGGTTGACGTCACCCTTCCACGCATGTTGATGTCCGCACGACGAGGAGCTGCGATGAAGACGTCAGGAGCTGCTGCGACCTCTTCACGGTCGTCGACGTCCCCAACCAGGGTTGTCGGCGGGCCGAAACTACCGGCAGTGGAGAGAAAAAAACTTTTTCCGCCGATGCGGGAGGCAACGACCATCAGCCAAGGGACATTGGGAGAAATTGTGCTCGACGTCGAGATTGAGAAGGACGACGAAAACCACGATGGTCGAGGCAGCGAGATGGACAGCGGCGGGCGAACCAGTGCAGCAGTTGATGCTACTAGCGCAGACCAAATAGGAAAAGCGCCGACGGCGGCGCCCACTATCGCAGACTGGGAGGAAAAGCTTTTCCTCGAGCGTGCCCCACGGGCGCGTGGTCGCTTCTGTTTGGAAGAAAGGAAGTACTACGCGGAGCGCGAGCAGCTAGTCGTGTGGTCCATCGATGGCGTGCCAGCCGTCGTGCTCTGTGACTTGACAAATATCCAGGAAGAGCTGAGAGCCCGGAAGCAAGATGCGGAGATTCCGGCGAGTTTGCAGAACCGCCCAAGCCATGCCCGGGAGCGTTACGACCTGGACGCTTTGCCGAAATGGTTTGATATGCAGATGCAGATGGTCCTCTCGAAAAGCGTAAGCAGCGCAGGAAGTGCCATTGGCTTGTTGTCACCGAGACGCCAGGAAGAAAAAACGAAACGTGACTTAACGGCACCTCCGCAAAACCTACCTCCGTTCTATTGGATGCATCTGCGCTCCTCTGCTGGGGGTGTTGTCGACCGCGCAAGAAGCTGGTCCCACCAGTTCCAGACCCCCGTGGCGGTTCCAGCGCTCGGCCAGCAGACAGGGTATTCCTTGCAGCCTTGTTTCGCCAGTGGAGCCGGCTTGGTATTCCCAACACACTACCAGTATGGTTTGCAGGCCTCGTTTCAGCTCGGCGACGAGCCCGGTCACGACAAGAGGAATCCCATGATTTCCGAAAGCCACAGTTCCAGTACCAAGCTGCAGAGCGCTATGCAGCCGCCCTTGGGAACAAGCGGGGAACACTTCTTAGCTGCTCCGCAGGAGAGTTCATCCAACACGATCCCGATGCTTCCACCCGTGGGGCCTCTGAAGCTCGGATTATCCGCGTTGCCGGAGTTGCAGAGCGTGCTCAGCGCAGACTCGTGGACTTCCTTCGCAGCTTGGCGGGGACGAGCCTTGGCAGAGAGCAACAGAGCAGCGCCTCGCATCTGCGTCGCAGTGTCGGAACTCCACAAGTTCGGAGACGAAACGAGAAAGGAAAAAACGTTCCCAGAGCCGGGCGTGTTGTACGAAATGCTTACATATATGGACGACATCGATTACGGCCAACCCGCCGAGGTCGACGGGGATCAAACAAAACAAGGGCAAGAACTGCTGCAACGGGGGCAGAGCAGCAAAAAAGATCCGCCGTCCCGCCCGCCAATTGCCGACAAAGACACTTTCGTCATTGTCATAGTCAACAACAAGTTTCCGTTCGACGAGGAGTGGCTGGCCGCGTTGGAGTCTCCGGACCAGCCGAACGCTGTGGTCCTTCGCCCGAAGGATGAGCACACGAGTATCCCGTTTCTGCGGGTGTGGCTCGAAGCGAGGGTGAATCTTCTGTTCACCTCCACCGGCCAATCTATCCTATCAGATGCCCTGCTTGCTTCGGGGTTGAACGCAAAAGACAACTGAGGGCCGATGCTCGTGCTCCCTGGCTATTCGGTGTTCCGGGGCGTGGGGGCGGACGTGGAAGAAAATCAGAATTTACTGCGGGATCAATTCCTCGGACAGGAGTCTGTATCTGTGACAGCTGGTGGCGAAAATCAAAGTGCCAACCTTCAGCTTCTCTTTAAGCTGCTGCTGCAAACCCGGCGAGGGATATTCGACTGCGAGCTGGGCACTGTTCCAGCGGAAAGCGTACTCGAGCTAGCAAAAGGCTGCCTGGCTAAGCTTCCCGTCTTAGTGCGAATTTTGCACCAGCTTCGGGAGGGAGGGCGGCAAGATTCTGCCCTCATGCGGGCGGTGGCCTCGAGAGATAACGCGTTACTGTCCTTCGTGGCCTCCGTCGATGATCCGCAGAACCAAGAAGACGGACCGAAAGACGAACTGAATAGCTTTGGTCTGATTTACGATTCTGAGGAGAAAAAAAACCGCGAAATGGCCACCAGCTACTGGGGCCCGATCGACGAACAAGTGCTCCGCACTCTTCCTGCTATAAAAATGGAAGAAAATCACCAGCGCTGGAGGTATTTCTGGCGGAAATTACCCAACGCGCTGAAGCTCAATTGGTTCCCCGCCGGCAGTCTGCTCTTTGAGGCTTTCAAGCGTATTGAGGCGCGCCTAGTGTGGGCTTTGTGGAGAGGAGTGAGGGCTTCTGACTCCCTGTGGGAGCGAAAATCCAAGGAAGTGGCTGACTTAATCGGAGATCTACAGGAGCAGGACGCTTCCCGTGGCGTAAAAACCGCCGTTAATTATATGGAGTCCTGGTTCCGCGACCTGAGACGTATGGATCATGAGGCGCAGCAGTAGGCGGCCTGATCCTGAACGGTGCTTCTTTGCGGTGCTGGAGCGAGCAAGCAGAGGACTAGCGGCGCTGCCGCGAGCAAAAAGCGGCTGCATCTTTAGCTTAGCTTACTGGTTTGTTTTGGCAGAGTAAAAGTGTAGAATAGTTTTCGTCGACGTCGTAAAAACAAAAAGTTGAAGACAAGGACAAGTAAATCAGTTTTATTTTGAAACGCACATCCACGATTTAATCGAAATTCCCAGACAGGAACTGCTTTACTGAGAAGCAGGATAATGCGTTAACCAATAAGCGATAGCCGATCTGTATCTGTTTTGAAAAATGTATAATGACAACGAACTAGATCTAGAGGTAGCTGTTCTGAAGTTTAGAGTTGGACGAGCGTCGAATGCTGATGAAGATGATAGTAGAAGACAAATTTATAGTGCAGCATCGTCATGCGAAGTAAAAGACTAAGCCTACATTTTATTCTTGTAAGATGAGATACATAGTGCCAATTCTATTCCTCGTTTCTTGGTTGTCTGGACGCCCCCGACAAATCCAAGATTCGTTGATTTTGTTACAATTCGCCATCAGCATTAGTGCCTTATGACCCAAACATGCCGCTTGCTAAAACTATTTCCGGGACGACTACAGGACTCGAGCGAAGACGTTGCTGCTTTTGTCTGGTTGGCGTCTGGAAGTAGATTGTTTTGGAAGAAGAGACAAAAGAGCGGAAAAATTGGTGCGCAGCACGACTTAGCTTTAGCTTTATTAGGTTCCAAGTTTTCCAAATGCTTAGTCCCCCGACCGGTGGGCTGTTTTCGCCATCGATTGTGGTGGAAAAGGTAGAAGAAAGTTGATGCCTTGTAAAAAGCCGAGCGCGAGCCAAATGTCTGTGCTCATTGTTAACTGCAGCTCTCGAGGATCATTCGACTACGAAGCTCAGTACTCTGCTCAAGAAATGACGGCTCCGACTTAATGGCGCGGCTTCGCTGGCGTCCCGCGGACGACCAGCAACTGCGGTACCCTAGCGTTTGTCCATCCGCTCGGTCCCACTTGTTCGATAAGCTCGTCCGGTTTTGTTGTCTCTCTTGATTAAACAGTCCAAAAAACTGTTGCTCATGTTCAACAACATGATAATATTTTTCAATGATTATAGATTCGCGATTCGGTTTACTCAACAAGAAAAGGAATAGCGAGACGCTGGGACGCGTGATTGAGATTGTTTTTGTTGTGTTGTGATGTTGGGTCGTGCCGGTTACTTTTATAGTTTTTGATTTCGTCCTCTAGGTCTAGTTGATGCGAACCAGCACGACTTCTTGGATTTTTTCGCACACGAATCAGGATGAGCAACGGTTTCTTTGCACAGCTGCATACTTAGAAAGCCGCCGTCGTCATCGTCGCGTTTCCTTTGATTTTGGAGTCGTGCTCTGCCTTTGCACCATCGCGGCCATCAAAGATAGAAAGCCCGACCCGCTCGAAGACCAAGCGGCGACATTGTAGCTGTCGTCACCACGTAAGCCTCTCCGTAAGTAGTAGTTGCTGCGATGTTTGGTCGCAGCCTTCCCTGCCGCGCGACGGGCGCCGTGGGCCGCATGCGGGTGCCCTTCCGGAACGTGCGTCAGCGGCGGCGGACGCGCGGACGGATTATCCAGCTGAAACAGACGCACTACGAACCAAAGCCCGACTGTTCCGAAAAGTTACCGGTCTCGATTCTTGGCACTTCCGTAGTGAAGCGGCTTGTGCAGAGCCCGCGGCAGGAAGCGGAGGAGCTGCTGCAACAAATTGACTGGGACAAGTACAAGACGGGCGTGCCCGGGGTGCGATGGCACGCGGCGGGCGGATTCGTCGTTCGCTTCGCCAAGTATCGCCCGGATAAGAACTTCAACGTAAGTAGGTTTGTTGTGCCTAAAGAAGTGGCTTTGTTGACGCACGTTGTTGCACTCGTACAGGTGGCGCTTGTATGATCTCATCTTCATCGTTTGTAGTTCACACACGACTCACACTGTACTCGTCGCTGGAGTGAGTTCATCTTGACAAACTAGGGTCGTCGTGCAAGAATGTCGACTGACGTCCTCCTATCGTGCGCGAGAATAATCATGGTCTGAAGCCTAATGTGAAACACAAGAAAAGCCAAACAATATCAATACTCCACCTCAGTGTGTCTGCACCTGCCTGTTTCGTGTCGGGCTGTACGGCTTCGAAGAGGCTAAACGGCGCGCCATAGCATACCGCAAACGGCTGGAGCAAGAGTGGAACGAACAGCAGAAAATATGGCGCATTCTGGACACGAAGGAGGAAATTCGGAAGTTTCAAGCAGCCAAACAAAAGTTGGAAGCTACGACGAAGAATGCAAGGGAAGAACATGTTGTGACGCATGATATTTCTCGCGGTCCTCCGCCTGGACGACGCGGCGACGAAAGAATATCACCGCAAGAACGACCTCATCAGCCCCTCAAAAGAATGAGCGCTGAGCTGTAGAATGATAATGATTGCGATTGGCTCACCTGGCCCATTCATTCTAAAGGAGGTCGCTGGTATCCTCGCTTGTTGCGCTTCTCATTTGCCTAACGCTAACGGCTACGTGCGACTTATGCAACTGCTGTGAATAATGTATCGTATAGCTTTGCTTCTACTTTTAGTAGAAGGTCACTGAACAAAGAAACGCATCAATCTCTTTTCGCTAGCCGTTGAGTGGCTGAACTTAAATTTTCCTTTGTGGCATTGTTCGACCTTGTTGCTTGCGCTGGTGCGTGCGCGGATTTAGTGAGAGACAAAGAAAAGTGCGCAATGCGAATGAGTTCACTTCGGTGCGCTTTCGTCAGCACACTGACGCGAGGACAGGAGGGCACATACAAGGATCGGCTTCTTAAAGCGAATCCTAGGGTTAGTGTGTGCAGTCCGAGTTTCAACCAGTAAGCCATTGTTCTACGTCTATATCGGTGCTTACGCAAAACTGGAATTCCAGATTCATCAGCAAAAGAAAAACAGGAAATAATAGGAGAAAAACGAACAACGTTGTAAACAGTGATACAAGGAGGTCAAGATGTTGAACCGCGTGGGCAGCTGGTTTGTCAAGAAGCTGGATAAAGACGGTGATGGGAAAGTTACCATTGATGAGGTGGAAGAGATGGTGGAGGATGCAAACAACCGCATCCGAAAGACCATCGCGCCGGTAGCACTACAGACGGATGTCTCTGGATGCTTGAAAATTATTTCACGCAACCAGCAACGCTGATGATCATCGACACACATATTTCCAAGAAAATATTTTTGGTGACCGGTCGGAGAACATCATATATGCGTACGTTTCCATGGAAATACAACAGGTACAGGGTTTCCTACAGAAATACCGTTGGACCGCCGAGTTAGGCGTTGGGTATGTCGGCTGCTTCTACGGCGGCAACTTTTCGCATTGTTTCCTCTGCGCCAGCGCCTTTCAATCCGCGGAGGGCCAGGCGGTTGTGAAGAATTTGAAGGAGTTGCAGCAGATCACCAGGGTGAGTAGTACAGAGACAATTAATCTTGCGGTCTCCTCGTTTTTTCTTCGCGTATCGCAGCAATTATGAAGCGCTCAAGTTGCTGCATCTGCATGCTATGTATAATGAATTATCGGAAACGGAATTCAACATCTGAATCGCCAAAATAAACCCCCTCTAGGAATCAACGAAGCGCTTTACTGATTCCCTTGGCGCGGACGGTGCCATTCTGGTGGCCGCTTCCAGCGGTTCCGCGAGCAATGACGGCTCCCCAAGCGACGATAGCGTGGAGATTCCATCCTCGACGTTCATGGCAATTTTGACCAGTGTGGAGCCAGACCGAATCTCAAAGTGCGTGCGCAGCTGCTACACTGGTAGAATACAACGTACTAGAAGTTGTGTTTGTGTTATCAACGATCTTTATTGAATCAAACCCTGAAGCTGAACAAGATGTCACCATGCATCCATTTCTCAAGTCCCTGGACGAGCACCTCCGATGTAGAAAGCGTTTGACAAGAGAAGCGAAAGCTTACGATGGTGACATAGATGTTCTCCATACTGATTAAGCGGAAGCGCTAGCTAGCATGAGGCACTTCACGAACCGGAACTGGACCCTGAAACAATTTCTACAGGTCTCCTCGTGGCGCTGTGCTCTGCAATAAACGACAATGCTGCAAAGCTGGGCTTGGGATTGACGCTGGGAGACCGCATTGCAACTTTTCTCATCTCCATTGCAGACCGATTTATGTCAGAGGTAAGATGAACGTTGCGCGAGAAGTGAGTACTATTTGATAACAGTGCAGTGTCAGTGTCCATGCCCAAGATTGTCTGAAACTGCGCTCTGACTTCCGATAGATAAAGCAGTGACATTTACGTTTTCCGAGCAGGTAACAACACCCTGGTATTGTGGTTGAGCGAGACGAGTCAAACAACAAATTGACCATGAAAAATTCAGGCGGAAGAGAAGATTGCCCTGGAAGACGGCAGTGCGGCAATCGAGGACAACGCCAACGATGCCAACGCAGATGATTCCAAAGAAGGCAAAGCAGTCGTCCCGTTCAATAAGAAGAAGGGAAAGAAATCCCAGACACAGGCGCTCGCGTGGACGAAGTTGGCAATCCGGGGATGCGCGAGCCTAAGCGAGGGAAAAGAATGTCTGGTCTCGGTGTTGAGATATGCAGTTTTGTAGTTCCCCTTCCCCGCAAGCAGCTGTGGTAGTGTGTATGATTTGTCTAGTAAGAACGCACCGCTTGCCGGTGCAGACACCTACGAGGTGCAAGAATGCATGAAAAGGCACATGCGAACAAAACAAAACAAATTTCGTAAAACCGGGTCAGGCACAACATTTCGACTTTGATTCCGGAGTTTGGGCGTCTACATCTCCTGGAAATTGAAAGACATGGCTGCGGTAGTTTTTTTGTGAGGTTATGACACCCTCCGCCTCCTGAGAATCCCCTTGATTTCCTTCCTCCAGATGCTTCATTTCATTTTTTCTCTGGACTACTAGCTAGTATTGCTTATTGTTCTGACTACTCTTACTCTAGACGTTCAGAAACAAATAAAACTATCGAAACTCTACAGACCTGGTCTACGTGTCACTGGGGTGGATGCAAGATTGCGACCAGCTTCTTCGAGTTGATGGCACACGAAGACGCCGCTTTGCAGGAAATGCTCGGCTTTGGTATTGGTGGTCTTGGCTTTGCCTATCACTTGCGGCACTTTAACGGCCCCGAGCTACCGACAGTGCTGAAGCCAATCCTGATGCCGTTCACCTTCCTCGAAGCGTTTCTCCGTGGTATCACCCTGGCTAACAACAGCTGAGGAGCTGGAGCTGCAAGGCGCAGGCGCCATTGATTATTCTGAGTTCGAAAAATTATAGCGAAATTAATCTAGTGAAAGAAATAGAAAGATTGGAATGTTGGTAACTAATCCCTATCCCATATTTTCCCTTCGTCTCTGTTATCAGAGGTCGTTTTAAAGTGTGTTTTACATTTGTATGAAAAAGGTAACTGTTATTGTTGTGGAGTGTTGAGAAGTTTCTCTACCCATTGAAAAACCTGATTGAAAAAGATCGCCTTATAATATAAGATTGTTGAAAATGGAGATACCATTGTCGGCAGTTACTGCCAAAAAATATTGTACGACTGCATCGCACTCGAGTTTTACCTAACTTTGGTTTAGCTCGATCTGGCGGGGAAACCCCACAGGCCCATCCACGTATGGATATGGTAAGGTATGATCCAGCGCACAAGCATAAATGAAACCGACCTCATGTAAAAAAATGTATCAAACGCGAAGTTACAACGAAATACATGATACATCTTGTACTAAATAACAAAAACACAGTTGTAGCAATCTACTTCTATCCCCTCGTACCCAACATTTTCCCAAAAATACGTCGGCTGATGTATGTGTCTTGCGACAAAGAGAAAGACCAAGATGACTAAAAGAATCAATAGAAAACCAAGATTGATTTTGCATTTCTACTGACCGGAAAAGGTATAACAACAAAGTAAAGGAAACAACAAGAAAATGAAAAGCGAAACAGCAAGGTCGAGGCGAAGTTGAAAGCCAAAGCTATGACAAAGAGACATATGGTTTTGGCCGAGGTGAAGTTGTGTACGCCCACGAGGAGGGGAACAGAGATGAAGCTGCACCAGCGCCAGACTACGTGACAGCATTGTCCCCTCATGTTCAGGAGCACGAGCACCACAAAGTAATTGGGCTCTTTTGTGTTCCTTCGAGCAAATACACGACGCCCCTTTTTTTGTTCAGGTTTCTGTATCATGACGTTGACGACCACGAGAAACTGGCTCTTGCTGGTCAGTGTTTCTCGTGACGATGTGATCCATCTTGATCAACGAAGAAATGGAGCATGCCAGATAGGATAGCGTCCTACGTCCTAGTGTTAGATCCAGTCCCTGTTTTGTGGAAATAGCGTGAAATAAATCACCCCACTTCACTTCTAGACGTACCTGCTACATCAACGTCAGCCGTCTCATCATATTACTTTTGTTTGGCGTTGGCCACGGTTCTTCCGTTTGTTTCAGAGATCTCGCGAAGTCGCCCTTGTTTCTCGACGCGGCACATGCTGAGCTGGTGCTCGGTGATACATAGATCAACGATCATCAGAAAACTACCCCCGATCTACCTCTCATTTGTACCTTTCGCCGGCGTGGTGCAAACTACGTTACGCAAGCAATAAACTTACTTACAATTGCACTTCTGTAGTTCTTGTTGTAGTTGCTTGTAATGCTAGGTCTTGTTTCCTAGTTGCCCGAAGGATGACATGCTAGTCGCGTTTTTGTTTTTCAGTCGGACGACGCTATAAGTTGTTCGCAAGCACCAGGTGCAACGAAGAAAATGGATCGTGGTCGTGTAGCAGAGACAGTGACAGAGTCAGTCTATTCCCGAGGGGTCCTTCAAGATCGTAAAATAGGGCGAGAAAACCGAAGCAAATGACAACCTCTACGAAGTGCTGACTACTATGAATACTGACAATGGCACTGCATGCTGCATCTAGATAAAACCACCAAACGCAGCTAGAAGAAGTTCGAAGCACTCTGTCGACGAGGCGAACGCCAAATCAAGATGGTTTCAATCAAAATCAACTGGCAGATGAAAAAGTTACAGTTAGGCATTTTCATTTAGTATTAGTCTCGGCTCTTCAGAAAGACTAGGATGGCTCACCACGGTCTGGAGAACAAGTAGGACTAGTTGAAGAGCAAAATCATAATCAACAAATCTGTGGCTCCCTCGCAATTTAGATTTTTCTACTTAAACTTATTTGAAATGAACTGCGATCGAGTATCTTCAGTCACGTTCGGAGTACTACCCACCGGCTATACTACATAACTTGTCTCCACGCGCCTTATCTCGGTTTCTAGCTAGGCACTAAGATTTTAACACCAGCATTAGCCTCCCGTACTACCTTACATTTCCTTGGTTTTTTTTCCGAGTCACTTCTTCACTGTCACTTTTCCGAAAAAACCTCGAAGCCAAAATAAACCGACGCCCTGGAGCTCATGTACTTCTACTTACGCTTTTCTTTTTCCAAGAAACTGAAACCAGCACTAAGTCTAAGGAAGCGAAACAATAAGTACAACTCTCTTTCCTTATCTTTCGATTCCTACGCCAGCCACAAGGACAAGGGAATTTTCATGAGCGCTTCATCACTTTGACTTTTATTTTCATGATTGTCCTCACCTTTCGTGACATGTTTTGATGTGTTGTCCACCTGTGTAAAATAGCTAATAAAATATGAATGTATAGCCATATTCACCTACCTCCAGTCTTCCTTTTGTATTTCTGATATCCTTGTCTATCTTCCTTCGGCGCCGTATTTTATACCAGTAAAGTTTGTTTCTTATTTTCGGTAGTTGTTGTGTAGCCCTAGCCCTCCCTGTTCTGGATAAAAAATGCGTGTTTGAATAATAACTACCGGTAACTCCGTGTCCTTGTACTTTTTGAAAGGCGTAAAGTCTAAGTCATTTTGGCCGCCCACATCCCATAGATGTCGCGCGGCACGTACTCGATTTATCTCTTCGACGTTGGCTTTCTTCCAAGATGGAAAAGGAGGACGTAGTACACATGATAAACTACAAGCGCCAAAACTGAAACGAGAGGCCACTGCTGGACGACGAGAACATCGCCGCAGGACGACATCAACGTCGCCGCCTGCAGTTTATGCGTGACAAGCTAATGCGTATGCGGCTGGGAAGATGACAGAGAAGTGGGGAAAGTTGTAGTTGTGCAGCAATAATTTGTTACCTTCACGTTACAAGCTCGCTGTCGTCTATTTTTAGTCAGAAGTCCCGGCTCATCGATTTTTTCTGAAGAGAGTGAAAGTTTGTAATTGCTGGAATGTCCAAGTTGTTAATGCGAACGTGTAGGAATAGGAAGAGTTTGTCTTCGTGTGCACTTCTCCTCATCCGATTCTTTTTCTTGCAGACCCCACAGCATAAGCATTATGTTGCATTTCTTCATACGACCGGGACGGAGCTGCAACTACCGGAAGCCGATGGTTGCAGAAAGCAGGGGACGACACTATCGCCGTAGGTGGACCACGGGGTCGACATCTTCGACAGGCTCCAGTGTGTCTGTCGCGCGGAAGGCCAGCAACAGCATCTACCTACCTTCGGACGGAAAATAAAGCCGAACTTCAGCTGGAGGACCGATCGCCCGGGAAATTCTTCAACTCGGGCACGGAGGAAGATGACCAGTGGGCTTTTCGCCATGGTCGAGGAAAGAAAGTTTACGCACCACGCTGTTTGAGATTTGACGGAAGAGCGCTACTGTAGAGTAGTAGCAAAGAGGCAGGCCGAAAGAACAAGCTGCACGAAACAACATCTTCCACATCGTTCTTTGACGAACATCAAGAAGGACCTGCTGAATTACCCCTACTAGTACAGAAATATTCGAGAAGCAAAACCGAAAGCATAGTTGTGACTTTCACGTATTACATAAATACAATATCGATAGTACAGTTACAGCGGACGACAAGATTTGACAGAGAAAAAAGCAAAGACGCAGTTCTGCTGCTCGAGAAGAACAAGAACAAGAAGTGTACAAAAGAAGTTCAAGAAGTTTCCATGGGACGCACAGGTGCAAGTTTTAGTTCCAGCTCAACTTCCAAAGAAAACCCGCAGCGGGAAACCGAGACGCACGAGGCCGCACCGAATCCCTCGACCACGTCCACGCTGAAGAAGCACCACAAGCTATCCAGCTAGGGGCCCCCGTCCCCGCTCGACCCCTAGTACTGCGACGATAAAGCGTCGTAAAAACCATGTCACTGATGCGGTCTTACCACCCCTCCGGGCTCAGCGGCCGTGCTTCGTACGCTGAGCTGAAGCTGTATCGCCTCCGTGGAAACATCCATCGAAGCGAAGAGGACAGTATCTAGATGAAGATTTTCTGACTGTTACATACTTTATTCTACTTGGAAGATTAATTTTAATATAACGAGCCCAGCCGAAGCGAGCAGAAGTCAAAGGTTTTTTTTTTATGCGTGTTCTTCATCTTCAATCGACCTGTATCAAGTACAAAAAAAAATGCAGGCCCCGAGACGTATGTCCTGCGCATTGGTAGCTTCATGACGATGGGTTTCATCAAGGAGCGCTTGGCGGCACATTTGAATCGTGCGAGGGGCACCAGGGGCAATATTGTCACCGTCGAACAGCAGGAGGCTGATTCATTTTCATCGAGCGGAGTCGGAGTCGGGGGCAGTACTAGTGCATCCGAAGTCGAAAAAATCAAGACAACGTCTTCTACTTCCGCAGTAGTGCACTCCCATCCCGAGGTTCGCCCAGACGACCTGCGGATCATCTACAAAGGCATCGAAATCGGTGCGGGAGCGAACGGATCTAGCACCGTGATGATGAAAGAGTTTGGCTTGATCGAGGGGGAGAAGCACACTGCAGATTACCTCCTCCCGGTCGACGGGCGGCCACACTCAGAAGAAGAACTGCTCGAAAAGCTCGCGGCCGCGGAATCTACCATGCTGCAAAAAAACGAGAATATTATCGGAAGTAACTACAGCTGCAGCCTTTGTTCCCTTTCTCCCACTCTGGAACCTACCACCCCCGGTGCTGTGCCTCTGTTGGAGGATCGCACGCCAGCACTGCTTCCCGCTGCCGGATCCGGTCCTTCGTTTGCAAGTCTCCCGATCCGGCCACGTGGCCTCAGTGTGTGCCTCGGCAGCGCGACCGCTCTGGCGAGGCAGTCAAGTGGACCTGCGACGCCACTCACGCGGAAGCATGCTGCTGTATATGGAGGTTTCGGAGCCGCTTGTCGTGCTGCTCTCGGGACAGCTCCTCAGACCACGCTGCTGCCCACGACCCCGGAGCGTGGCCACGTTGCTGAGTTTGCGAAGTCGCCCTGCTCTCCAAATTGTAGTTGGGCGGGACAAATCAGAGCTCCTGTGGTCACAGGTGGATCATCCAAAAAGGCTTTGAATTCATCCGCTCTCGCCCACCCGTCGACCGAGGCTGCTGCCCACGTTGTGCTCGTGAATCCCCTTGATAAAGCAACACTTTCTACTGTCGCTGCTCACGACCGGCTGGATGAAGATGATGCTCAACATGGAGGCTCAGGTTTTACCACGACAGTACTAGAGAGTGATGAACAAGTTCGGGAGCTGCGAAGTCAAGCGGGTGAAGCAACAAGTTCCGCACGTAATTTTCAAAACGGGGCTTCAAGGACCACTGCCAGCACGCGGCGCGTTTCTTCCATGGAACAAGGCGAAACGCCATGTCCTGCTTCTCCCAGGCAACGAAGCGATGGAAGCACCGAACGATTTCCAGCGGTCGGGGCAAATATGAACACAATCGCCAGATGTCCTAGTACTTCGATTGAAGAGTATCCCAACGTTGCTTTCACGACCAGCAGTGCCGACGAGGACTCTTGTGCCGCCAGTTTGGGCACGACCAGTCGCTCTCCAACGGGGGAAGCGAACATGATTTCCGCTGAGGGAAGCAGGAAGCAAGGACCTTGGAGTCCAAGAACTGGTAAGAAAAAACAGGAGGAGGTTGAGGACGATGACAAAGTGGCCACTTTTATCGCGGACCCGCAGGCCTTTATGGACTCCGATGTGGAGCACCTAGTGCAACAAGCGGCCGACGCTTTCACGAACGGCGCGTCGCCGCAGCTCACTCCCGATGGAACGAGTGGGACCTACCGAATTTACGACTCGGCACACCCGACTACTGTTCCACCGCGCCCGAAGAAAAACAAGAATAAGAGAGCTGCGCCTCATAGTTGTACTTCTACACACGAAGACGTGGAGCCGGAAGAGAGGAGTACCGCAGGAAGTCGAAGTCCATCTAGAGGTTTGGATAACTATGTGAAGGAGTCCCAGAAGTATAGCAATAGTGTGGCCGCGACCCACAGCCAGACTAAAACCATCGACACCTCCCTGAAGACGTTGCTCGTGATGCCCAGCAACTCGGAGGAAAACAGTAATGGCCAGTCGGAAGGTAGCAGCTCTCACTGCGAGCAGCACAAGCCGCGAAGTAAAATGCCTCCGTGGCGTCCGCGCCGGCTTCGGGGCACCACCTTCTCGCAGCTCTCATCCAGCGGGGACTCGCTCGTCTCGACCACCGCCCCACCGGAATCCGAGCAGACTTGGACGTCCAGCAGCATGGCTTCAGCACCAACGGCGAGCCTGGGGTCAATCGACCCGGACACAACTGAGGGGCTGACAGCGTGGTCCTACAGCCTCAGCAGCGAGGGACCATCTCCATCCTCTTCCGCGACGAACAAATCGAGCCCAGTGAGTCATGGATTAATACTGGGCAGCACTGGTGGTTTCGGGAAAAGAACAGACGTAAACATCAAGAACCAACAGCACAGCGACCTCTCTGCGGTGCTGTCTACTGCAGGCGCAGCTACCAAGAACACCGGTAGAAAATACATTCCGCCACATGCCCGCTTTCGGTTCACAAACAAAAATTGTTCTTCAACGGCCGCCTCAGCAGCCGCTGAAGAAGGTATGCGCATGGATGTCCAGGAGCGTGCGGCGGGTGCTCGACCAGATGCGGTCGATGATAACGAAGCCCCGGCGTGGTCGGGTACTGGAAAAACTCGTAGTAGCCAGGACCACTTTGACTTTTCACTGGTAGACGACGCGCATGGAGAAGTGGAAGCGGACGGCGTCGACGGTGACCGCCTCGCGTACAGGGGGAGCGAGGAAGTGGAAGTACCGGGTCTGCTGCAAGAAAATCGCACGGAGGACTCGGACCATTCGCACAGGACCGCTTCGACCGCAACCTCCACTCCAACGGTCGGCTCGGTTGTATCGCTAGTATCGGACATCAACCTGACGATGAACAATATCAATATTAAGTCCAAGCCACAAATAAACCAAAAAACGCGGGGGCAACTACAACATTATGCGTCTCCAACTAGCTCTAGTAGTGCGATGAACTACAACGCTACGAACACGTCGGCGCATGTAGCTTCACAGCAGTCACACCATAATCCAATGCGCATGTTGTTAACTGCTACCTCCACCTGTTCGCAACTGAAAGTGATTCCAGAGCGAGATTCCGTCAGGTCAGGCTCCTCATTTTCCGCTGACGGAACCTCTCACCGAACGGAACGGGTAAGCTCTTGCCTCGAGGAGCCCCCGGACACGACCACCGCCATGGCGCGCACGGCCTCGGGAAAGTTGAAAAAGAAGTCCGCGTTCCTCGAGATGCACAAGGATTGCACTGACCGCGAGCATCTGATCGGGTTTTTCAAGCCCCGCGACGAGGAGGTGCACGCCCCGTTCAATCCCCGGGGCACGCAGTCCAAGGTGCCCGACGTGGAATCCAGTCGACCGGGCGTGTACGCAACGCAGCAGGCCTGCCGGGAGGTCGCGGCCTACGTCATTGACCAGGGGTACGCGGGGGTGCCGCCAACTGTCATGGTAAAATATGGTTTTTTTGTGGGTCGCTGATCTTCGCCAGATGACGAGACTCAGACTCGTCGTGGTCTTTGAACTGATTAAATAGAAACCCCGAATGTCTGATGTCTGTGCTTCGAATTCAGATTTCTTGGGGCATTTTGACGAACGAAAAAAACTTTAAAGTTAAACTACAAGCACGACTTCACTCTATCGTCTCAATAAATTTCTATCTCAGTGTCGAGCCCGGCATCCGGTATTTTGCAATCCGGAAACGGGGTTGATCTGGAAGCATGGTAGTCTGCAGCAGCCCGTGGATTCGGCCCGTGACTCGATGGAAGACTTCGGTCGGTCGATGTTTTCCCCGGAACAGATCCACCGAATCGGCATCCTGGACGTCCGCATTCTGAACATGGATCGGAACGAAGGAAACTGCCTGGTGAAGCGGAAAAAGGTCGTCCGGGCGCAGGAGCAGCCCGGTCGACCCCTGCCAAATTTTGCGTGCGAGGACGATGTAGTGCAGCACGAGGAGCACTTCGAGGAGGACCCGAAGGAGGTCGAAGTGCTGGAATTGGTTCCCATCGACCACGGACTGTCGCTCCCTGACCGCCTGGATATTTCCGCAAACGATCTCGCCTGGATGAAGTACCCGCAAGCGAAACTGCCGTTTTCCCCCGAGACGCTCACCTTCATTCGCAGTCTAGACGCTCACCACGACCGAGAACGCCTGCGAAAGTATTGTGGAATCAGATCAGATCCGCTGCGCCTGCAATGGGTATTCATTGTTGTACAGCTTTCTAGATTTAAAAAGTTTTGTCATCTGTGATTCTTCTTTTTTCCGTACACGACACGACACGATCACAATTTCGCTCCGATTCAACATCTCCAAGAAGATGCAAAAATTTTACAAAGACGACACTGACCAGCATGCCCTTGCCCGGCACCGCAGCGATTAATACGCCTCCTGCAGTGCATGTTGTTCGTAGAAAGCGCAAAGAGTTCTTGTTGTATGAAAGATTTTTAATATGATAATATGCCAAAAGGAAAACACAATCAATATACAGGCGGCCACGATCCTGCTGCAAGTGTGTGCTGGGGAAGGGCTGACGCTATACGACATTGGGTGCATCCTGTACAAGGATGTCGAGCCGCAGCAGGGCGGCTTGGCACCGCAAACATCGGAGCCCGCGACCGGAGTTTCTGTTTCCTCTGTGGGACCACACCATCCGCTTCTCCTGCACCCATGCGTGTTTGAGAAGCTGATTCGGCATGCCATGTTGGCAACGGTTGGCTACGTGACCCGCAACAACTACATCGTCAGCCCGTGCTTTGCGCCGAGGAACACGAGTCACCTGCCCCGCGGGGTTACCGGCGCGCTTGCCCAGTCGCCCGGCGGTCCGCGGATCCAATCTACCTCCAGCCCGAAGTTGATTCCGTCAGATCTGATTAGCCCGAAGAAACAACCGAAAAAAATCCGTTCTCCAGCTGCTACTGTTGCGTCTTGTTCCACGCCCCGGTGTCCTGCTCCGCCTCCGGCTTCTCTACCTCCTGAGGCACTGGATCATAAAGAAAGGCAGGTCGAGGTCGAACAGACGAGCAAATCAAACTCCAACCGAAATAACTATGTGACCGCTGCTCAAGCAGCAGCAGCAGCAGAAGGCCGAGCAAAAGAAGCAGGGAGTAGAATAGCGTCGCCGCCAAGAAATTCTTGCAGCATAACTCCGGATCTGGTTTGTGATGTTGATCGTCCTTGCACGACGAGCACTGCCTTGGCGGTCGAGGCTGTAGGGATCGTGCCAGTTCCTGCCACAACTGCGGACCGGATTGATGAGAAATCGTTTCCGCCTTCCCAGGCTACAAAGGGAGAGCAGCTCCAGCTTGCATTGCCAGCATCTGGTGCATTACGAGTCCGGCATACAGATACACACGACCCGTCTCGACCTGGATCTACTTGCGGCGCTGGAGTAGAGGACGGTGCGCTAGACATGTTGTTTGTCGAGGAAGACAGGCGGGAGCAGCTCGAGGTCAAGAGTTCGTTGTACAGGTTCCCCGCCAAAACTCCGGACGAGGACTGCTGGTATCAGAATTGTATCGCTTTCAGATCTCCTGCTGCTGCTTCAAGAAGTGCTGTGGCACTAAAGAGCTGCAAAGTGAAACAAGTGCCGATGAATAAAGCGCCGGACTATCGGAAACGACTGTCCGAAAGCTCGCCAGTTGATGTACAAAAGCAGCCCGAGTTGAAGAAGCACTGCGGGCCAGGGCGGCGAGATTTACCTCTTCAGCAGCTGGTGAGGACCAGCAATTTCAACGCCGCTTCGATGTGGTCATTCACCTCCGAGGAGAGTAAGCAGAACAACATCAAGTTCGGAATCCGGGACGAGTACAACACCGAAAAAACCCCCGACGTCCCGTTTGCTTCTCCAGCGGTTTTCTTTGGACCCCATGACAACCGGCATCGGCTTTGCAGCGACTTTGCCGCTCTGTTCGCGGAAGAAGCGGCTGCAAAATCCCCGCAGATTGCGCAACAAGAAAAGGGAAACAACCAGAGTTGCCCAGACTTGAACTTGTTGCATCAAAGAGTGCCGCTAGTACCTCATCCACCCGGCACGCAAAGGGACGAAGATCCCGGTCTTGTTTTCGGCACGCACGACATTCAGATTTCACAGTCAACGCTGGACGAAATAGACCAGATGTCACTGACCCTAAGTCCGCCAAGCGGGGTCGTTCTCCCGCCACTTGTTCCGAATGCAACTACGAGCTGCGCGACCATCACCAATTCATGTTTGAGTGTCGGCAATGCTTCCAACTCCGTCCCCGAGTTCGCGCTAACGGGCTTCCCGGATTCTCCGGTCCGCAGTAGCTCTCTGGAGCAAGACTTTTCCCTTGGCTTGAACCTTCCGGCGCATCAAGAAGACCTTTTCCAACTGGACCAGGAGCAGAACCGCCTTGCGTTTGGAAGTACTATCCCGATGCTCCTGCCGCACGACAGGGACGACTGCGGCAAAAGTGTTGCAACCGGGAGAAGCACCCCCGGAGGACCGAACGAGTCGATCCTTTTTCAAGAGGCGGTTGCAGGCACTGGCACACCTGCTTCTCGACCTCCGCGCCCCATTCAGCTCCCGGAGCCTTCCTGGTCTACGTCTTCGACGGACATCAAAGATGGTGGAGCACCATCTCCTACTTCGTCCGAAAACGGCTGCGCGCCGCGCACCGCAGTTGAGGCGCCAGTTAGTCGCACGGATCCGCTTGCCCCGCTTCGCGTCATGGCGTTGCCTGCCGAGGCACCACTGGTGCTCCCGATGTTGCCAATGATTCCGCAGCCGTTCATTCCGAAGGAGACCAGTGGGGGCCCAGACACGGACTCGACGCCAACTAGGAAACGAGCTGCTCTCCGCCAAGAATGCAGTCCATCCTTAAACAAGTCGACGGCGCCTTCGGTAGAACGCGAGGGCGCGTCCAGCTCACTTCTAGGAGATGTCGCGCACCCGCCGCCCCGCACGTGCAGAAAGGTAGAGAACGTGGACCTTGTTCCAAGAGCAGATGCAGAGGTCGTCGCCACAACTTCGAACGAATTCAAGAACCAGTCAGCTGCTTGTGGTCAACAGCATTTCTCGACACAGTCTCAGTCTGCAATGTTACCCTCCCTGCATCTGCCGATCATAAATCGTGCGGAAATGGCAACAGCATCGTCGTTCGTGAGTTGGGAGTTTGCCGAGGACCAACACGGTGATGCTGACCATAATGTCAATGTTGATATTCTGCAGCTCAAGTCCTCAAACACAAACAACGGCACAACACACGACCGCAGTGGCAGTGCTCCCGTCGAGTGCGAAATTTTCGGTGCAGGAGACCACCAGCTGCAGGAAGTAACCGGAAGCTGCGCGGCGGGACAGAAGTATGGACAGCTGTTTCACAAGCTTGAACACGAGGTGAAGGAGAAGACACCATCATCAAGGAGTGCCAGCGACGCAAAAAGCATCGCGATGAAGATGGCGCTCGGCACCTCTGGCACAAGCATGACGCCGAAACTGCATGAAGTAGCTGCTCCTTCTGATCCTCGTGGTGCGAAAGAGTTTCAGTTTTCATCTTCACCGACTGGAAGGGCAACAAGTCTGTCAGCATCGTTTTCGAAATCAATAAGCAGAGCGAAGAGCAGCAGCCAAAACCATGAAGACGAGCACGTCGGGCGTTGTATTGTTCAACAGACCCAGCAACAGCTCCTCGAACCTGTTGCGCACAATACACGATTCCGCCGTACGGCCGGAGGATCTCCGCGTTGCATTGGCGACGGTAAAGGAAGTAACTCCAGCTTCTCTCCGTCTGATTGCACACCCAGATCCGCGGCTGGCAGTGCTGTTTCTCCGTCGCAGCGCAGCGGTAAAGTTGCTTTTGCGCCGGTGCTCCCAAAAAATCGATGCTGGGCCGAGGACAAGGAAAATTTTTTCTACTCGTCCCACGACAACTCGCTCTCGACTTCTCCGGTGGCTGCTTCGTCTTCTGCCTGTCCTGCTTGGTCAACCGATGATGGTGGTCCAGGTCTGTCCGGAACGCCAAAGAAAAAAAAGACCAACATCATGGGGGCCATGTTGCTGCCCTCGTGCCTAGCATCTGCGCACGAGTTGTGTGCACCTTCACCTCAGGATGCGACAAGGCTGCAAGGCTGTAGTTCTACAGCAGCTGGCACAACAACTGGCGGTCCTTCTGCCAGCGATGAGCCAGCCGAGCAAGCAGAGCACGACAAGGATTCTGACGCCGGCGCTACAGATGGCAAGATTCCAGATCACGCAGTTCCTCTGGACGATACCACGAGCGCCGATTGTACGAAAAATAGGACCGAAGCGAAGCACGAAGCAGGAGTGCTACAGGGGGAATCGACATCGATGATGAAAGATGAACTCCCGCTACTTTCTTCGCTACAGTCGTCCACGGCGCCGTTGCCGGGGTTTCGAAAGTCATTCAGCGACGACGATGATCTGATTTTGTTACCGTCCCCGACGAAGAAGTCGGTTTGGCGGCGCCGCAAACTCAGTTCAAGCGACAGTCCTTTCTGCGCAACCATCACAAAGGTCGAAGATGAAAACTCGAGCAGCTCCTCCTCTGCGCATCAAATTATCGCTTCTAAAACTACGAGTTGTAATGGCAACTCCTCTAGTGCTCCGTTTGACCTCAACATCGCTTGTGAGGTAGAGAAGCTTCCTTTGGATGATGAAGCAGTCGACCTCGACGAGGACAACGATGGTATTATACCAGCACAGCAGCAGAACTTCTACGGTGAAGAAGATGCCGGAGCTCCTTTCGAAATGGTCATCTTCAACGAGCCGGGTCACGCACCAGACGACGCAGACCGTTCTCAGACGAACTCCAAATCGAGAATATCAGGCCGCCTGAACACGACCGCATCTTCCCCGTTGCGCCGCTCCTCCGTCACAATGATGCCAAACCTCATGTCCTCGCGGTCTGCGCTGCCGGCCTCGTTTGTGTGCAGCCCGACAAGTGGAAGTGCTGGCTGCGCAAGTTCATCGTCGACCTCGCTGGTTGCAGCTCCTTCACCCGGTGCTTCCGTGGGAACAAGCTCCCCAGCAGCACTACAAGAGGAAAGAACATCAAATACCAACGGCACGAGGAGGACTAGCACGAAAGGCACGAATGCGACTTGTGCTGGCAACAATTATTCATGTTCTTCGCACGCGCAGCTGACGAACGGGAACGGTACAACTTCAAAAACCCACGGTGCTCCGGGCAGCTCGCATGCGATGAACCAGCACTCGTCCCTTTTTCAGTTTCCACATGTCATGAGCGAGGAGCTCTCCTGGTCCGACCCGATCATGGAGCAGACATTTCGGCACTACCTGGAGTTGAGCATTCGCACCCACATCATGATTTGTCGCAAGCGTGCTGAAAGGCAAAAACAAACCAAGGCCGATTTCTCGAAGGACTACGTCCCCTCCGCCACTGCGACCGCGAGCTCCTCTGCGGCAAAAACGAAAAAGCGGCACTCCCGCTCTGCGTCTTCGGCTTGTTCCACTTGTTTGGATGCTACTACAATTACAGCAGCCGGCGGCGGCCTTCTCCCTGTCATCAAGCCCAAGGGTGAGGGTTCGACACCGGGGTCGCCGAAGATGAACGGGGAGACTAGGACAAGCCCAAACTCAAAAGGCCTCGAAAAGAGTTCAGCTGCCCGTGGTGAAGGTCAACATCTCCACACCAGTAGTGTCGAGACCTCTACTGCTGGAGCAGGCCGGGGTGCTCGAAACAATGAACCAGAGAGGATGCCGGCATCGCAGCTGCCCAAGGAGCAGCAGGAGCGATCATTCCCAAGCGACCCGAGCCCTGTCGCAGTCGAAGCTCCCGGCGTCAGCACGGCGCAGCCACAAGGTCGAATAATTGCTGCAAATATGATGGCGAGCGCGGAGGAGGACGAGAACCATAAACTGCAAACCAACAGCACAAAGGACGTTGTTTTTCATCTTGCCGAAGATAGTCAGCCTCATCTTCTGCATCTGAAAAGCCTTCCCGCAACTTTCTCGGCCTCTACGACATGCACGGCTCCGAGCAATGGCGACGTGCACATGGCGCGCGCCGGTGGAGATGAAGGCAAAAATTCTGCTGCAGCTACAACTTCTAGTGCCGGCAGCAGCCCCGTACAACTTTTGAACGTCGGGCACGGGTGTGAAGAGACTCCAGTAATGAAGACGACCTCGATTTCCTCTACAACGAACATCAATATGACTCCGGCTTTGATGGCTGATAGAAGCACTCCGATGCCGCACGCGAAAAAACTTGACCTACATCAAGGAAATGCCAGCGATGATCTGCTGGTGTATCATTCGCCGACCGGCGATTCGCACCAGGCGGGCGTCGTCGGAGAAGTAGTAACGGGCGGGGATAAAAACCATAACCATCTTTTTCAGGACTGCGCCCTAGTAAGGCATGACTACCACGACACTTCTTCGATCCTCAACTTTCCACCTCAGACCTCGGAGCAACGGAACGAGCATGACGTCGAGTGTAGTTTTGTGGACCTAGAGGACGATGATGAAGACGAAGAAGAAATTGAGGATTCGGATTTTGACGCTATTGCGACTGCGTTTCTTGTGCGCTCCAATAGTGCACCGCACCCTGACGCGTACTACACACGGCTACGCGAGGACACGCACAGCCTGCTAGGCGTATTTGAGGAAGAGGTGGCGATCGTGGCACCAACAGTAAGTAAAAAAGGAAAAGAACCTTCTGGCGCGTAAGAAAAAGAATAAGACTAAGCCGATGAGTTCTCTACAACCTCCGCACAAGCGTAGTTAATATAGATGACTCTTGCTCACAACACAACTTTCGTTGGCGTTGGCAATGGCATTCACTTCACGTGATGTAGTACTACAAACTGATGACCTACAAATTTAAATTTTGATTTTGTATCTCGTTCATTTTTTCTAGTTGGCAACGACAGCGATCGTTTATTACTATTTATTTCAACTCACAAGCCCCAGGCCCAGCCCGACAATGCGGCACATCAGTACCAGCTGATGAGTTCAGATCGAGTTGTATTCTGTAGCTGTAAAAAAGCACACATCTAACGACGAGGAGCACTGTAGCTCTGTCTTGTTTCCCTTTCAGTAAAATGAATATAGGCAAAAATATTATACCGGAATACGATATCCGTATCCTATCTCGTGGGCCGTGCTTCGCTAGTACGACCTTGCGAGTTTTGTCGTCTCGACCCGACCATGAGTTTGAAGAAGGTTTTCACCTCATCAAGAGCGCAAGTAAAAGACGGACCAACGCTAAAAACTGACGCGAACAACGAGGACTACGAAAGCCACCGGAGTTCGCCAGCACTTCTTTGAGGCACGACGTGCCATACTGTACTTTGTCTGCTAAAAAAAACGGCAAAAAATAGAAATAGTAAAAACCCGACCACGTCGTCCTCGTCGTGATGGTTTCAAGCACTGACTTACTCCCTAGCATTCGGCGCTGTTGGCATGGCCTGCGTTGTAGCATCAGCTTTACTTTCTTTTGAATCTGGAGCTGGAGAGGACGTTGGTTCGTCGCCTTTAGCAATGCCGGAACGATAATGACATGAAGACCGACGGAAAATAGGGCAGGTAAGAGCTGACTAAAGTGGAAGATTAAGATATCGTGCTCCTGCCAGTGACACAATACTTGTCGTGTTATAATGTAGTACTAAAACAGTTTCATTTTTTTCTCTACAAACTAAAGGTAGCACACCTGTGAGTCAATAAAAAGAAAAATTACAGCGAGAAGCGGCGGCTTGGGCTACGGACAAGAAGCTATAGTACGAAACTTGCCTCAGTCACTGTCTAGAGCTAGTTGTAGAGAACCTAACAAGTACTCGCGGCAAGGGCAACAGGCTACTCTGTACTTAGTTGTATTGTCAAATCGAAAACGCCACAAAGTGCTTCAAGTTGGATCATGCTGCCGTACTTGTATAAAGATAGCGAAGCACCATCAGTCTTTTGGTCGACGATGTTGGTGCTGTGATCATGATGTGAATCGAAGCAAGTGTCGGGAGGCAACATTCAACAATACTTATCGAGCCTTCGACTTATACGAAGCAATGATGCCCGGATTCCTTGCTACCACGTTGCAGGTTTGGAAAATGGAAAGAAAACGAAGACGACGAAAGCACAGTGCAGCGTACAAAGACTTTGACTAGGTGGAGTTCACCATGAGAGTTTCAAGAATTTCAAACCTGACTACGAACCACTGGACCGAATGCGTGTGACGCTAGTGCCGCGCAATCTGTTTGCGTTGCAAGCGCACCTGCGTCCACGAAAAGTACGATTTTTGTCAGAAAGTAAACTTAGAAATGAATCCAGCAAATACTTAGAACAACGAGAATATATTTTGGATTGGCGCTGCAGTTTTCTGCTTCTGTCAACAAAATCAGAACTAAGTATCGCAAGTGGTGTGCGACTTTTAAACCTATTCTTGTTCATCTTCTTCCGAGCTGCAGTCATAGATACCCCTTTATTCGCGTCAGGTGGTCTTTCCTCTTTTGCATCTTTCACTTCCTGTCTGGTATATTTCATTCTTCGTTCTGTCCTGCAGTCGTGTTTCAATTTGCTTTCTCCTTCTGTGCTCATGGTTTCTAAACGTAGAACTAGACTAGAGTAGAGGAAATACATCATCATCAACAATCTAGCTAGGCTGTTAGGTCGAAAAGCTCTCGGCCTCGGGTGCAGCTCCTCCTGCAAGCAAGAGATGGTGCCGTGAGTTCGAGAAAAATGCATGCGGCACCAACTTTCGGTCATTTGTCTCTTGACTCTTTGTGGTGAAACCCAGAAGAAACAGAAATTTGAAAAACTAACCGTAAGCAGTCGCAGAAACGACATAACAAGCTAACAGATCAGCTGGATCGTCACGAACACGATGTGATTTGTAAGCCGAAGAGACGGACGAAAAGAATAAAGTACAAGTAGCATAGGGTTGGGGAAAATACAATAAGGAGCCACCACCGCTGCGGCCGCCCCGGCGCACTTTTACACAAGAAAGACGGCCCATAGCCATAGACACACCCAGACGCAAAATTTAACGTGTTACAACAGGAGCCGTGATGATATTTATTAGTATGATCAGTCAAAAATCTACTACTACCTGTTAATGAACGCAAGCAGCGAGGAGCCACTCTTGCTGCCACGGACCATCTCGATTTGCAAATGTAAAAAAGTATTGCTTGGATGTGTCGATGTTGAAGCGGACGCCCAAAAGCGTGAGGATCAGCTGGAGTTAGAAAAACCCCTTTTTCAGCAGCACTCCCACTCCCTTCTAAAGCTGTTTTGTCATCATCCCTACATAACTTGAATAATTACTGGAGTAGTATACTTTCTATTGTCGCCATCCAGCGCCGTGGGGAACTAGTGCGAGATGGACTGGTGGATGGACGTGGTGCACTACCTATGTCATATGATTCGTCTACGTTAGCGTTTGATATTATTTTCATTTGTCGCGAAACAAGCGCATTCGACGAGGAAGGCGAACAGATATAAACACGGGCAGACCTACTTTCGCTTTCTCTCGTTGCTTGCACAGAAGGGACCAGAAGCATCTGCTAATAGCCAGGTTGAGATTGTTGAAAAAAAAGAAACTAAATCAAAAACCAGCTGCAGCCACAAAATTGCAGCCCCTATAGATTTTTGTCAAAATGTTAATGTGAGAACGTTCGAGTGGTAAGTGCTTCTGATCACAAACAGTTACGGTAAAAAAATCTGAATGGTAGAAATGCCCGGCCTTTGTTACGAGAGGAAATCGTGAAGATGCTCAAAGAAGAATGTAATTGAAAGTGATGCGATCTCGATCCTGTCGTGCTGCCAGAATTTTGCAAAAAAGTAAAAGAACGGAACATCTGCGGCGACATCAAAAAGTTCGAACGACAACGATCTAAAAGAAGTAGGTGAAAGAAAAACAAGGTCTCAGTTTGGATCAAATTCAAATTGGGCTCTTAGCTCAAACCGAAACCGCGCACTTTACTTAGTGAATGTACTTACTATCCAGCCTACCTTTCAATTTCATACTCATACAGGTGCTTAGAGGTAGTGCCGCACATCTCGTCACGAAGCAGAGAAACTAGAAACACTCAAAGAAACTCAATCGAAGGAGAACAATCAAAAACTTCAAGACGCGTAAGTCTAAGTGGAAACTTATTTTATTTTCGTCGACTAACCCTACCCTTTGCTCTTTGAGTTTGACATTGACTTCGTGATCATCAGAAAACATAAATATCATGGGCGAGCAGTCTGAGCCAAAGTCCGCCTTGGCGGCACTGATGGCCAAAAAGAAGGCGCAGAAGAAGGGAGCCAAGGCAACACCGACTGAGGTATTTGTTCCTTTTTTGTACGTTTCAGTTGGTTCGGAAAACTAGAAAGAGCTCCCCTCAATCTCTTTCATTTGCATCTTCTACGTAGAACAATTCCAATTCTCTTTCTTTTTCTATTTGGTCTTAGTCATTCACCTACCTCGTCCTCTAATTATTTTGATAAACCTAACAACCCAACCGCAGGGACAGGACGCAAGCGCAAATGTTCCCACGACCCCTGCACGAAAAGCTGCCGCCGCTGAAGAACAAGAAGCATCGTCCCCCGCACAAAAAACCACGCAAAGCGCGAAAGCCTCCTCAGCCACAGCCGCCTCCTCTTCCTCGTCCACCTCCGAGTGGAAAAAGGCGTATGAAATCGAGCAAGACCGGATGGCGAAGTTTGGGTTGCGGATCAACACCATGCAGGCGGACGGGGCGTGCCTTTTCAGGTCGTTTGCGGAACAAATGTTCGAGGATTGTGACCGGCACCAGGAGGTGCGGGACCGGTGCGTGGACTTTTTGTCCCAGAACCGACCGGAATTTGAGCCATTTCTCGCCGAAGACGAGCCCTACGAGGTGTACCTGAAGCAGATGCGGCACCCGCAAACCTGGGGCGGCGATATGGAAATTCAAGCCCTGTCGAAGCTGTACGAGGTGAATGTCGCGGTTTTCGTACCCAGCACATACACCCTCAGCGCCGCCGCCGTGGAACAGCTCGAGAACGAAAAAGTGGCACGGCAGAGGGAAACAATGAAGAAAAAGGCCCAACCCTTGTGGCTGCAAGAACAGAAAGTAAAGGACAGTACCGGAGGCGTCGCTGCGGGTGAGAACGTCGAGAAGGAGGAAATAATATTAAAAGAAGAAGACGCCGCGGCTCTTAAAACTACTCTTAGGAGCCCTAGTGAGTTGCTGCAGCGTGAGTTTGGCGGCCATGCACAAGTGGTAGAAATGTACAATTTCAGTGTGGAAGCCGCACCGGTTGTTGCGCTATCGTACCATCCTCATTACCATCTGGGCCGACACTACAACGCAGTGCGGCGTTTGCGGCTGCCAAGCGGATCACAAGAAGTTGTACGTGACGGGGCGCAAGACGCCGGGGCGCACCCAACCGTGCCAGGTCTCACTGAGCATATGAAAGTAGCGCACGACGAGAAAAAAAGGCAGGAAGCTGCTGTCGCAGCGGAAAAAGCAAAACCTGTCAAGAAAACAGCAAAGGACATATTCGGATAGTTATCTCCCCTACATACAACAAGCGACACATGGGCACCACGCAGCGACATTATTTATCGACAAAAATCGGAAAATTTCCAACAAAAGAACAAAAGAGAACAGAAGCAGCAAGATATCCAATTGCTGATGACGGATGATCGTCCGTGGATTGTTCCCAAATCATGTCGCTTACCTTCACAACGACATGGTGTTCATATCGTTGACTTGTTGTCGTTGCCCTTGCGCAAGTGAGGCTACTACAACTTGTTGGACATTCACCAGTGCCAGTGGTGTGTCGTTTGTGGACGTAAAGAATGTGTCTCTTCCGTGTCGTGGTGTTGAACGCAGCATCATCTTGTTGCAGTCAAATGCATCCTCGTCGTCTTGAAAGTGGTTGCCAAGATGCCTGCGTGTGATAAAAGGGAGCGAGTCGCTTCCGCTCTGTATCTCGGCTGCGACTGGCTGGATGAGATCATCCACCAGGATGATGCTTCGTGTGAGAGAGCAGTGCCAGGCACGACCAGGACGGACCCCGTGGCACGGCGCAGCTGCTAGTCATCTAGATCGTGCCAGACTCAGACAAGACTTCTTTTCCTAGTGGTCCATCTCTATCTCTAAAAAGCATATTTCAGCAAAGGCTCCTGCAGAACCACACTGAGGCTAGTTTCATAGATGAAACAGGTAGTCGTACGCCGTAGTCGTTGAAGTAGTAGTTTTTCTTTTTCCAGCAGAGCTAGAGAAAATGTCGATTGACCAGTACCTGTATGCCGACCAAAAGGCAATGTACATTTTCGCCGCCGTGGCGGGTGGCGTGCTCATGACCGGCGGCCTATTCAGTGCCTGCTGCTCCCGCGATGCCGGATTTCTTCTGGGTGCATTTACTGTGTCAGTGCTGGGGATCAGCCTGATCGTCGTGGCAGTGCTCGGCCAACAGAGCCACGGGTAAGCTTGCGCTTCTGGATCTCCTCGATGTGATTGTGAGTCAGGAGCTTGAGGATTCCTACACACGACGATCGTCCCATTTTTGTTGATGTGCCTAGTCCACTAAATCAAACAGAAGCCGCAAAACCAAAAGAATAAAACCAAAACAATTTGTTCTGCAATTTTCCAGGCTTGCCCGTGCGACGTCGGTAATAGAGGCCAACACAGACGAGACCTGGAGTATCCCCGCCTTGCTGCACGGGGTGATGGCTATCGGCGGTCTGATCGCAATTGTTGCCTGGGCCGGCATGCTGGGCGCCACACGCGGGCTGAAAAACTGCGTCGCCGCTTATTTGTTGACAACATTACTTTCGGGTGCAGCCCTTCTCGGCACCGGCTTCGGGCTACTCGGCTTCATCGAGACCGCGACGCCACAGATCCTCCGACAAGTAGGCTCCTTCTGTCAAAAAGACACCTATCCCCAGCTGTACAGGGAGCTCCAGTGCACGGACGAACTCGACGGCAACAGCGTTGGCCTGCAACAGGGCCTCGACAAAGATGCCGCGGAGGAAGGCTGCAACGGCACCTGCCAAAATAAGTATGTAGATAGTACCTTGACTTTTTTATTACAGTCTTTCCGTTTCACTCGCGAATTCTGAAAATGCTAGTGCGTGGAGCTGTGATGCCTTCTTTTGTCGATTCGTCTCTACTGCTCAGTGAGAATCGCCACAGCATTGACTCGCTGTCTAGCTGCATCAAGAGTAGAAGCAATCAAACTACTTTCCTCCTCAACATACGACCAGGGTTTCCGTTTTGAAGAAGATGGGTGGTTGCGACATGCTCACCTATTTGTGCACCCGTAATACGTACGGTCTCGTGGGCGAGGGCGGCGTGATATGGAAGCGAACCGCCCCCGAGGTTTTGTCCGGGGTCTGCCTGTTGCCGCGAAACACCCGACCACCCATGGTTTGGCTCTCGTTCGGGCCCAGACCAAGCATGACGGCGGCGGAGAGTACGCTGGAGTACTGCCGTGACGCCTGCAACAAGGACTTGGACTGCACGGGGTTTAGCTACTTGAAAGCCCGCAGGGAGTGCGCACTTCTCAGCCCAAATAACCCGGACTGGATAATAAATCTGCACCTGGCGAAGGGCGAGAAGAAAGTAGAGCACTGGAAGCAAATCAAGCACGTGGCGACAGACAGTACTCCTTCTAGTCTGCTGCTCAGTTATTTCCTGAATTCATTCAAGATAAGTTCATTTCTAGGACCACTTACTTCTGGTGTGAGTGTCTGAGCTAATTGTAGATGAGTCCGTCTGCCTGGTCTTCAAATCTGGTTTTGTTACGGTACATAGCATGAGGAAAAAAACACGCACCTTGATGAAATTGGCATTGTCTATCGCGAAGCTAACGTCGACACCCGCAAACCGTTGAATAAAACTCAAATCTGCAGCCACTGAAAAGGATCTCTCGATGTACGATCTGGATACGCCCGCAGACTTCGGCATAAGCGACAAGTACGGACCCATCGTAACCGTTCACCCCGATGAGGATGTGGAGTGCTACGTAAAAACCACCACGAGGCTCGTATCGCGCCTCCTCGGCTTCATTTCCGCGCTCGCACTGTTGCTGCTCGGGCTAGGGGTAAGTAACAAAGTGCGTAGTGCAGTTTGATGTGCGATGAAATTCATTGAACAGGAGGATTCACTTGCTTTTTCATGCTACTAGTGCTAGTGGCTTCTCGTCCTCGTCAACCTCAACATGCACGAGCAGCCTGCTAGAAAAATAGCAGCAGTCACAACTGAAACTGTCCCGTCTGACAATCAGGTATTGCTGTGCTGCAGCACCTTGCACGGTCTTTTCCTCTTCATGAGCCGCAGAAGACGAGCCAAGACGGACCCTGCACTGAGCGGTCTGCTCTACGCAATGTTTTGCCCCTGCCTCCCAGGTGGCAATGCCGTTCTCGACATGGGTGAGCCTTTGAACGATGTGGAAGACGACACTGACGAGCCAATGGAGTAACTTTGCCGTGTAAGACAAGGAAAAACTACTTACCTTGCTGACGAGCGACAGCGACGCGGACGACGCCGACGCCCCCTCCGATCCGAATTATCGGCGCGCGACGCCTCCTTGCTTTGCGCCGGCGCTGCGGCTACATGGCGACGTGTTGGATCTGCATCTATGTTGATGCATACGACGAGCGACAGCGCAAACATCCTGTAGACACGCAACAACGTAGGTGATGTCACTTGTTGTCAGCAGCTGTGAAAAATTTGTCTGCCCGCATTCTTGCCATTGGCATTGCCGCGTGCGCTAGGCCTACGAAGATTTTGATTTTCGTAGATTCTTGGCGACCATCAAAGACCTCGTTATAAATTCGGAGTTTGATGAATGGATCTTCATCTTCGGAATGCCAACAGGCAACGCACACAGCCGAGATGAAGGTACTCGTAACAAACTGAAAGCACGCCGCGGCCACGACAGCCCAGCTTGCTCTTCATCCACGCAGTTATCGCACTTCTGTATTGCGTTATGCGCAAGGGAGTAGCTCGTGCCTAGCACTGAACTTAACAAGCGCATCTGAAAGATAAAGATCCAAGTAAAAAGACGAAAGATCGAAGCTGGTGACAAGCTACCAGCCAACCCTAGCTCCCGACGTTTTTGTTTTTCAAAATGTAAATGTAGATCATAGAGTCGTGAAGATCATGGTATGATTTGCAAAATCACGATGAAAGAGATGTATACTCTCTTGCAACAAGATGATGATCTACTTCGACTATGAATGTGGATCATACCAACGCAGCACATCAAAGAGATCCTTGGCTTGATTTGGACGTCAAATAAATAGTTCCCATTTCGATTATTTTCGTCCATCAAAAAATCACAAGGTGGGTCGATGCAAAAGCTTGCTTCTAGAGTCGCAATGCATCAAGAACAGCAGCGACCAGCAAAAACTATCGTGAACGTGATGTACAAGTAGAGGTCCTTCAATTACCCACGCCGATTACAGTCACGACAGGAGTAAGTTGCAGAGCCGATGGTCTTAGTAAGGCACAACGTCGCACTACACGAGAAATTTAGATTGCTCTGCGTCCTTCATCTTTCGACGCATATTCACCTTCGTCAAGAGTCAACTACGATTGTTTACGTTGTTTGAAGATTTTCCCCTATTCCTCGAGATAAAACGAAAAAAAATGGCTCCAATCGACGACAGCGGGCCTTCCAACCTCTGGGAAGCGTCCGGAGAGGGGGATCAAAAGGCGGTGAGCGTCTTTCTGCAGTCCGGTAAGTACACACCGATCTCCATCGACCAGAATGGCTATTGCCCGATGATGGCCTGCATCTCGTGGGGGCAAATCAAATTTTTCGACTGGTTGTGCTCTGTGTTGGAAAATACCACGATCGCGGGCTTGGAGAAAATGATCGAAACCGAGGAACTGATGCTTCGCCGACAATCGCTCGGGGAGCAGGATGATCCCTATGATAAAAGCCAGGACAGTACCTTGTTTCAAGAGCAGGAGGAAGGAGCGGAAGCGGAAGACACTGCAGGAGCTCCTGCTAAGACCAGTAGTATTAATCTCGCGAGCAGCAGGACGAAAAACGCCGAGGACGATTCTGATTCGTACATGCAGGACGTAGAAGTTTCCGAATTCGCACAACAAGATGAACTACACAATGACGACAGTATGATGGTCGACGAGAGTGCGGACGGGAACGCAGCGGCAGAGCACAGCAGTTCGTCGTCCTCCGCTTCGCTTTCCAATGACGTCGCAGCAAGCGCTGGTGGAAGCACTTCCAGGAGCGCGAATTCAGCACACCCCTCTACTTCTGCATCAACGGCAGCTGCACCATCGGCAGGAAAGAACGCTAGCAACATTGAGAACGACGGTGTAGTTCTTGCGGAAGGGTCTTTTACGGAAAATGACGACCCGGAAAAGTACTTGGAATACCTGAAAAATATTGATGCCCACACAATCGAGGAATATCGGGGCTTCGTACTCACGCTTGCGCGGCTCCGACAGCTACTCATGAAGGAACAACAGCGGGTCAAAACGGAACAAACAGACTCAAAGTCAAATTCTTGCGCAACTACGGAACGACCCCAAGGAAAGGCAGACGAGAACGCCAAGCAAGGAATTATGCTTGATTTCAGCAAGCACAACCTCTCAAAATCCGGGCAGTTCTCCATCGTGGAAATCGCGTTGCAGGCTACCGACAACGAAGGCGACACCCCGTACCACCACTTCGCGACCAGTCTGTCAGACGTGCAGCCACCGAACGCCCGTCAGATGCTATCCAAGAAAAAAACTGTGTTAGTGTAACTTTCTTCGGCTGACAGCATCACAAATTTGCTCTGCATGACAGAGAAAACCTGTCATGCGTGGCTTGTAAGGGAGAATACACACGAAAAAAGGACTTCATGGCTGTGTGGCATGACAGGTGTAACTCTGTTGCATGTTTTGCATTACAGAGTTACACTTACACAGTTTTTTTCTTGCATAGATGCTGGTGGAAAGGTTCAAGAAGTACAACTGCAGTCCGGAAACCAAGAATTTAGGTACGATGCTATTTCTCCTACTTTAAACAATCAATATCAAATTAAAAACAAGAAAGTGCTGTGACTCTGATAGTACGTAACAAAGGCGAAATAAGCGAACGAACCGTCTTGCATGCCCTTCAACAAAAAAAAATTCTCACAGAGTGCCAAACCGCCTTCGACATGGTGCTCGAGCATGACTTCGAAGAGGCGGAGTGGTTTTTCCAGGTCCACGGCAAGGAGGCGCCGGATGAGCTGCCCGAGGAAGGAGGCCTGGATGCCGGTGACGGCGGCGACTTCGGTTACGGGGACGGCTACGACGAGGAATAGTACTTTTTATTTCTACGCATGCTCTGCATTTCATTCAACAGAGGACGCAGCTGTTGTATTCCAAACGAGTTACAGGCTAGAATGAGTCTGTACGCCGCTGCGCCGGCATCAAACATCGTTAAGAGATCCTCATCCTCGAACAAGCATAGAAATGAATCGAATTTCTCATCCTTGATTTGCTTTCGTCGATGAGAACTCAATTACATTTTCCTTCAATCGAACCGAAAAGAACAAGAAGAACCCAACGAAATCCAAATCGAAATGAACAGCGATAGTGAAGGGGAGTTTGGAGACGGCAATGTGCAACTGGAATAGGAGAACATGAACAAGACATGGAATAAATGCTGTTGTACTTGTATCAGTGACGTTTTTCGTCTTCGCAGAAGAAAAAACTTCGCGTGAGGACTACACCAGTGCCACCTGCAAGTAAGTACAACTACACGCCCCCGAAAGGATGAAAGCGACACACGGTGATGGAATGCTGTAAGCAGATCTTGGAGTTGGAGATCTGAGTGTGAGTTTGAGTGCTCACGCGCAGCATTATACCAGCGGCCTGTCTTGTCTACACGACAGAGGAACGCATGCCATAGTAGAAAAGCTCTGCAGCCATTGTACATGTAAATCCGTCACGAAGTACCACAGTGCGACATCATTGTGCTCGCGCACGCCATCAAGGTCAAAGGGCAAAAAGCACCTCGCGACTCAGATGAATGCAAATAATACTAGACGCATCAATTGATTAAGCGCACCACGAATAAACGAAGCTGCATGTTGATGATGTAGTACGCCGCCATCTTCACCTTCTACAAAGACTAGAAGTAGCACGGTAAGCATTCGTGGCGTACTTGTATCAGCGACAGAAAACGATTGTTCCCGTGAAGTCGCTCTTTCTTTCTGTTTTTGTTATCTGCAGCTCTTAATGGCCTCAGTCTGCGTTTGAGTTTGTTCTTCACGTAAGGACTTCTTCCGTGGTTGTTGTTCTCTTTCTCTTCCTGGTTCTCTATTGAAATGTCCTGTCGAGAGAACCGCATGCTATGGTGCAGCACCAGCTCCAGCTGCAAAACTTCAACCTGAACGTGGAGACACGCCGAAGCAATGTGAGAGAGGGTGCGACTACTCAATGATAAAAAACGTGTGTGATAAGAACTTCTTGATGTGACACCACTACCCCCACGTCAACATCCACTACAGTTGTTATTTCGCTGTGCGTTAAAGTGGAAATAACGTGCAACATCCTCGCCCTCTTCCTCGTTGATCATGCTGTGCAGTGCTGCACGCGTGGTCTGCCGCAAGCAGAACCCAAATCGAGCGGCGAGGGAGCTCAGGAGTCAGCATCAGCAGCACAGGCATATGGCCAATGCCAGCGGGGTGAAGCTTCTGGACGAAAGAGGTTCATTCTACACGGATAGTCGTTGTGGTTGTGTTTCATCATGAATCGACACAGAAAAACGAATTTGCATCGTGTTGAAATTATCGCGGATACTGTTAATGATGAGTGTCAGACTGATGTTGTGACCGGCTCGCCTTCGAGAAGAATTCAACAGCTGGCGCAGCAAAATAGTTGTCAGGCTCGGGACCGACGTCGTTTCAAAAAATACAGACGCACCCTAACTCTAACAGGTAAGGCCTCTGAAAACATCTACTTTTCGCAAGAGGATCAGCGGTTGATGAAGAAACTCCTGGAACAGAATCCCGACATCGAGAGCAAATACGGTGCAGGAGGGGCAGGGGAAAGCACGGAAGAGAAGGTATTGCAAAGGTGGTCGTTCTTTAGTTGTGGTATTGGAGTTGGTGGTCGTTCTTAGAAACGACATAGTTGGAGTTTCTGTCTAGGTTCTAACTTTTCTTCGAGTATGATGCCGGGCCTCCAGGAGGAACGGGAAGACGAAGAAACATCCACACATTTTGAAGCACACACTTCACCGCGAAGGAGATCATGCTATCATTGCCATTGATAGGTAAAATTGGTTTTCCTGAGTCACGGAATTCCGCCACTGAACAAGAATTTGATTAACGACTTGGTCGGCGTACTGGAGGAGAAGCGGTAATGTCAGGTGGACAGCAGTGGCACACTCCACCGTGCAGCTTTTTCAATTTCTTCAACTTCATCTACAATTCCTGACAAGGACCAACCACGAGCTCTCCCTTTCTGTTTCCGGTACTGAGGAGCAGCACGTGCACATCTTGATCTTACCGCCAAACACGTGCGTGTGCCTGCTGTCAGGCGAAAAGACTAGAGGAGCCACCGACGAAGCACGTCAAGAAATTCGTGCGCTACTCGTATCGACGGCAGACATAGGAGTGTTCTAGTGTGTCACTGTCACTGTGTATAAAAGATCCAAACTTCTTGCCGTGGAGAGGGAGCATGCTGCTCGTCTAACACCGAGTAGAAATGCTCTTTCCACTCCTTCGTCATCAACGTAAAACACGAAGAAAAGCTAGGGTGCTGACGCTTGGCGTGCCACTGGTCGGTGGAAAGCAATGTCGTGAGAGGGAATACGATCTCCGAGCAGAGACCCAGCTCCACCCCTTGCTCTTCTATACTGCCGATTGATGATTTTGCGGAGTTCACCTTCAGCTGACCAGTGACTCTGCTCCTTCGTGTTTGTTCCCAGCAGGTCGGGGCTCCAGCATTCGAGATTCCGAGCTGCGCCTACGATGTTTTGCAAGTTCGACGTTGGTTGCCCATCTTTATCAGCCGAAGTTCCGTATTAAAAGAAACTCGCCTCGCCGACGACGTTGAAACATCTTGCACGTCTTGCTTCCTCGCCATGAACGCGAGTACTTCATCAAATCATTCTAACATGCTATGGGACTCTGGTTAGAGGTAGTAGCTGTAGGTGTTCGCTTCCGGCAATTGTAAGAGACATGAGTGCGCATCAAGTACAAGAGCGCATGACCACCACGAGCACGACGAGCGGTAGAAGCTGAGGACAGGCCGCCAGGTGAAGATGGCTTGTTCGTAGTCTCCGCTGCTGGGCTCCTCTGATAGTTGAGACGCGACGAGCGCTGCCGGCACATGAAGTAAGATGACGATCCGCATTGATGATCCATCATTTACGTTGTATCGGTATCGTCACAAAAGTAACAAGGAAGATAGTTCTAGTGGTGCTGGTGCACCTGGACTCGCACCAGGCGCTAGCACGATACTTGCTCTTGCAATTGGCAAAAGTATAAGTAGTTGAGTTAAAATCTATGGCGACCTGTCCCGCTGGCGGAGCTCAGGGTAGTGTCCCACTACTCACCCCGGCTGCCAGCCCCGAGCACCATGGTACCCCTTCGTGGCAGCACCGAGATTACCGTGTGCAACTCTCCGACTGCAGTGATGACGTGTTGTTCTGGTGTGAACCTGCGGTGGCGTCGCCAGGATGGGAGGGAACCGGTAGTGCTGGCGGCTCTTCCTCGACGCTGTCAGCCTCTTCTATCGGCAACAAAGCGTCCGACTGCGTCGCGTGCCGGTCCTACTCGGACATTGGTGCCTTCAAGACCACGGGCGTGATTGTGCTCTTCGGGATGGTGTTCACGGTTTTTGTCCTGTTCCTGTACGAGCTGCGGGAGCGGGATTTTGACGTGGTGTCGAAGAAGATGCTGGTCTACCCCTTCGCTGCCATGCTCGGAGCGACGCTGCTGGCGTGGAACCACTTCGCGGAGGGCCGCGGCGTGTTGGATATCGATGTCCGGCTGGTCGATTTTTTCGGCAGCCTACTGTTCGCGTTGCTGCTGTTCTATAACGCGTACTTCGTGCGCACCCGGGGGCTGTACCTGCGGTTCCTCACCATCTTCAACCAGGGCAAGACGCCGGACGAGGCGGACCGCGACATGGTGCTCAAAAGCCGTAGCCGTGCACAAACGCGTTTCGACGTTGTATCTTCAAACTGTGACGACAACGACCTCGTCGACACAGCAAGCGGAAGCGAGGCCGTGCTGGCTGAGGAGGATGTGGATGAAATTGATGTCGATGTTGACGACAACAGTGTCGGGCACAATCTGTCCCGGAAGGAGTCCGAGGTCGTGAATGATCATTACACGTCGACTTATTCCAAACAAACTAGTCTTCAATCGACCGTGAATAAACACCTCTCCGTCTCCTCTGTTTGGGGAACTTTTACACGCCCGACAGTAACAAGGGCTAGTGTGTGGGCAAAAACAAAGTCGGTCCTGCCCACGCCAGGCAAAATCAAAGCGCAGACAAACTCCGCCTGGAAGAAGATGAAGAGCATAGCGGCGGACGCAAAAATCGACGCAGCGGCGCGACGAGCAGGCCGGCGCCGAACAACCAACATGAACATGGACGCAGAGCCGGACGACCGCGGTTTGGACGTAAAAAGACTAGAAAGCGTGGAAAGCACCCCTAGTGATGAAGAGGCAATCGCCTCGTCGTACAGCAAGACGGACTTGGAGCTCTTCATCGACTTCGCTTTTTCAATTTTCTTCTACGTAGCCTCTGTCAGCATCGTCTGCCTGTCGTTCAAACCAGACGCGCTCCCAGTTTTCTACGCCCCCTGCTGTGGCCAGGCAACTCCGCGCCCGCCAATGAACCGCTGCTCGTCTCGGCAGGCGGCCCTGGACAAGCTAGGCACACAAGGAGCGGCACCCGGATCGACTCGCGCGCAACAAGGATCCTGGCCATCTGGCTGCACCGCAAACACGGGCTGCCAGACAGCGCCGTCGCCGCTCTGTCCGGGCGGTAAAGATCACCCTGCTGCGCCCTATTGTTTCTGTGATTACGAAATGAAGGTCGACTGCGCGACGGGTGGCTGGACGCCAACGCCGCCACCAGGAGGAATTACCAAGGTGCTGAGGTATGAACTTATTTAAGTCCTCGTGTGTTTGTACCCTCTCTCGACGAGAGCGCAAGAACGTAGTACTATTACGTGAACGTCGTCGTTGATATTTTTAAGCACTATCATTTTATTTATGGTGCTTCGAAAACACGATGATCTTGGTTGAGCGTAATAAACCACTGCTTCAAATGTCCTAGTAGAGCATATTATCGGTGTAAAAGTAAAGAGAGTAATCTGGAACTTAGACTATGACTAACAAGTTCACCGTCGTGTGAAAAAATTCAACCTATCAACAGTCACGGCGCCCCTCGCAGCTGCGTTTTGTGTGCGAACGGTTGGCAGCCAAATCCATTTCAGACCGCTTGCGTCCCGGCAACGTGCCCTTCGGGACAGCAGAGTTTCTGTGGCGTGTGTCACGACCCGTTCACACCGCCGCTCGGTGTGGATATTGGTAGCGACCAGGGGTACTATGTGGCTATCATTGTTCTCGCCTGTCTGTGGGGTGCGCTCTGCTGTTGGGTCGCGTTTGGATGGAGAAACTTCGTGCCGCCAATACCCGACATCGAAATACACCAACAAGAAGAAGTGACCGACTTCAACAGTATCTAAGTACACACAAATAGCAAGAAGCAGTATGCGAGTAGATACATTCGAATATATCTATGGATACTGTCGTGCAGCTAGTAGTAGTGCTCTTCACTTTCTTCAATACGAATACTTTTTTCGTTGTGGCCACACAAATTGATTTCAACACGTTACAAGAGTGCGCACTTTCGAGGAAATCAGGGGTGTTGTTCTATTTGTTCATGCAGACAATAACAAACAACTAGGAACCTTGACCACAAGAAGCGGCAAAGAGGGCATCCTTGGAGAGGAAGACGAAGCGGATCTACAACTACAAGTCCCGCGAGTAATCATCACGGATGTTGATGCCTTGTCCTTTGACGATGACGACATCCAGCCAAGAACTTTCCAGCGTATTCCCAACACGGAACGACCCTTTCAAGAACTAGCAACGAGAAAGATGAAGTCCGTCAACTTCACTGCAAGTACGTAGGCGTAGCGCAGCACTTACAGACGCAATAGCGCCGGAGGAAGCCCCCTGCCAGTTCCAGTTATACTCAGCCGCGGAAGGGAACAATGCGGATGAAGCGACGAAAAGGAACAGGACCGGTGTACTCCTGGACAGAAGATGAAAACCATGATCTCCATCTTCAACTACAACTCACGGAACGAGTCTTGAAAGAGCAAACGGTTGCCAACGGCTTAGGTCGAGCTAACGGAGGGCAGCCGCAGTTGTTAGGACAACATGAACACTAACTTAAGTGAAAGCGATAAGAATAAAGAAGCTTCGTCTTCATCTGCTGCAAGAATAGCTGCAAAAGATATGAGCAGTACCGACGAAGAAACTATTACTACCAGCCCTTATCAGTATCTGCAAAAGGTGCAGGGCACGTATCAGGGTAACGCCCAGGAGCGCAAATCGTATCGAGCATTTTCATGAGAGAATTTTTCTCATGGACTTGCTATAGAATTTTGAAATGGTACAAGAAGTGCGCGATTTCGCGTTTGAACAAGTGAAGACGAAGAGCATACCTGTCTACCACAGCATTCCTCACACGAGTGCGGTTATTTTTCATCTCAAAGCAAAAGAACTCACCGACCTGCAGGGCAACTATCATGATCTGCTGGTAGGGGTGCCACAATGATTTACGTTTTTCCCTCCGTCGGAAATCGGATTCCCGCCTCTTGTCTTATGTGGAAGTGTTTTCGTTACGGCTCGCCTTGCGAGAAAACAAAGCGAGATCTTCGATGACCTCCTCATCTCTTCACACATTTGCAGATGCAGCTTCATCAGAGCGGAATAAGTACAGTACGCAAAACGGATCGCAATTTGGAAAAACGGTAGAAAAACTGAATTTGCAAATCCGGAAAAGGTGTTGAAGTTGATGATCTCGTTTGGACATATGAGTTTTTCCGTTCCTCAGATCCTCTCTGATCGTCGAAATCGTGATCGTGCTTGCTATCATGTAGCAGTAACATCGGAAGAATATAATGAGCTGCAAATATTCCTAGAAAGTCTGGAGATGGAAACGAAAGAGAATGAACAGAAAATTCGCAATGAGTACTACATCATTTTTTTCGTTCCGGTCCGATAATCTGCTCTCAAGTATATCGATCCACTTCCATCTTGAAATTTATTATTGGTCTTTATCACAAAAAACAGCGACATTCATTCCATGAGTAGGGTGTGAGGCATTGTATGATTTTGCTCAATAGAAAAAGCATGGCTCTAGTCGCGTAAGCCCTCCTGCAAATTAATGGCATAGAAAGGAGAAGTGACCGTACGAGTATGACCCGGTGACCAAACTTCCGGGTGTTGCGATCATTTAAGTACCAGATAGCCGGCCTGTGGCAAGCTTCTATCCTCACCAAAAGCTCATGAGCATGAAGGATTGCCAGCGAAATCGACAGGATCAGCCTGCGTCGCGTCGCAATCGGCTTTGAAGATTTCGGCAGAGACTCTCGTGCACGTTTATTGGTGCGTGGACCTCAGGTTCCGCCGTCGTGCCGGCAACAGGTGGTGTAAGTCCTAATCGTAATCAAGATCCTGGCGCCACTGACGCTCGACCCTCTCGTCGGGGAGGAAACGAAAGAACGACAGTGGAGGACCCGTTACTTCGCCTGCTCGGATGGCCTTTCTGTTCAACAAGATTTATCGTGCTCCTGCTGCTCAAAGACACTGAATCCCCCTCCGTTTCCCCAGAGTATTGCCCGCCCGCGACCTTGCCAAAAATAAGACCACGACGGACAACGACTGAAGAGCGAACGTCTCTTCACAAGACGCACGATCTACTTAGCGACATCTGCCAGCGCCGCCAGCAGTAGACCTAAACAAGTCATAAGACGCGAACCCGAGGAATACGACTAGAAAACAACCAGCAGAAGCGTTATCTACAAGAAACCGCACTCAGGCTCAGCGACCTCACTGCAAGCGCTTCTGTTAGGGCAGATTGATTGCGACCACCTCAACAGAGCAGCTGGTGTGACGTCTACCTCCAACCGTTTGCGTTGAAGCTAGTAGTTCGACCTGCTCCCAAGCGCACCAGCTACGTTCCTATCAACATCCGGAGCGACGAGCTACAACGACCTACAACGCCCAAACCCATAGATACTCGCTTTGAGTCGGTTACGACCAACATGATGCGCGGATCACCTGGCGCAGGCGGAGCGGCACCCGCCGCGTATTCCGCTTCGTCGAGCAGTGCCGCGGCGACAAATACCATGCGGTACCGCGGCCAGGCCGACGTTTCTCCGGCGTTAAAGAATCTGCAGCAGCGGTACGACCAGGAGGAGAAGAGAATGGAGATGATCTGCAGGTTCGTTTTTTGCTGAATCTTGCCCTAGAAATAAAGTGTAAAAATCGACCAGAACCAACTACAATGCAACTTTCATCTTCTATTGCTTTTGCTACTAGCAACTCTTCTTCAAAAACAGGAGCACGACGTTGATGCTCCTGCTCGACAATTAGCTCTGATGAAAAAAATGTCCACCACTACACTTTCATCAGGCTCGTTGTTGTTACCGGATTGGTGGGCCTCGTTCTGTACCTGTTCAGTCCCCAGACAAACCTCCACCGCGACGACGACCTTTTCGACACAAGCAACCCCACCCCGCAGATGTACGCCCACTTGCAGGACAGTGTGCGATTCCAGCCCCAGACCGGCTGGCTCCCCGTGTCGCCAGTGGTGTTCTTTACCTGTCTGGCCGTCCTGATCGCGGGCTACAACTTTGTGAAGGTAGAAGTAGTACACCGCCTTTTTTTATTTTTGTCCTACAGTAGGATAAGGATAGGCATCACCTCCACCCTTTATTTACTTTCTCACTAGCACTGGAAGGAGGATTTTTCGCCAGGGCGTTCTAGTATCTACTTAGTAATTTTCTCCTCGCCGTTCAGTAGCTGGAAAAGTAATATGTCATGATGATACAATCACAAAATTTTACCAGGCTCCGCCAGCAGAGCAATCAGGGCGACTGCCCGGTCAGGGTGTTCCTTCGTTTCAAAACGCCGGCGCATTGGTTCCCGTACAGCAGAACAACGCACCCGTCGTGGACCTGCGGCCAGGCGAGGCAAACGGCCGCTCACTATGGGGCAGCTCAAATGTTGGGAAGCCGAACGCTCTGACAGCACATCACCAGCACATGCAAGGTAAATAGTTAGTTTCAGTGCAACATCTCGAAACTGAAACTTGATATCATGGTAAGTTCGTGATAGCAAAAAGAACAAAAACTCGATCTCGAGAATGTCGCAGCTGCTAGAATGCACAACTACAATGCAATCTCCGCTGTCACACACATTAGCGCAGCTTCGAGCGATAATACTTTTAGTTTTATGTAAAGACCAATAGAATCCAAATGGCTTTTCTTTACACTCCTGCAGGCACAGCTGGTGGTAGCGGGTCATCGAGCAGCAGCGCGCCGCCGCCGGTTCCAAATGGTTTCGCGGGCGGTCTGAGTCTCGGCAGCTTCTTCGGCGCAGCGAAATTTGACGACCAAGGTGTGCGCACTGAGTTTCCCGCGGTCCCGTGGCTCGTCGGACAGCTTGAGAACATGGTCCAGCAGAGCATAATACCGCCACTACTTCGTATCATCTGCATTTATTCATCTTAACTACTTTTTGTATTGCTATGTTTATGCCTGGTATTTGATGATGTGATGACGATGATGTTGTGCGCATATTTTTCTCAGGATGATGTGAAGATATCTGCTGTTGAATTTGTTGATCACCAAAAACTACAGAGCAACTCCGCGAGAGTGACGAGCTTTGGCAGCAAGGTTTGCGTCGCGTCGGCAAGACGCTGAGCTTCGAAGAGCCGAGCTCGCGCACCGGGGACCGGCAGAACGGCAACATTCTCTCCGTGTTCGATCGCAACCTTCCCGCTGAGTTCGCGTCAGACCAGAACGCGGTGCAGCTTTGGAAAAAGCGCCAAGAGATGGAGGTGTACCTCTGCCACCCGTCTTTCCCCCTTGTAGCCCGAAACTACGTTCACTCCCGCCTCATGCAGTGGGCCAGCGACAATCTGACCTCCGCCTCCGGCCTGCGCTCGTTGCAGAGCAACGGCTTCAAGCGCAACTACCACGCGGAGCAGGCGGACCCGGCAACCGGCATCACGGACTCACACATTCTCGAAAATTTACTCGTGAAAACGCTGGAATCCCACCTGGGGCACCAATTTGCAGCGAAGTACATGGCTTCCACCTCGGCAAACGGCAGCGACGCGCACACCACCGCGGCCAGCCGCAAAAATTTGTCTTTCCTGCCATCCGCGACCAGTGCTGCCAGCTCCCTGGCCGCAACGGCGTACAACCACCTCGCGGGCAACGCCGCGGCGTCCAACGGCGTGCTGTTGCGGTCCTTCCGGCTTCCCAACGGAGGCATCAGCTACGAAGTACTCGGCTCCCGGGTGTTCCGCCTGCAGAACCTGCTGGACGCCTTCGCTTTGTTCTTCTGGCTGAAGCGAACCGACGTCGACTGGCAGCAGTTTCCGCTGGGGATCTTGACGGTGGTCCGCGACGCGGAGTCTATGTTCGCTGCCACCGGGACAAATGGCCCCGGCGCACCCGCGATGAGCAATCGCGCCCTTGACCAGGAAGAGCGGGAGAGACAGCGAAGGCAAGAGCTCATGCAAGGAACGACGGCGAACGTTGGCACCTTACAGCAGCAGCAACAGCTTCCGGGCAACAACATGCAGCAGCAGTTTCAGCAGCAGCCACTAGCAGGAACAATAAACACGATGGGCATGATGGGTAGCACAACGATGATGGGCAACCCTTCATCTGGAGGGGCGTTCATGCAGCCATCGGCTCAATTTCAACAATACTCCGCGTTGAGTAACCAACCAGGAATGACTGCGATGGGAGGAGGCCAGCCGATGTTTGCGGGCAACAATAGCTCAAATTTGTTCGCGGCCGGAGGAACCAACGCTGGCCTCAGTGGCATGAGCGGATTTGGGAACACGACGTTTGGTGGCGGAGGTTCAATTTTCGCAGACAACTCGTTCTTTGGACAAGGAGCCTATTCCAGAGGAAGATGAGCTCGAGATGAAACATAAGCCAAGAGCTCCAATGAAACACATGAACATCCTAGGCGCGCATCTATGCACGACAAGAAAAAAAAAAGAAAACATTCGAGGGTGCTTCGAAGAAGCACGCTGAAGCCGAAGCGTTCGGTGACAGGCGCTAGTTGCAATTCTCTGCACCAATCTACTGACCACATGATGACGTGTTCTACGCACGACGCATATAATAACAATGAAAGAAAATTATAGATCTTATTCTTGGCTTCGAAATTCTTCAATGACTGATATGAATCGGCAAGCATTATTTGCAAAATCGTTTTTTTTTCTTTTTGAAAATTTTCATAAAAAAATGGCTTTGGTCCTCCATGTGACACATTTGACAGTTGTTCTCTCGTCTCTTTTTTTTGTTGTGAGTGTCTCAATCGTTTTCGTTGATGTTATTCTATTCGAGAAAACAAGACCCACATTGTATCTTTTCATCGAGAATTGAAAATCAAATGGATTTGATGTTCGAAACATCTATGGCATGTTGATAAATCTCTTATTCTTCTCAAATATTCAAAATTTCAGATTCCACGATCTGGATTGATGAAGGTGGAAGAATTTTTATAGGAATTATCCGAGGTTGAATTTGGAAGAATTATCATAGACTGAATTTTTATAGCAATAATCTAGTGGAATTGATGGAAGATCGGAGATGAAGAAATACAGAATATGATGGATATCTTTTGGGTCTTGAATATTTGATGGTGTGTCCGGGTATGGAAAGAAAGAAAGATGGAAGATAATCTGGTTTGAATATTTCTTTCATCAAAAATTATTGAGACAATGAGATTGGATTCGAGATTTTATGGAAATCAAATTTTGACATTCGAGATGAAATTGAAAAAAAAACCATCATAAAAAAATAAATGAAATCCATGTTGATTCTTCAGAATATTATACAAAAAAAAAATTTCGAAATACATAGGATAATCCTCGGATTCTGATTTTCGAAAAATTTTTAGAAAAAATCAAAAAATTTTCAATGATTCTCGGGAAATCTTTTGCATAAGAAAAACCCACAATCCCATCATCATGAAATAAATTTTCGAAATGAAATCGAGAAAATATTCATATTCCAGGATCAATCCAGATCTTCTAATTTGAAGAAATTTCGAAAAATCTGAATTCCATCACCTTTTTTTTTTTTTTTCCATCAATCTGATTTTTTTTTTTCCTTTAATTTCTGACCCATCCAATTCTTCATCCGATCGAATGATGAGATATCGGAGATTTTTGAAATGGAAATGGATCGAATGATATTATATCGAATGACCGATCATTCGATATCTATGATTGATATGAATCGATTGATATACCCAACATGATAGATAATTCGAAGAATTAAAAATATCTATCCATAATCTTGGATCCTAAACAGATTATGTTAGGGAAAACTGTCCCCACTACCCCGGTTTTCCCCAAAGAGAAAAAATTTTCACGCACTGGCGCAACCCCACGATGCCCGGCTTCGCGACCTGCCCGGACGGCATCCACCTGCGGCTCTCCTAGGAGGATAATCCCCGAGGTTGATATGCAAGTTAAGAAGTTAATTAGCTAGTGGCGCACAAAAACTAAAACATTATTTTTTGACAGATTAAATTGCATTCATGTTTGTAGTTATGTCGGCTTTTTCCGGGTTTGCGGTACGGCGGCGAAGCTTAACTGCATCACCTGGGCCTGCTTGATCGCGGACACGTTGCTGGAGAAGATTCTGCTGCTCTGTTACCTCGTCCGCGGTAACAGTTCTACACGAGGTTCATGGAGATCGGACCCGGAGACCGTCGCCATGCTGGTCTGCCCGAGGGGATGGTCGACAAGCTGGGCCCGGAAGCCGGAGCGTGGAGGCCTTTCTCAAATGAAATAGATACTGATGCAAGATCTGCAAATATAGTTAATGTGCGCCACTAGCTAATTAATTTCTTTCATTCCATAAAGCAGCCCACCGGGAGGATCTGGCTTCGCGTCTCGGCTGTTCGCGGAGTAGGTCGGCTATGCAGGGCTCCTTCTGGTCGCCCTTGGATCGAAAAAAAAATTTTCTCTTTGGGGAAAACCGGGGTAGTGGGGACAATTTTCCCTAACATACAGATATTTCTCAGAATATGAAACACATATAAATCCATTGATTCTGAAATTTTTTGAATTTCAAATTTTCTGAATCTGAAAATCTCTGAGAAGATTGTGAAATTCTCTGAATCTGAAAATCTTTGAGAATCCGAAATTCCCTGAGCCTGAATCTGAATGAATCTGAATCATGATGTTGTTCGATCATGAAGATTGATCCTCAAATTCGACCTTATTATGCAAAAATTTATCCGGAAACAATTACAGATGAAGCAAGTGAATTCATTTGAAGGGTTCATGTCGAAGTAAAAACGTCATAATCTTATCCAAATTGCAGATGATAATTTTATGTGAAACCACAACCAGGTCGTTGGTGGATGAAGTTGAGACAACAACATCGCTATACCATTAGAAGCATGAGTTAGAGCTAGCAACAAACCATTTAGTCTTTTGTGACTTAGCGATTGCAATTCATTTAGAGTTGTAGCCCTTAATCTTACAGCGGTGCACATCCAGCATTTTCGTTTAGTGTGTGTAGAGGATGAGATGTTCCATTCGTTTCAATTCTCGTTGATGTTTTTCTTCGATGTCTTTCTTTTCCGCTTGAAATTTTGCCGACAGCTCCGTCATTAGGTTTGTTTGCCTCTGTACTTCTCCGTGTAGTTGATCATGATCGCTTTTTGTTCGGAGTTCTGTGATCTCCTCTTCTTTCTGCGCTCGAAGTTCTTGTTCGCAGACTTTGGTGAGTTCGTGCTGCTCGCTCGCCTCGTCGAGCAGCCGTTGCTTTTGGAGTTCGGTTTTCCGCAACGCGTCGCGGAGCTGAAAAATTTCATCGTGACAGATCCGCCTCGTTTCTGCTCTCGCGATTTCGATCGACCGGGCCTGCTCCGTCTTCGCGTTTTCCGTTGCTTCCTCGATGACCTGTCGCGCTTCCAGCCGCAGTTGCTCCTGGTGTTTCTCGTTCTCCTCTCGCAACTGCGCCACCAACGTTTCGATTTTCGCCTGCTCAGTCGCGATCTTCTCGCGCTCCCGCACAAGAACTTGGGTATGCTCCGCGACGAGCACCTCCTTCTGCCGAGTCAGCGCTGCGTGGATTGCGGCGTGTTGCTCAGACGCATTTTTTTTCGTCAGCTCGAGAATCTGTCGCTCATGTTCGGCTTTCATGTTCTTCATTTTCGGCGTCGAAATGGGCGCGATGTCCTCACCAGTCGCTCGTTGCTGGCTCTCCGCCTCGCCTGCCAGGCCCGCTTCCCTTGATGACGGCTCGGCTTCTCTACTATGTCCGTCTTGCTTTCCTTCACAGCTCGGCTTCTTTCTTTGCAAAAATGAAAGCGCAGGTGGTAAAGGTGCATTCGCTCCTACTTCGGGGTTCTTCAACAGTTCATCGCTGCTGCATTTCTTGTACAGTTCTCGCTTGGCATCCTCCAGCCCGACCTTTGGCGAAGTGGCGGGTGGGCCACGACATGCAGCTTCTAGAGGTACGGCAGGAGGAGCTGGCTCAAGAACTGCGCTCTGGCGGGGAGGCACAGCAGTTTTCTCTTCGGTTATTTCATTCACGCCCTCCTGGCCCTGCCGTGTTGCCGCGCGCGCTTCTGCTTCCTCGTGGGCAGCTTCAGCAGTGACATGCCGCAAGGAATTCAACTTCGATTCCAATAGAGTTTTTGTGGAATGCCAGGCCCGCATCTTCTCATCGGCTTCCATGTCCCGTGTCTCTCGCAGAACTTCGTACTGCATCCGCAACCGGCGTAGATCTTGCTTTAGGCCTTCGTTCTCCGACCGGAGGTGTGCAAGCTGTAGCTGGTCAACTACATCGTCCTGTAGTAGGAGTAGAATAAAGATGCAGAGTTTAATGTTGAGTTGCTTTTTTGACAGACAAAAAAGCGAGGATAAAACTCCAACTAGATCTAGCAATAACAACACAAGATGAGCAGCTGCAGCAGCAGCAACAAAACAAACAAACGGAACAACGAGGAAGTTTTGTAGAATCGCGCACCCACCTTTCGCGGTCCGTGTTCATCAGCATTTGTGGCTGCCCGGTCCTCATCATCTTCCGCACTGCTGTCCTCGTGCGCGGTTCCTGTTTCATCTCGGGGGATCGACGACGCGGACGGAAGGGAAGAAGTACAAGTCGCCTGCACACCCGCTTCTTGCGTGGCCTTTGCTGGTGGGCTCATCCGCTGTTCATCCGTCTCCTCGAGCAGTGCCTGCTTTTCCGCTCTGAGGCGTGCCGCGTCGCTTTCCACTCGACGAAGCTGAACTGTAGCCGCTTCTAGCTCCCGTTCCAAGCTTTCGGCCTTTTCTTGCGCCACTGCCAGGTCGCGCGCGTGCGCTTGGCGGAGTTCGGAAACCGTTTTGTCGTGGTTCGCTTGCAGTTTTCGGGTTTCCAGATCAAATTTCTTTTCCCAGTCCGCCCCGACTTTCCGGCATTGGTTCTCCGCCTGGCGCTCCGCTTCCGTTCTTTTCGAGAGCTGGTCCTGCAGGTCCAAGACGGATATCGACGCAACCTGTAGACGGTGTTCCGTGTCTTGCAGCAACTTCCGCTCCTTCCGCCGGATTTCGTCGACCGCCTCGCGCGCGTCCCGAAGCCGCTTCACTTCCGCCTCCAGGTCCGCTCGGTCGGTTTGCGTTTCGCTCTGGAAGCGCACAAAGTTCCGCCGCTGCGCTTCCGCCTCCCGTTTCAGCAAATATGTTTCCTCCTCGCTCCTTGCCAAGGCGTTTCTCAGCATGGAAATTTCTTCCACCGCTTTGCCTTTTGCCTTCTCCTCCTCGAGCTGGCGAAGGATGTCCGCGCCGGTGCGAAAAAGCTTGCTGGAGAGCACATTCTTCGGGTCTTCAGCAGGGCATCTGGTCTGATCAGAGCCATGTAGTTCATCTGCCTCCTCCTCGTCCGGCTCATCTGTCAGGAAGGCTGTATGTTGACACGTCGTGCTGGAAGATGAAGAAAACTTGCGACCTCGACGCTCTTGAACCGCCCCAGTTACAACTGCACTTCCAGCAGATTGCGGGCGTCCGTGTTCGTAAGAACTACCGAAAGAGTCGACTCTTCGGCCGCCGCGATGTCCCCGCGCCGACGAGGAAAAGCTGGGCTTTCTCACATACGAGGAACCATGAAGAAGCTCCGCTTCACCTTCTTCACTCGGTGACAATGATCCTGCCGCAGGGTCGGGTACTACGCCCCCGCCCCCGATCGCAGCGTTTGCATTCTTCTGCAATTCCAATTTAAACACGTTTGCGATCACGGACGAAATTTGCAGTGATGCTTTTCTTGCCGAGGTCAAGTGTTTAGAAGTTGTGCTACCACTTGAAGATGTCGCTCCTGTAGCTCCTGCAACAGATGAACATGAAGCTGCGCTGCTCTTCCGAGACGCTGTCGCGGAAGTGCCAGATCCACTACCACTGTATCTTAGACTGGTTCTTTGCTCGGGAGACTGTGCAGGTTCGATCACAGGAGAGCTCAGCGGACGCAGGTCGAACCGGCAATCTTGTTCCTGCTCCTCAACCTCCGTATGACTCTGGGTGTCGCTTCGCACGGAAAACGAGCACGAATCGTGGTTCCGATCACCACTATCATACTTGCTCCTGGCGCTATCGCAAGGCAAAGCGCGGTGGCCTTCATGTACGAACGGGGAGGCGGAGGGGCACGAGGAAACGTCGCTTGAAGTGCCAGGGGCGGGAGACGGTGAGTGCAGAAAGGGAACCGCACCGGCGCAGGCCGTCGGGTCTGGTGAGATTCCCAAAAGAGTAGGAGGAGGAACTGTTGCTGTTGATTGTTGATGTGTATGCTGGTGACTCGCTTGCTCCCCAGATAGCTGCTTCTTGGTGTAGTTCATAGGATCTTTACTAGGCGGGGCCTTGTAGTTGTGCTTCAAAAAAATTTTCTCCACAACGGACGGCTGGTTTCGTCGAATATTATGTGCGCCTTCAGTAGCGTCCTCTTCTTCATTTTGTCCAGCACCGCCAAAATAACCGGGCTCATCATGATGATGATCGCGGCCACCCAGCAAACTACCGTGGTCGAGCATGCGGCCGTCGCCAGCACTTGTGGTTCTCGTTTTCGTCTTCAGCTGGTGCGCGGAATTTCCGTCCGGCCCACCGAGGATTAAATCTAGGGTCGCCTTCCGCATGGCTTCCATTCTCGTTCGGTTATTTGGGGTCTGCGTCGGGTCGTGGCGTGCCACATCATCGGGATGCGGCGGCGGCAGTCGAGCTGCACGCAGACCCCGGGTGTCGTACACCGTCTTGCGGAGGCGCGTCGGGTGTGTCGTCATGACAACTTTTTCTCCACTTTGCCCTGTTAGCTTCTTGCTGCAATCACAAGCAGAATCAGCTGGCGTCAACAAAGAAACAAGCAGGCAACCGCGTGCGAAACTACGGGTTACGTCGAAGACATTCTTGGCCAAAGGCAGCTGCTACAGGAGCGCTGACCCAGTATCGAGTTCCTATTGTATTCTTGTCGGCGGTGCCGAATATTTTTATCGAGGGTCGTGCTTTGATGATGTCCCCCACCCCCTGTCGCCTTTGCCTTTTGCAGGCAAGCACAGGAGCCACAGACGCACCACACGGACACCCTCACCCACCTCAACACTCTCTTCCAATACTCAATGAGAAGTTGATGCCCTCCTCGCAATAAATCCACGATCGCTCGACGTGCAAATTTTTACTTGAGACGACCGGTTCTTTTGCTCAACATGGTGACCTCCCCAATGACAACATCAATGATTGATGTCTCAACGTTTGTTTTTCTAATGGGTCGCCGCTCGTCGCAATGAGTGTCGGCGAAAATAAATAAAATAGTTTCTTTTATTTGGTATCCGACAGGAGCAAGTTAGTGGCAACTTTGAATTTTACGTATCTATGATCTTTATCCAAAAGCATAAGCATAAACCATATTCGTGTCGTTCATAAAAAATTCCTCAATCATCTTCGTCCATCAAACTGAAACAAATTGCATATCTTCATGTGGAACGAACTTGCACGAGCACGAGACTGCAGGAGTGTAATTTCATCTCTATTGAGTTTCTGTTCATTTGTTTTAGGTGAAACAACAACCGACCTACCAATCGCTTGATGTCCGCGACAACAAGTTGTAGGCATAGGCAAAGAACTGTATAAAATCTTAATTTTGGAGTGCAAGGAAAGCACCTATACAAGATTGGAAATTTTTGGCACTAGGTGCGGTATTTACCCCGACCTCCACCACGGCGGCATTTTCATACAATTTCGAAGGGAGTTTGAAGATACGCGGTGAAATGACAGTCGATAGTGAAAGTGAAACTTAACTAAATCATATAAGAACTCACCTCTGCTGCAGTAGCACAATTAAATGAGGGTGATGCTTCTCTGATGGGATAGAAGGACCAGTGACTAGCTACAAATCTTACAGAGCCCACGGCTTTTGGTTTCTAATGTTCGGAGTATCGCAACAGATCGGTGTATCGCAACTCGCCCCAGGATCGATCAACTACGGCTGCGTCCCCAGGCGGACGATGCAGTTCGAAACAGGTTTTCGAGGCAGTCTTTGCTGGGACAGCAGACAGGAAACCGCTGCGCTGCTCCAGCACTAAAGCCGGCCCGGCTGTTTGGCGCAAAGGTTTTGTTGGCCGCATTGGTCGGCGTGGTCGCGAAGGACCCTCCACGAGCAACGGACTTCGTGCTCCCTTTGCTGTTCGTATGGGTGTGTCAGGATTGAAATCGTCAAAGTTGAAATAATTTGGAATGCATAAAATGCATGACCCAAGATACGTGTCTTGCAGAGCAGGCAAGTGAGGCCGATTGTGAGCCTGTTTCCGGTTACAGCTCGAGCTGCTAAAGTAGCATGAGAAAATCGCTCTTCTTTGCCTAAACAGCATGACAGACTGGATTTGGGGACCGCCGACATTTGTCATGCGCCACTTGGAAACTGGGTTCCAACTGGCATCCATTTTATGCATGGCAAATTATTTCAACTTTGTCGATTTCAATTCTGACACTCCCATAGTTCATCTGGCCCCCGTAATACGCCGCCTCGTCGTCGGAAGAAGTGGTTTCGGACTCCTCGTCGCTGAAGGAGGACGAGGAATCGGAAGACAGACTGTCAGAGGACGAAGTAACGTCTTCGTCATCGCCGGCCGTGCTCTTCTGGGAGGACGAGTTATTGTTCGCGTTCCGCCGGAAGAACTCGGCGCCGTTCTCGCGGTACTTCCGGCGCGTCCCCGGGGAGAGGTTTTGCGTTTCCGAGTTTTCCCGTAACCGCTTGGCCCGGTCGTGCAGGGGAAGCAGGCTCCGGCTATCCTGGGACATCACACGGCGCAACCACCGCTCGGACGAACGGATCCGCCTGGAGTAACAAGTTAGTTGCAAGAGTATAGCTGAAAAAGAACAAGCAGCCTTAGATCTCATGGCATCTGGCAGAAGCGCAACAAGACGATTCAGAAGTTTTTAATGCAGCAGATTGACAGAGTACGTACGTGTGTTATTTCGCATAGGAATCAATAGATGCTGATGCAGATTGACAACATGACGCACAATCTTCAATGCCGAATTGTACCTCGTCGGCAGGTAGTCTACCGCTCCGCCGATTTTGACGCCCTTCCCTTCGATCGGGTCTTTCGAGCTTGCGCGGGGGAAGCGAAACACGCTTTCCTGGCGCGGGCTACGCTTGCGCGCGGCGCCTAGGTCTTGTTCGCGGCTTCCCGTCAGGCGAGTAGCTCCTCCAGTGGCGAAATTATTGGTTGACAACCCTGGGGGACCCGCATGATTTGCCAGGTAGTTGTTCGGCGTCCTTCCGCGCCGGCGACCCAGAGCTGGATTCAGATGGTTCGTGCAGACCGAGGAGTCGTAGCTGGCGGACCGGTTGTTTTTCGAACTGACCGCGCTCCGGACAAAAGCAGGATGGAGCAGAGTCGAGTTTGCTGGAAAGTAACCACCTCCAGCCATAGTACTCATGCCTGTCGCTGCAGCGGAAGCCAGGTCGGAAGAACCCGCAGCTGCACCTGAGGCGGCGAGTAGCTGCTGCAACGTAGTCGAACCAGTGATGCCGGAAATGTTGGCGCTCGTACTGCTGGAGGAAGATGGGTCGGCTCTTGATGATAAAGCATGTTCATCTTCTACCGGCTTTCCTCCACTAGAAGTACCGGGCTGCTGCAGCGTATCTTCTACCTCTACGTTTTGGCTTTGCAGCAGCTCCACCGTCTGCTTAGAATTGGTTTTGGACGAATGGGATGACGAGGAAAAGACAGATGAACTTGCGTTGTTTGTTATCCTATTTAAAAACGTCCTCACCCTATAGTTGTAATGCAAATCTACATGCTGAAAATGTTTCTCATACGGAGCCCCATGAGAAGCAGTTTCTAGTCGTGTTCTGCAATTTGTCATGCTCCAATCAGCATGGTGTGCTAGGTCTGTGATGCTGCTGAGCTACCTCAAACAGCACTACACTACGAGTCCAAATTTGTGATGCAAAACAGCCAAAACTTGTGGATTTGTCTAGCCGATTCCTCATCTTAACTATGGTGTGGGGACATTTTTACTCAGGATATTTGTTCCTTGCAGGTCGTAAGTAGCAGCTCCACCGCGCACCTGCAGGTCGCACGACTGGGTCAGCGGTTCCTTGGACGTTTGACTGTGGGGCACCAGTGTGGTTTTGCTGCTAGTGCCGGAGGACGGGCCGGTCGCAGTCGAAGCCGCGGCCACTCCCGAAGCACTTGAGAAGAAATTTAGATTATCAGTCACGCTGATTCCAGACGTTGGCTTCTCGCGAGATGACGAAGAACTCGCTCCTCCAGCGATGTCTTTAAAGCTGAAAGAAGCTGGCGCGTAATTAGAACCTATGTCGTGTTTAGGATGTCAAGAGTATATAAGCTGTAAGTGTTGAGAGCCGATTTATTTGACGCATCGGAATAGAGGTTGCGTTGAGGTAGGTTGCAGAATATCACCATCAATTTGCTCCCAAATCGATGGAGTTGAAGACCAAAGCAGAATTTCCTTTGCCATGCAAACAAAGAAACAAATCCTCACCTGTTCCTGTATATGGTTTCTGGTTTTGCTGTGCCGGATTGGAGTAGACCGTCGCGACTGACGCGGTTGGGGATTCGTTCCCTAGGTTAGAAATCTCGTCGATCCCACGGCTGCGCATTTTACCTGACAAGTAAAGGTAATAAATTAGTTCTTCTACGTTGCTCTTTTATCATCATTAACTCGTGCTAGTGCGTCAGCGTGCGCCGTCGGAGACCGAGGCGCCGACGAGATGAATTAGCAAAAAAAAGAGGTTATACGTATGCAGTTTCAGTGGTACACAGAGTACATCGCACTAATTTTCTCTTTGGCAATACTTTTGATTCCGCTGGTGGCGTAGGAGGGATTTTTTAAAACGCCACGGGACGTCGACGACGAGGCTAGAGCGCCTGGGCCTGATGCATCGATTCTCAGTTGTTTTTCACAAAGTTTTTCTGTTTGATATTTTAGAGCATCGCCCTCGCCTTGTTCGCCTTGGGCTAGCTTCAGCTTCGTGATTCCCTGACCGCTTCCTTTCCCAGTCCCGATTGCGCTGCTCTTCAGGTGTTTGGTCGGCGAGCGCGAGGAAAAGTCGCCGGCATGAAGCTCGTAATCTCGTCCGCGCCGCCTGGCCACGCCGATGCTGGCATCGCTCATCATTCCCGGGTTTCGCCACAGCACGTCGCTTTCGGCTCCGTAAATCGATTCATCTGAGGACGAGGAATCAACGTCGCTGCTGTCATCCACCTCCTCATCGTCGCTCTCCATCTTTTTCCGCCTGGTGTCCTCCGCACCACGATAACCTTTGTTCTTCCACACTGGGCCACGGGATGTATTCAGATTTACGGGAACCATATCAACAGCGACTGAGGGCAGGTTACCTGTCGCTGTCGGACGGCTAGGAGAGGTCGATGTTTCAGCAGCAACTTTCCCAGCCGATGGAGGAGAAAGATTATCCTCCTCTTCTACAGCAACAGGAAACACATCACTGCTGTTCTTCGTCATTCTTTTTTTTCCCGTTGGTTTACTTCCACCTTTGCGTGGAGTGTGGGACGAAAAATATCAATTCCAGTTGGCTTGATAAATCTTAATCCCGTTCCTTGCGAGGGCTAGATGAAGATTGTACTAATGTCAAAAATTTGCATCCTGCAGTGGTTGATGCTTGATCTTCTTCGTGCAAGATTTCCTCGTGCAGGATTGACGGTCTTAGTCGTGCTACTGCTAGCAAGCAATCCGAGAAACTGCGCGCCGATCGAGATTCAACACTGCTTAACCAGCGAAAACGAAGAGCGACGAAACGAGGAGGAAAACCGATACCGAAAAATTATGTTTATTCTCGATGTCCAACGACTTCTACGACTGATGACTATGTAGTCCTGATCGCAGGAGGACAAACACCAAGAAGCATATTCCATATTCATGTGTAAAAGGAATCAACATATAATGAAATCGAAGAGCTAGTACAACAACTTCCGGTTCCGCTCAATAACTCTGTTCAATCTCACGTAAACAGCCACGAAGATGAACATTTCTACCAACTACCGTAATTCACCGCGGTGTAGCGAGTACGGCGGAACAAAATACGATGTGCAACTGCGGAACCCTTCTTGACCCTGTGCCTGTCCATGCCTTGTTACTTCGTCTAGTTACCACCTAGAAAAAAGCAGCTTCATCCTCGTTACGCCCTTCCCGCGCCTTCCTCTACATACCAACTTCCTCCACAATTTGGAGGCAATGCGTACAGTCGACGAACTCGAATGGTGCAGCAGGAGGCGAAACAAGGTCGTGAAGAGTCGGTACATGTTCAGGAGCTTCATCAGTAGCAACAAGCAGGCATGATCACTGATCATCCAGCAACATGTTGATGTTGATCCGACTGCTGCAATCATCAGATGTTGAAAGCAGGTGGTCCTGAAGACCGACACGAAAGACGTTTAGGTCTGAAACTTCCCTTCTGGCTCTGTGTAGAAGCCGAATCCCATATCAAAAGGAAAAATCCCCCCTCCCCATATCGAAACGAAGTTTCTGATGCTGGATTTCCATACACAAATCAGATTTGTCTTGCAGTAGAGGAGTGCAGGCCGCATATGCCAAGCCTCAGTCGAGAGGCTTTGACGTTGGCGCCTAGCATGACAAACGTGTATGCTCTAAGCCAAACAGCATGACAAACCGCCTGCAAAATGCGGAAGGCTTTCTGGACTTGCCTTCTTGCAAGACAGACAGGATTTGAGGTCACAAATGCGCATCACAAATTTTCAGACGGAAACGCTTTCGATATGGGGTGGGGGGATTTTTCCTTTTGATATCCCATTTGAAAGCCGTACTCCTCCCCGATCTCCACGGGTTTGTTTAGCGGGTGGCTGTCGGATATGGGGGTGTCAGGATTGAAATCGTCAAAGTTGAAAGAATTTGCCATGCATAAAATGGATGCCATTTGAAGCCCAGTTTCCAAGTGGCGCATGACACAAACAGACTGTGCTACTGCGGGCGAGACATTGTGTATCAGGTGAATTTTTTTTTGGCTTGAGTCCCCCCCTCGCCCCCTCGATCTCGGATGTGCGTGTACCAAAACAAGTCATCAGACTTGGAGATACGATCATAACAAACCTATGCACGAGCACGGAGGCTGCGGAGTCGCATGGAAAACAAAAGACTCTGAGCGGGTAACAACGCACATGCGCGACCGACGGAAACAAGAAGAAAGAAGCAAGAAGATATGTAAGGAGGGACGAAGGCCTCCCCCCCGAAGGGTTGGAAAAGATAGCGAAGATGGACAGGAGGAAAAGCCTGTACACATACGTAAAAATAAGGATGGCATAGCAGAATAGAAAAGCGGGAGAGAAGGCCCATGAAATAGGAAGTAAGTAACAAAATAGCACAGCAGCCGGGAAAAAAAGCACGACCAGCTGGGATCCGGGGTGAAGGCCGGAAAATTGATAGACCAGCGAAATGTAAAAGTAGAGATGAAAAGGCGAACGAGGGGCGAAGGCCTCGAGAGCAAGGACTAGGTAAACGGCATGCTGTGGCGCAAAGACAGTTTGAATAAGCGCGCGACTACGCACAGGTTACGACAGTAAAAATCATAAGTGTGATAAGGGATAAATGCAGAAAGAAACTAATTACAATGGAAATCCATGCAGCAAGAGGTAGACATACATCGTAGCACAGTCTGAGTAATGACGTCATGCAGCAACCAGGGACCACGGCGGCAACCCGGGCCCTACGGACCTGGCACTCCCAACTATACTCCTCACACAAAACGCCACCAATACAACTGTAGGACATAGCCAACCACCCCGGAGCACCTACACCAGCAACGGGGGCGGAAACGGCGCAGCCCACTTCGCCTTCCTATCTGGCAGAGCACAGACCACCAGCACACTTTGAAAACTGGCAGCTATTTTTCTTTGCCACGTTCACTATGGCAATACCTTGGCAGGGACGCACGCACAACAGCACGCGCCCCATGCAGAGAAGGCGCATGACAAATTTGGGCAGAGCCTAAATCCAGTTGGTCATGCTGTTTGGGTAAGGGCGACGCCAACGCCTTTTGTCATGCTACTTTAGCAGCTCTATTTCTAGCCCTCAAAAGGCTTACAATCTGCCTCCCTTGCGTCCTCTGCAATAGAGGCACTTCATGCCTTGCAGTTTATGCATGAGAAATTATTTCAACTTTGACGATTTCAATCCTGACGCTTCCATATCGGAGAGTTTGACGAGCGGTAACTCGTCCTGGACCCGCTCTCCGTCCACGATTCCGGTGTTCTCCGTGGTATCCGCCACGAGGCCGTAGAACTCCCCGAGTCCCGTGGGACCGTTACCCATCATGTCGGTGGCGCGGTCGATCACGCGCGCCAGGTAGAGGACGACCAGAACGATCACAACGGTAGTGGCCACGTACATGGTAAACACCTGCAGCCCTGCCGCCTTGTCCGCCTCTCGACTGGGATAGCGGGTCCATTTCTCCAGTGCGGTCTGGGCGTCGTTGGAAACGAACGGAGAGCCAAAGACGGCGGAGGCCATCACGTTATAGGGGTACACCGCACAGACGCCCAGAAAACTGCAGTCCCAGATGAAAACGGCTAGCCGCAGGCCCAGCAGCAAAAACGCCCCCGTGCGAACCGACTTCAGCTTGCCTGCTGAATTGTCCAGCCCCGCAAGAATGCCAACGAATCCGGCGCCCGTGGCTACGACGGCCTGTCAGTTTATTTCTTTCTTTTTTCGGTTGGTAGTCCTAGTCGCACTTGCTGCAACTGATAGATATGTATTGACTTTCCCCCTGAGAATTCATTCATTCATTCACGCAAGCGATTATCCTTGTTGGAGAGAGTTTCGCCATCGCCTTCTCATGCGCATCGTTTTCTCTCGGATGTGCTTACAAGTGTATCTTTTTTATTTTTCCTATACAGGTGTGTCTTTTTTCCCCCTGAGAATTTCAAGTACAACGAACCGAACAAGAGCTAGTAGAATCGAATGTCCATGTTGCAACTTCGACAAGTATTTTTAGATTTCGCAAATCCTGATGGAATCGCACCACACTCACGATGCAAAAAAGCGAAAGAGTAAGAATTTAGGTGAATTTAAAGCTTTAGCAGTACGTCCACACTGATCCGCAGGTAATAGGACCATTTTTGCACCGCGTCGCAACTGATGGGCGATTGTGCAATGCCCGCGGCAGTCGTTGCTGGCTCTGTTTTCAAGTATCCGAAGGTCTTGTAGGAATACACAGTCCACAAGCAAAGCTGTCCCAAGCCGGCAACGAACAATACATACGTATCCAAGCAAAATCATTTTGTTCGAATAAAGCCACTGGACTGTCTGCAGCTGCTCCCTGTTGAGTTGTATTTAAAGACAGAGAGCAGGGGGCAACAAATGACAAAAGGAGAAAAAACAAACATGTTGTCTGAAGTCATGATTTTGCTCACGATACAGCGAGAGAAAGCTGATGCCAGCTTTTGCGGGAACGCATCCACAACAGGTGCCATATTTCATTGTAAAAAAAGCCATGGCGATTGTACTGCTGGGTGCTGGATTGGTATCTTTGCTCTCACATTCCTTCTACATAGTCGCTACACCATTTCCATTCCGCGCCACCGCTGCAGCGACGGACAATAAGACGACGGCTATGGCTTGCGCAGAACAAACACAGAAGACTGGTCTTGAAAATGAAAAGGAGAAGCGCTACGCAGGAGACTTTTCCGTCATGAAGATTGGCAGCAACGACGACCAAGAAACATATTCATATGTGGTGTGGTGCCCCCCGCGCTCGTCTCTTACTTTTGGTCTAAACTCGCTCTTGTTTTCTTGGGTCACACAGCGTCACGCTCTCGATTTCTATCTCTCTATTCAAATAGTTCCACGCGGACCACTGTTAACCCGCATTCGGAAAACGGCACTCTGCCGAGATGATTTTCCGCCGCACTCTAAATCCCCGCGGGATTGCCCATTGGCGTACACCTACATACACAACTCAGATGGAAGCCACATAAAGTATTCTCGCGAAAGAGGAATGAAGCAAGAGGAGGTCATCTGGCCGCCCTGTGTATCTGCAAACTTTTTTATTTTCTCCGTCGTGTACCTACCGCAGCTGGGGCGAGCTACATTGTTTACATTTCCATTTTTGCGTCAACTCACGTGTCGTCTTTGTCGTGTGCAGTTCAGAATCATGATGAATACTAGTGATGTAGTGAAAGTGGAAGTGTTTGTGGAGGGAGGAAGGACGGAGATGTACTAGGGGTCAGAAAATATACATTTTTTGCCCGTCCAGCTCCAGAGACATCACTTAGCAAAACCTTTCATTCTTTCTTCATCTACAACATTCCGAACGGATTTGCATGCTTTTTAAGGTCGTAGTTGTTCTTCATCCTCAACATACTCATAGCTAGGAAGACTACTTATTTTTGGAATTTCCCCTCGTAGTCGTAATCGCGTGTTGCTCGATGCCAGTCTGGACGCCGGATCTGCTGCAGCTCCGGCTGCCTGGGGGTAGAATACTGCAGACTTCTCTCGTAAATGACATCGAAGGTCGTGAAAGTCGCACTGCGAAGGGGTGGGTCGTCGTGGTCGCTTTTCTTTTATTTCTTCCATGTCTTCTTCTAGTTCTGGCTGTGCTACTGGTCGGCATCACAGGGGCCGCGCTCGATCCATCTAGCATCTATTCCTGATGCGCCGGCGGCGTGACAGAACTCCTTCTTTCGCATCACGGCCAAGCAAACGTCTGGCTCGTCTTCGTCGTCGGGGTTGACAACCTGGTCGCTAGAAGTGGGAGTCAAGGACAAGGTCATGCTTCAGCTTCATGCCGCTGCTCCCGTTCCCACCGTTTCTGTCCTAATTTGCTCTCTCCAGGTATCGAAGATGTGTTGCGCGCGTTCGCTGATCTCTTTATCCTTACGCTGGATCACCGGGTTGTCGGCCCAGTACCGAATCTCCCGCGCCAGGCCGGTCTTGGACAGCATGTCCTTCGTATACTTCGTCTTCTCGAGCTGGTTAAATATGCTTTCCACCTCGGTTCGTTCGAACCGGCCCAAGTTCCCCGTATACTCCACCCACATGTTCATCAAGTGATCGCCATCACAGTCGTCCTCCAGAAATTCGTTGCCCTGAAGGTCTCTGCGGTTCCGCGAGGCTCCCTTCTCCGTCAGCTTGAGCCCGATGCTCACCATGGAGCCGGGTTTGGCAAGCGCGCATTTTTTCTGGTCGTCGGCGCCAGGCATAATCCGCAGTCCGTCGATGCTGGTGCCGTTCGTGCTCCGGTCCTCGATAACGAGCATTTCCGGATAGTTCAGGCTCTCAGAGACCAGCATCTGTTCGTTGCTCACTTTCAGATTGTTCCGTGCCATCTTTCGGGTATACGCATGCTTTCCGCTGCCACCTTGTTTTTTGGAAGAAGGTATAATGGAATTTTCATTTTTCTGTCGCTACCCGGCCATAGGGTAGAGCGTACTAGTAGTACTACATTAATTTATTCTCGACCTCTTTTTCTGATGAGACGAGGATCTATTCTATAACTATAATCACAGCGAAGGACATCACAATATTATTATTAATATTTTTGAGCGTCACGCTTCTGCATTTTTCGAGGATCGAGACCAAGTTCATCATTATCTTCAGCTGCGACTGTTTATATTTTGTATCTACTCTCATACATCATTGAAGTCGTGAGAAACAAGAAGTTCCGATGCCGGGCCTCTTCAAAAAACACATAGGTCAATACCGTTTTTGCTCCTGCCGGGGACGACCATAGCATCCAGAACGTGGGGGTGGTAGGGGATCAGCACGAATTTTGCGCCCATGATCCTTGCCCGCAGTCGACAAAGCTTGACTGTTATGTCATTATTGCGTTTTTTCTTTCGTATCGCTTCCTTGTCCGTCATCCGCCGCATCTCGCGAGCACGCTGGTTGTTCTGCTGCTTGTGCTGTATTCGAATTTGTTGGAGACGATTATAGAAGCGGACAGTACTACACGCGCAGCAATCACAAAAGCCGACTTGGAACATCTTCGCTTCATCTTCGACTAAAAACAGTATGTGTAGTTAGAAAGTGAATTTATCAGTTTTCCGTTCATAGAAACAAATCAAGCAGCAGCTGCAGGTATGGTACCCGCTCTTCGTCTCTGTCCAGTTCGCGTTCCTCCTCATCTTCGTTCCGAAATTATCCGAACCAAATTCGCGAGAGTCGCATCTTCGTCGTCGTGTACGTGAACGTCTACTTTGCGTTTAACGTCTTAAGTGACAACAACCAAAGATTGCACTACAAAGATGCATGTGAATCCAGATCATGCCAACATTAAATCATACGTACCTATCTTTTTTAGTATTTATTTTGTCCCGGCACTGTGACCGTGACCGTGTTCCTCGGCCTCGTTTTGTATTCAATCGCACGAACGGATGTTGATCTTCGAGCATGAATCAACAGCGCATGTTGTTCACGAACGGTACTGGAGGAGACCAGAAATAATGCAAAGAAGAATGGGATGAAAAATACACCCTAGGCACCAGTAGTGTTAGAGTGCAACACTCCACTTGCGACCCTATCATGATTTTGCGCATCGTGATGCAAATAGTGTGTGACACAAGCAGCAGAACAAGCATAACTCAATGTGTACACGTAGTAGACCTTAGGTTGTGGCTGCAGGCTAAAGAGGTGCTGAGCTGAGGTAGACGACCACGACGACAAATGCGGCGCCATGATGGAACTCCAATTCATATTGGTCCGGGTCGTTTGTACTCGTCCCGCAGGTTGGACTCGTCACGTCGCTGGTACCCCGGGATTCCCGAGTTGTAATTATTCCTCGTGTTATAGTTTGAAGTACTGCTACTACTGGCAGGGTTTCCACCCGCTTTGCTCGCATGCTGATCCTGATGGGCGTTTTTCGTACCGGGCCCGCTTGTGCTGGACGCTGCTGCGCCCATGGCTTCTTCCCTGGTTCGCTTTCTCGCCCGAAAGAGCGGGTTGTCGTACCCCGCTCGTGTGGAAGGATTCCCGAACACGTTAGTTGACTCCGCCTTTGCATTCCACCTGTGAAATAAATCAAAATGAATTTTTACCATGACGAAGGGAAAAATTGACGATATGCTGACGCCGGACAAGATGACGAGCAGGCGCCGTGTCAACATTTCATCTGATGATGATGCAATGCATTCAACAAATGAAGTAAAAACGAGCCCGACGCGGACGATTGATCAATTTTGAGAAGTCATGACACTTTCACAACGATAGAGTTTCTTTTCTACCTTCCATGCCCTCGCGCGCCCATGGCGCTCATCCCGGTGTGGTTTGCTTTCGGCGGGGGTGGAGGACGAGGCGGGTTGGTACTACTTGGCATGCGAGGGTGGTGCACGCCAACTGGCGGCTCGGGCTCCGAGCCGGAAGAGGCTTGAGGTACGTACATCGGATTGTAGCCGCGGGGGCGGCCGGCGTAGGGATCCCGTTCCGCGTAATTCTCTTTGTTCGCGTAATAGTTGAAGAAGCTGGAGCTGGCGCTGCCGCTCGCCGTCGAGTGGGTGTGTGAGGTTATCAAAGGGAAGGACTCTTGGACTAGCATATTCAACGACGTCTTTATTTTGTTGGCAGCCAGAAAAGAAACAAACAAACTCGACCAGGACCAATCCATGCTACTGCAAGATGAGAGTTATGTACTTATTTTCTTCGTACGTGTGATGTTGCATGTGTCATCACGGAAGGTATCTCAATCTCGCATCGTGAAGCAATTCAGTATATAAATAAAATAAAAATTCCAGGAGCAGCCTACATGCAAATTATCCGTCTGAATCTGAAAGTGTATGCTCATGCTAGCCCAGGTACAAAACACTTCTATGGGATAGAGAAGTTGTGGTGATGGTAGGCACCTCCTCCTCCCGCGGTAGGCGTCGTGCCGCTGGATTTGCCGCCCTCCATGGTCCAGCCCCATACCTTGTGCTCCTGCTGGATCTTCTCATAATTGGCCTGAATATCGGCGAACTTTTGGTTCGCCTTTTCCTGCGATATCGGATCCTTCGCCGCCTTGTCAGGGTGGTGCTGGAGGCAGAGCTGCTTGTAGATCTTGCGGGCCCGCGCCGGGCTCAGGGAACGGGAGATCCCTAACGCCTGGAACGGATCGGCGTCGTACTCCATCTTTAACTTTCTTGCTGACACAGAGACAGATAATTGGAAATAGGGTATGAGCACAAATAAATCAATGCTATATCCTTTTTGTGAATCTGAATCTGTAAACTACAATCGACTCTACTCGTCGCATCATTTAGGGCCTAAATTTGAGGCATTGAAGTATTACTAAATCATGAGGACATGGACATCGGGTCTTCAAAAAAAAACGAACGAAGGAGAGACAAAGAAAGTTGAAGTTGTGAGCAAAAATATCGCAAAAAAAGATGAGGGCGGCGCGACCTCTGTAGAGAAATTTCTATTGTTAGATGATCTCTTTCTTTTAGCTTTACACCATGCTGAACGTTGAGCGGCAATTGGAACTATTACTAACTATAACTAAGTCAGCACCCGGCGGTGCTGAAATCATCTCCCTGCCAGACAGTTTGTAGATAAAGATCGAGATAATTGATTTATCAACTTCAACGTAAGTACCTAAGTGACTGAACCTGAGTTACAAATCGCTTGGAAAATATCCAAAACGTGCGAGTGGTGCGTAGCGGGATACCTAATGTTAATTCGTGGCGGGCTAGTGAATACTCGCCCATTCTTGATCGTCGTTCATCAATCGCACAGGAAGAGCTGGTTACTAGATAGACTAGATCGTATCTTTTCAAGCGATTATTCATCTACTTGCTGGAGCTGTGTGGCGCATATACCTAGTACTAGTTCAACTTCAATCAGACTGACATAGAAATAAGCGTGGGTGTGGGTGTGCATCGTCGGTGCAAATATATTAACGGCACATAACACGTTTTAGCTTCAGTTGTGAGTATGAGAGTCGACGTTTCTTACAGTCATGACCTCCATTTCAGCATAAGCGCTTATTGCAACAGAGGCAGCCGCTGGAACAGCAACTGCAGACACAGGGAAGTAGACGATCTTCCTCCTGAGAATTACCGGAAGAGAGCAGATCGTGAGAAACGTTCTTCATGTGGCGCTATCCATATTCTTCGTTTTTACCTATTTTCCTTCAACTTCTTGATGCTTGTTTGTCTCAAGGTTTCTTTCTGATTCTGCTGTCGAAGATCATTCGCGCTCGGCCTCAAAGGCTGCTTGTAGCTTCATCATCTCCATTCCAACCCTAACCGACGCCGCAGCAGAGTGAAAGGACGGCAAAAGCGATTGAAAAAATCATGGATGAAAATCAAGACTCATAATTCAAAACTCCAATCTGTAGGTTGCAAAGGAAAAATTGCATATGGAAAATTAATAGTACCTGTACCGGGATCATGTTAGATTTTGTTGCTGCGGCAGAAATGGATCATCATGGTCATGCTCTACAACTGCTTCAGACCTTCACAACTCCACAACCAATTTCCCGACGCTAGCGGCGCTGCTGAGCACAGTATGGGCTTCTCGCGCATCCTTCAAAACTGTGACTGGAATGGCTTTGCCGATCACGCCCTTTTCGACGTAACCCACTATCATGTCGAAGTAGTATTTCAGCACTTCCGTCTCCTTCGCGAAGAAGCTGATTTAAAGGGGAATTTGGCATGCATGCAAACACAAATTTGCATGAAAAAGGCAGATTTTTTTTAGGAAAAGTAGCCACTGAAACTGATGAAAATGATTTTGGGATTCCGTATTCCCATGTTGAATCTTTTTCTTTCATGAAGATTTATCGGTGCGTAAGCGTATTCAAAATCAAATCGTGCTTTCATTACCTCAGATTGAACCCGATAGCGCCCTTACTCGCGACGGTCATATTCATGGGGTCAAATCTGGGCATTCCCTGCACCATCTTGTAGAGCATTTTGAGCCACTGCCAGGGACTGAGAAAAGCCGCGGCGCTGGCAGAGGGCACGTTGGTGTGGAAGCCGTAGATGATAAGTCGCCCCCCCTGTGCCAGGTGGCTGTAGCTTTTCGCCAGCGTTTCCTGTCCGTTCGCGTCGAAAATCGCCTGGAACTCGTCGTCACCGACGTCATCGCCCCGCGACGGACTGGACATATCTTCTACCACGTTGTAGTCATCGAGTTTCTTGCTCGAGGCCACGACAGCTGCTTTGGCTTTGCGTTGCTGCCAGAGTTCTGTTTTGAGCACCACGGAGTCGCAAATGCCCATATCCTTTAGGGTTTGAATCTTCTGCGGTCGGCCGACGACACCCACCACGGGAGAGCACCCGAACCTCTTGGCGAGCGTGCAGAGCATCGTACCCACGCCACCGGCTGCGCTGTGCACGAGCACACCTGGTTGTCGTTTGTTCAACTTAAGTTTTTTTTGCAGGGAGCTGCGATCAGTGTGTTTATACATTTCTTTGACAAAATCGTTCGTTTTGTCCTCTGTATGTGTATGGAAGTGAAAAACACGTTGAGTCGATGTGTTTTTTTTATTTCGAAGTTTGTAACGTCGCGAGTTTAACTTTAATTCATCGATTCGCGGCGTTACTTTGTACTGCTATTCTTTGGCATGAGCCATCTTCATCTATGCGCTGCAATCTATAGATACCTTTATTAGTGGTTCGCGGAGCCACGTCGGGTGAGAAGCCAGCGAGGTGCAAAGCGTGCACAGCGGTGTGACAGACAGCGGGAAGCGCAGCAGCTCTTTCTGGCTCGAGACCTGATACCACGACATGATCATCCAGTTGTAAAGAAATTTTCACACTCGAACCAGAACGACTACGTTGTGAAGGTGGCATCGCAACAGCAAGAGCAACTTGATGAAGAAGATCGCAAAATAATTCCGGTCAAGCAAGATAGAGAGTCAACGTAAAGAAATGCGACCAAGTATACCTTTCGGCACCTTACGGAGCTGCCGGACGGGGACTAATACGCGGGAGGAATTATCCTGCGCAAAAGTATCGCACTCGTAGTAATTGCAGTTATTCTTTCTCAAGTTAAATCCGCATCAGAAATTTCATTTCTGATGCTGAGGAAGTTTGTCATGCGATTTCTACTAGTACGATAGTTTTGCAATGCATAGGAATACCCGCCGAACAATGTCGCGCCAAACACGCTGTCACCTGGCTTGAAGCCGGCTTTTGTCCCGGCTCGCTCGACGACCCCGGCGACATCGAATCCCGGACAGATTGGCCACCCAACAAATTTATTTGCGGAGTCGTAGAGCCCCCAGCGAATACAGACGTCCGCGTAGTTTACGCTGAAATGGGTAACCTGAATGAACAAGGACTTGCGTATACTAGATTAGATGCAACATTACACCAAAAAATATAACAAATAACAAGATGAATTGAAGTAAGTTGCATGTTCTACATCTTTATCTACCGCGGTCACCAGTACACCGTCGAAGCATCCGCGAGCAAATGTAAATTGTGTGTGTTCTTGTTCATACCTTGAGTAAGACACAGTCCTCCGGTAAGGTTTCCGGTATCGTGATCACGGGGCCCGGCGAGAGGGGCGGAAGGTTGTAGCCGATGGTGCACTCGTTTTCCGCCATTTTTCGCTTCCGCACCTGGTTGATGCTCCCCGGCCGGTGGATGAGATAACAGTAGTTGTCTTTCTCTGCGATGTCGTCATCCGGCACGGGCTGCCGCTTCAACACTTTCAAATCCAACCAGTCGTACAAGTTCCAGAGCACAGCATCGAGCTGGAACTTAAACTGCTCGTAGGAATCCCACATGGTAAGAGTATGAATATCGACCGACACTGACACAGATAAGTAGACGAGGTCAAAACCAGTCTGGAAAGAAATAGACTTCTTAAGACAACCTGGGTCCGAGTGCACTGGAAGGTTAGTGCGATACGACCCGCACCCTGAACATTAACAAAGTGCTTACTTAACGTACGAGTTGGTACGACTCTTTCATTATTCTATCTCTGATGATGAGAGCAGTAAAAGTAATCATGACGCGGTACGCAAAACTGCAACATCCATGACGATAAAATGCGACAACAAAGCAGTGCGCAGACTACACAAACCACATGAACCAAGAGAAAACGCAAACAACAAGAAGCGGAACCGATACAAAAAAAAAACAGAACAGGGCGCCCGGCGGGGTGCGTCGTAGCACCGGGGAAACTTTGAGTCCCACAGTTTCAAGTCCAATCCCGAGCTGTCTACAGTTTCAAAGCAAAGGCTCTCGGGTTGACTATGTCGAGATCCGACAACCCGGATCCCGGACCCCCCCCCTCCCCTCCCCCCCCCTCCCCCC